TCGTTCAAGGGTCACGAGATCCTGCTTCGAAGCCTTGCATTTGCACCAAACAGCGAGACATTTGCGAGTGCATCAAATGACTTGACAGTATGCGTTTGGAATAGGGAGACGGGAGCAATGGTGCTCGGGCCACTCCGATTGGACGAGCTGCCAAACTCAGTGTCGTACTCTCTGGACGGGAAAAAACTAGCAGCAGGCACCGACAAACACATCATCGTTTGGAACGCAACAAATGGAGAAGAACTGCTCAAGATACAAAAGCGGGCGTATAAAATCGCATTCACTCCAGATAGCCTCCATCTCGTCAGTGGAGACTGGAATGACATCCGAATATCAGATGCAGGCACCGGAGACATCATAAAACAGTTTGATGCGCATGCAGAAACCTGTCAATCACTGGCCGTTGCTCCCAATGGGAGCAAATTTGCAACCACTTCAACCGACAAGACCACACGGTTCTTTGACATGACTACATTCGAACCCATCGGAGAGCCACTCGAACACCCTGATATTGTTATATGCGTGGCATTTTCTGAGGACAGCCAGCTCATCGTTACTGGCTGTGAAGACAAGCTCGTTCGCACATGGTCAGTTCCTCTGAGCGAGTCAGAGAATGAGCTCCAACTCGAACAGGTGAGCAACTTCTATCGTCATGCCATGCTTCACGCTGACCTGTCAGACAGTCTGCATAGAAAATTCGTAAAGTACGCTTTCACGTTCATCGTTTTTGACCATCTTCAAATTCACTCCTAGGCAGAAAACCATTCCAGGCACACAGCCTCGGCCCAAACGCGCTGCAATCCCGACTAGGTTCTTTGATGATGTCAATGCTAGAATATAGTCCATAGGATACTGTGCGTTCAATGCATGTTTTACCATCCTTCTGCAGTTTGACACACGTACCCCACCTGGACGCAATGATGGCACTGCTACCATGACGCATCATGGTGAAGGCTCCCAAATGAAGAACATCACGATGAATGGTCTCTTTTCTCGCTCCTCTACTCATGGCCATGCCCCCTACCCATGCAGGATTCCTCCTGTGGACATCTTCGCAGCACGAGGCAAATATGTAACTTTTCTTGACCTTTCGAAATCCATTTCCCCGCAGCGCACCTCTAATGCTCAGCGGGAAAAGGAATTTGGTGCAGCCACCATGTCCTCCTCGCCAGCAAACCTACTGGTGCCTCCAGTGCTTCTGCTGCAGCTAATAGACCCCCTTCCCGTTGAATGCTGAACACGTTCCAGACATTAGCCGTTTGTCAGTTCTCGCAAGGTTCTTCCCTCGTCTTTCTCGCACTCGACAAACAAGTACTGCTGCTCCTCGCACCCGTTGAGCCGCCGCTCCCTTGTGAACCTTTTCGTTGGAATGGATCCTACTACGACATGTATCTAAAGATACTTGTGTATATCAATGTTACCCCCGATAGACTGCCATCATACACAGCATTCATTGGGGTTCGGAGATCAGGCCTCACTTATTTTTTCGAGGGTGTGGGTCTATCTGTACTTACTTAGTCTCCATGGTGTCACATCACTCGCATGGTTGATCTAGTTTATTAGCAAGGCATCTATGAAACATGGTGCATTGCATATCCTAACTAAAGCGTCGACACTAGCCGCTTCAATATCCTTGTACAAGTCCTTAAGAGACCCATTAAACTGTATATAGTAAGAAGGTTGGCCTTTGTAGGGTGTGACAACGTCGATAGGGCAGGCACAACACGAGAGGCGGGCAATAGGAGAATGTCATTCTTGTGAAGACGCTCGGGAGCAGCGACGCCACTTTATCATATACTTTCATAGAACATGTTCGAGGGAAATCGAGGCAAAAAGGGTGCATGCGGTACTGCTCTTGCAGAAGGAAGTGTCTGTTGCCAAGTACAACCAGACCTGATTGCGTCAGATCAGCACATGCGGCTTTCTAGCGGAACTTGCCAACGGCAACCAGGGTATGGATGTTGACGGCGAGAACCGTCCAGTTCAGCCAAATATATCCACGAGTCCAACTAGAATGGGCACAGTGAGATGCAGAACCTGGCATGACTGTCAGTCCAGTTTGCACAGGAAAATCTTGTGGGTGGGGGTACTACTCTGTGAGAAGTTGAGAATACGTGTAACAAGAGTGTTGGGTCGTGGCTTGATTATATGCCGTATCAATAGTTCGTGTGCATAATCTCGCGTATATGCCTACCAGTATGTCTCGTTGCGCGTCCGTATGGTGGCCATACTCATGCTTGACAACCTATAGACAGAATCAACTTATAGTGATCAGGAGAAGTCATGCAATGGAGCGTACCGAGAGGGTAGTTGCCAACCTCTCACAGGCCAAATGATTTCAGCAAGAACGAAAAGTTGGATCTCCCTCAGGCTGAGGTTATGGTATTACCACAGCTAACCAATATTGCATTCATGTAATCACCTATTGGTATGGGATTGATGCGAGAAGAGATCTTAGGTCAACTGATCAGTAACCGAGGAATTGCATCAGTCATGACAGGTCGAAACACAGTAAAAGCGGCCACGGCGCCTACTGAAGAGAACTCCTGAAAGAAGCGCTGAAGATGTTGCTAAACCATATGCGGGACACCACGTGTCTACAGCAAGGCAGACATGAGGGTTCAGCGATAGTAAGTATCTTACAGAAGATGCAACTTAATGACTACTCACCATAGCGCATGTAAGTGATTGGGGCTGCTCCCTCAGTGTTCCTGCTAACCGAGACATCGAACAAGATTGAATGGCGGGCACCACTCACGAAACATCCCCCAAAACGCCCGCCCAGCTTACACGAAAGGAAACATCTCTTCTGAAACAGACGCTCAAGGGTCACGAAAAATCAGTGGAGGACGTAGCTTTCATCCGTAGTACCCGTCTCCTCGTCACTGGCTCCACGGACAAGAGTCTTCGAGTGTGGGATCTTGACACGGGGGAACAAGTGGGAGAGCCCTTGTTGGGTCACGATTCCGCAGTCTGGAGGGTCGCAGCATCCCCCGATGGGCGTTGGATTGTGAGTGCAGGAGAGCATGGAAGCGTCCTAGTCTGGGAAGTTGCGACAAACAAGAAAGTATCAGAGTTCAAGAGAGTGCCCGTCTCGTTCAAGGGTCATGGGAGTTCTGTTTGGGATGTTGTATTTGCACCGGACAGCGAGACATTTGCCAGTGCATCATGGGACGAAACGGTATGCGTGTGGAAGAGGGAGACGGGAAAAATAGTCCTGGGACCACTCAAAGTGGGCAGTCATGCAAATTCGGTGTCGTACTCCCCGGATGGGACAAAACTGGCAGCAGGCACCGACGAACACATCATCATTTGGAATACAGCAACAGAAAAAGAATTACTCAAAATAGACCAGCGGGCATGGCGACTCGCATTCACTCCAGATGGTCTCCGTCTCGTCAGTGGAAACAAGAATGACATCCGAATCTCAGATGCTACCACCGGTGACATCATACAACAGTTTGACGCCCACTCTGACAACTTTGTCTCACTAGCCATTGCTCCCAATGGCACAAAATTTGCAACCACCTCACATGACAAGACAACGCGGTTCTTTGACCTAGGCACTTTCGAACCCATCGGCGAACCACTCGATCACCCTGATGCCGTCCTGGATGTGGCCTTTTCCGAGGACAGCCAGCTCATCGCCACTGGCTGTGAGGACAAGTTCGTTCGCACATGGATAGTTCCTTTGAGCGAGTCAGAAAAGGAGTCCCAACAGGTGAGCAAATTCTCTTCTTGTGTCATGCTTCGTATTGACCTGTCATACGGTCCCCACAGGAAATTCTGAAAGTACGCTTTCGCGCTCGTCGTTTTCTACAACTCCTAACTTCAGTCTTGTAGAAAACCATCCCAGGCCCACAGCCTCGCCCAAGACGTGCTCCAATATCAACTAATAGGTTCTTCGATGATGTAAGTCCATATGATGCAGGGGATTCGATGCACGTCTCATCATCATTCGATAGTTTGATCCTGGACGCAACAACCGCACTGCTACCACCACGCGTCATGCTGCAGGGTCCGGAATGAAGAACATGATAAATCGTCTCTTTTCTCGCTCCTCCGCTCCCCAGGGCCATTCCCCTCGCTCACCCGATATTCCCCTTGTGGACGTCTTCGCTACACGGGGTAAATATGTAAGATTTCCTGACCTTTCGACAACCATCTCGTGATGTTGATATTATTTTCGCAGCGCACAGCTAATGCCCAGAGTGGTAAACGACATCTGGCGAAGCCGCTACATCCGCCTCGAAAGCAAGCTCACGCCGGTGCATCAAGCAGCAGGGCCCCACCGGCAGGGACATCGAATGTGGTCAATGAAACTACGCCAGCAACGTTACAGGCCGGAAGTGCCAACGCTTCTGCTACAGCTAACCACCCTTCCCCATTGGACGTCGAACATGTTCCAGACGTCAATTGCTTTGCAGTTCTTACAAGGTGCTTCCCATGTCTTTCACGAACTCGACCGATAAGTCCTGCTACTCTGCCAACTAGCTAAGCGGCCTGTCCCCTCCAAACCTTTTTGTTGGAATAGATATTGCCCATGTACCTAGCATTTGAAGACACATGCAATTTAGTGTTACTCTCGAAAGACATTGTTCGTGGTACAGACTCAATGATAACATGTTTGTAGTACTTCGTCCTCAGGGTGTCACGTCATGAGTATAGTCAGCCTAGTGTATTACAAACCCTGATCAAGTAGTCAACACTAGCTAGTTCAATATCCTTGTACAAGTCGTTCTTACAGCAGTGTGCGAAACTAATGGCAATCACAGACATTTCGCCACTTCCTTGATCGATCGATGATGACGGTTGGCAATTGTTGTATCAGTGTGCTCTGCTTGGTGTTGCTCCAACAATAAACAAAAGCGGCTAAGTGAATTTTTCAGATTCTGGTCTATCGACACGAAAATAGCTGTAAGGTTGAAAGAGCGGCGGGTACAGAGAAATTACATGTATGAATCCGACAAAGACTCCTCCACTAACGTGGGAGTTAGGGATCACATATCTTTCTTCCCAAATCTCGCTACCCATGTCCCTGTGACAGTCATTTGTCCGCGTAAACATATCTCGTTCTCAAACTCCTTGTCCTCCTCCAGCCCCTTAAACACTGTCATATCACCCAGCCAATCAATTCTCTTCAGTTTATTGTCCTTGTCCTTCTTTTGCCTCAAATTTGCAGCCTCGCAGATTGCTTTCTTCCGTGTCTTATCAACAGCCACGATTGCCCACTCCACGTCTGTGATGTAATTTTGTAGCTGATCATGCAATGCCCTAAAGACCGAGTTGCATGTGACGTGATAACCAGCAGGCGCTTTGATGTCGATTGACCAAGGGAATGCCTTCGAGATGATGCGAATCTCGGTCATGCCCACATTTAACATTGCTGAGAGGCCGCTCATTGTGATTTCCTTGATCTCTTCCTTCACGGACTTGCGAACATCGTAGAGCACCAACTGATTTGACCCAACTTGAAGGTAGGGGCTGGGTCTGGTATCGAGCGGATGCGCAGAGAGCGTGTCAAGATCACATAGGTGAGTGATGCAGATTGAAGGGTACATACATCTGATTCTTTGCATTCCTGTTGGTTGGTATCGCTGATGGTATTGTCCTTGGTACTGATCGAGATCGCTTGGTCTGCCCAGTACGACTTGGTGGGCGTGACATAATGAAGACAGTAGTGTATAACCAACATACATGCTGGGATATACTTTATAGGTTCGTGAGGGCGTCAATCTGTCGGAAGGAACTGTAATCGAACTTCCGCAAAGTGTAGGTTTCCGTGAGTCTTCTGCAGCACTTTGGTAACGAGTCGCGTGATGACAGTAACCGGAAACAACTTTGTGCACCGTGATCGCTCAGATTGGGGAAAGCAAATCAAAGAGGCTGGGTTATTTGGAGGCAATAAAAGCTGGAAATGCCTAGCCCCGGTCACTGCCCATAGCTTCATCAGTCGAAATTGACGGTGAAGGCGCTCAGAGGCAACGTAAGAATGTCGGATCGGGACTAGCGGACCTCCAATGTATGATGACTGCACGTCCGTTTGTGGTTTTGTTCCTTACCTTCGTTCTTATCTGTTCTACCATCGCAGTAAAGTCTATTTGGTTTCTTCCTTCTGGAACTTCGCCGAAACTCTCGGATCTAACTTGGGGTGTTGCTAACAGAGAAGTCGAATCACTTAGGCGCGTCGTTGATGAGCAGTCTATTGAACTTGGTTCTCAGGCCTAGGTGCTACCCATGGGTAAGTTAAGAAATAGGGTCACGACCATACCCACCCCGAGTCGGGTGGTGCGGGTACAGGTCTGCCTGTGGGTGGTACCTGCGGGTACATGATAATCTGCACACTAACATATAGCAATAACGAAATTGGGTGAGTACAAACAAGGAGCACCAAAAAACCTGGTATACGCACCTCTGGAACTTAGATCAAGACACCCACAAGCTCTCCAGCAAGTTGTGTTCAATACCATCCACCTCGAGTAGAATAATGGAAGCAGGGCAGTCCGCCATGTGAATCACCACGGCTAGTCAAATATTTAAAGGTCATGAAGATAGTGATTTTTGCAGCCGCAGTTTTCCTCAATAGACGCCGTATGGTGACTAGGCACTTGCTGGGGTCAACCCCCAGGTATCGGAGGCGGGGGTACGGGTTTGAGCACGGGTAATAGTATGAATGACCCCGGCCACGAGGGGGTATACTTGGGGGCGTAAACGAGCATAAATAAGTATGAATGAGCGCGAATGAAAGAAGTGCACCTGTCCTCGGAACAATACAAAAAGGTAACACGCTCGGACAAGTCCAAATTTGCGAAGACAGGCACGCGGATAGGTCAAAATAATTAGCAGCAGATACAGACAGCATCAGTGTTATCAATACTATCACTCCTGGGAATCTGCAACTGGCATATGATCAGACTTTATATGCCTGCTTTAATTTAAAGTTTAATCTTCACATAAAAACTTCGGACAAAACTTGAAATTTAGATGTTATCACGTCCAAACTTGAAGGGTACAGGATCAATACGAGAAGAGACCTCGGGTCGACTGATCAGTGGCCGAGAAATTGTATCAGTTAAGACACGTTGAAACACAGTAAAAGCGTCCTCGGCGCCCACCGAAGAAAACTCGCGCTGAAGATGTTGCTAAACCGCATGCAGGACACCACGTGCCATCTACAGCAAGGCCGACATGAGGGTTCAGCAATAGTATAGACTTACAGAAGATACAATTTGGCAGCTGCTCACCATAGTGCATGTAAGTGATTGCTGGTCCATTAGCGTTCCTGCTGACCGAGACACCAAACAAGATTGAATATCGAATGGTGGGCACCACTCACGAAACATCCCCCAAAACGCCCGCTCATCCCACACAAAAGGAAACATCTCTTCTGAAACAAACGCTCAAAGGTCACGAAAAATCAGTGGAGGACGTAGCTTTCATCTGTGGTACCCGTCTCCTCGTCACTGGCTCCACGGACAAGAGTCTTCGAGTGCGGGATCTTGACACGGGGGAACAAGTGGGGGAGCCCTTGTTGGGTCACGATTCCGCAGTCTGGAGGGTCGTAGCATCCCCCGATGGGCGTTGGATTGTGAGTGCAGGAGGGAATGGAAGCATCCTGGTCTGGGAAGTTGCGACAAACAAGAAAGTATCAGAGTTCAAGAGAGTACCCGTCTCGTTCAAGGGTCATGGGAGTTCTGTTTGGGATGTTGTATCTGCACCGGACAGCGAGACATTTGCCAGTGCATCATGGGACGAAACGGTATGCGTGTGGAAGAGGGAGATGGGAAAAATAGTCCTCGGACCACTCAAAGTAGCCAACTATGCACTCTCAGTGTCGTACTCCCTGGATGGGACAAAACTGGCAGCAGGCACCGACGAACACATCATCATTTGGAATCCAGCAACAGGACAAGAGTTGCTTCAGATAGAACAGCGGGCATGGCGACTCGCATTCACTCCAGATGGTCTCCGTCTCGTCAGTGTAAACCTGAATGACATCCGAATCTCAGATGCTACCACCGGAGATATCATCAAACAGTTTGACGCGCACACCGATAAAATTTGCTCACTATCCATTGCTCCCAATGGCACAAAATTCGCCACCGCTTCATTCAACAAGACGACGCGGTTCTTTGACCTAAGCACTTGCGAACCTATCGGCGAGCCACTCGAACACCCTGATGCCGTCTCGGATGTGGCCTTTTCCCACTGGCAGGACAGCCAGCTCATCGCCGCTGGCTGTGAGGACAAGATTGTTCGCACATGGATAGTTCCTCTGAGCGAGTTGGAAAAGGAGTCCCAGCAGGTGAGCAAATTCTCTTCTTGTGTCGTGCTTCATATTGACCTGTCATATGGTCCACACAGAAAATTCTGAAAGTACGCTTTCACGCTCATCATTTTTCACGATCCCTAACTTCAGTCCTACAGCAAACCATCCCAAGCACACAGCCTCGCCCAAGACGCGCTCCAATACCGACCAGTGAGTTCTTCCGTGATGTAAGTCCATATGATACATTAGATTCGATGCACGTCTCACGATCCTTTGATAGTTTGATCCTGGACGCAACAACCGCGCTGCTACCACCACGCGCCATGCTGCAGGGTCTGGAATGAAGAACATGATAAATTGTCTCTTTTCTCGCTCTCGCTCTCCCCAGGCCCATACTCCTCGACCACGCAGTATTCCCCTCGTGGACGTCTTCGCAACACGAGGCAAATATGTAAGTTTTCCTGACCTTTCGACATCCATCTCGTGATGTTGATATTGTTTTCGCAGCGCACCGCTAATGCCCAGAGTGGCAAACGACATCTGGCGAGGCCGCTACATCCTCCTCGAAAGCAAGCTCACGCCGGTGCATCAAGCAGCAGGACGCCACCAGCAGGGACATCTAATGTGGTCGATGAAACTACCGCCGGCAACACATCAGGAAATGTGTGCATTGCTTAATTGCACTTGCAATTTTGAAATTTTACATAAAGTCGAGTAAGCTGGCTCAGCTGAGCTCAAGACCGGTCATTTTCGCTTGATGCGTACTTTATGTCTTTGAGGAGATACATGGCTAGGTTGCTATTAAGGGAGCTAAGATGCGAAGTGATCAAGTCAAGTAAAGCGGGCAAGTTGAGACTCAAGATGCTATTTCGAACGAGTTATGATCTACAAATTTGTTTACATAGTAACCTTTGAACAAATCCAGAGAGTTGTGAAATGTAACATCATCTTCAATAAAATCATCACCAAAAATCGGTAGCAAGTGTGACGTGCGAATGATCGTGTCGAGATGTATAATGGAAAGTTCTCGTGAGCCATCCTCATGAAAGGATGGTCGTACTGTCCACATGCCAACGTTCAGATCTGGTTTGTCCCCGAGAAGCTTGAACCAATGTATCAGCGTGCAGGGAAAGATCTCCCCGCTGTGACAGAATGAGAAAAAACATAGGACGCGTTCAACCTCCATTCCATTGATTGAGTCTTCACTGGCGGTGTTGATGAAAACGGTATCGAGGTGAGGAGGACCTCTCCGCCATGACAGTGCAGCACGAATGTGCGCACGGTGCATCCCACCAATACCGCTCGGGTCGCTGGGAGCAAAAAACGTAGCAGCTGCTGAGTTGAAGACTTTGATAGGGCCTTCGAATCGTGGGCAGGCACTGAGAGGAACGTCATCCGAGGTGAGAGAGCCGTCAGCAACAAGCTGATCATAAAGGAAGAGTCGGAGGAGTCGGGGAAGATCGGGGATGTCCATTTCGACTGCCAGAGCCCGTATATTGTGAGCGCGAGCACATTCTCCAATTGGGTTTGGCGAGTGAATTAACTTGAATGCGAGAACATGAAGGAAAACTTATGGGGAGTACGCGCCATTTTGACGTCACTCTGTGCTCTCGGCCCCTCCAACACACCATCTCCAATTTCGTCCTGCTCCACCATAGGATTTCTCTCCACCCCCTCGTTGTTGTTTTGAACAGCGCTGTCATCATCATTTTCGTTGTCATTTTCGTCGTCGGTGTTGTTGGTGTTGGCGTTAGCATTGGCGTTGGTGTTTTGAGCAGTGTTGTCACCATTGTGAGCAATGCTGGTGACGTCCTGTGTGTTCGAACTAGCACTAAGTAGATTCTCTGAAATAAACTGTTAATACATATTGTGCACAAGTATTAAAATGAAACAACATACCGACAATGGAGGAATTGAGCATTTTACGTGCCGTGAAGTCCATTCGTGATGCAGCGATTTTGTCAAGGCGCTGGTTGGTGAGTAGCATTTGCCCAAGCACATTGAATTTGCTTGACCGTCACCAAGGTTCCTTGACGGCCTTGATGTGTTTTGATTCTGTTATTGACGAGCACAAATTGTTCGGCGCTCTGAACATGTGAATGAGTAGAATGTAGTGATTGAGTGAATGTTGGCGCAGTAGCGAAAACCTGTGTAATCGAACACCTGTGTCTTGAAAAATTTTCCAGTATTGGTGAAAGCACTGGAGTGCGTCTGAAAGCTTCTCGAGAGTGTCTTCAGTAATGATATCTTGCCGCACAATGTAGCAAAACCCAAGAAAGGCGTGAAAACATCGAACAATGTCTTGAGGGACATGTCCCTTGATTGCTGGAAGGTAAACTTTCATGAGAGCCTTCAAATCATCGCTGGTCCATTGTGAAAACCCGTGCCCTTCAGGAAATCGGCGAAGTCCTGCAAAAGAGGGTGCTGCAGCTATCCTTAATGAACAACAAGACATTAGCAGTCAAATTGAAGTTGTAGGTGGTAAAAGTACTTACTGGCAGTCAATGTCGTCGAGGATCCCCTTCGCGCATGTCTTTCCATGTTCCTTCAGTAGATACAGCTCGACCCATGCAACCAGATGGTCTTTGAAGGTGCCTTTGATGATCTGATGCAAAATGTCCGGCAACAAGAGTTCATGAATGTCGGCACAAGGGAAATCATTTGTGAACGGCTGAAAAGTGTGAACAACGAGAGAGAAATGAAAGCCAAAGAGAATTACCACTAAGTCACTTATAATTCCCCATTCCTCCCAAAGCATTCCATAGTCAAACTCTTCACAAAGAGCATCCGTAGTCTCTCATCCACACAGCCCACTGTTGAGTCCATCCAAGTTGTTGGAGAATGCAAAGCACCTGAGGCATTATTGTAAGCATAGGTGAGAGTCAAAAGCGGTCATAAAAACACTTACTTTGCACACCAATTATATACAACGCAAGCAAGGGCAGATTGTTCAGGGTAATCAGCAATATATGGCCCTAGGCTGTATATCACACGTCAAAAGTGCCCATCTCCGAAGTGCACGACCTCGGGAACAGACATTGCAGGCTTGAGGGACGACAGAATCTTCGACAGTGAACTATGTAGAAGTTGCTTCTTGAATTTGCGGAAGTGTAGGTCCTCAGCATATTTTTTTGCAGCTATAAGTTCTATTTAATGAGTGTCAAACGGCACGTTGTAGAGAAAATACGCACTCTTCGGGATGGCCAAGAAACCAACGATGGCCATGGCGTTTTGGTGTGCATGATGCACATTATTATGAACATTGCCAATTGAAGTGTACAGTGGGTAGTAGTTGCTTTGCCCGGTTGCTACAGACACAGTCGTTTTGTTGCTTCCAAGGATCACAGGGATGAAGGTCACACCATGAGTGAGGGGATCTTTTGCAATCTCATCCTAAACAATCAGACCATTCAGTCAATCTGGATGTAGACCCAGTACCCTGGATGGTTCAAATTGCCGTAGATTGTGTCCAGCCAGGCGCTGGCCAATGGTAGTAGATATGTGTATATATGGTGTTGGCCAGTGCGTAGATGCTGTACAGGGGCCAGGTGTGGTAGGTCATAATGGGCAATGTATCAACAGTTCTGGCCAGGTGGATCATACTCCAGATGTTGACCCTCAACTATGCGTGAGTAGGGTCTGGCCGGGATTGCATTCAACTAACTTGGTCATGTAGCAATGGGTCTGGCCAGATTTGTAGAGCTGAGTCTGGCCAGCTGGCCTACACAACACCACACTGGCCAGCCCTGCCCTTACACACATGTAGAAAAGGGTCTGGATGGGTTTGGACACCTGTACCTCAGGTGCTGGCCAGAGACCTTAGGCATGTGACCACCGGCCAGACCCACTCTCGCAAGTGTGTGGCTGGTTCTGGCTGGTGATGCACAATCCGTTCTGGCTGGGTGGCTCATACTTCAGACATTGACCCTCAACTATGTGTGAGTAGGGTCTGGCCGGGATTAAATTCTATTAATTTGGTTATGTAGCAATGGGTCTGGCTGGATTTGTAGAGCAGAGTCCAGCCAGCTAGTACCACTGCACTGGCCAGCCTTGCCCTTACATATATGTAGGAAAGGGTCTAGCCAGGTTTGCACAACTGTGCCTCAGGTGCTGGCCTGTTATGTCAAACTGGTGCTGGCCAGACCTTGGACATGAGATCACTGGCCAGACCCACTCTTGCAGGTGTGAGGCTGGTTCTGGGCGGCAATGCACAATCTGTTCTGGCCAGACTTAGCACTGCATATGCATAGGAGTAGGTATGGCTAGCCTGCAGTGGTGGCTCTAGCCATGATTCAACTTGTCATAGACAGGTCCAGCTCTGATGGACACTTCAGCACTCAATGTATTGTTCAAGTTACAGATCTACCATATACAAACAAAGTGATGACTTGCTAATTATTTTTGGCTTTCTTGGAGGGAAGCCTAACTCTGGAAGAACGGCAGATGTCAGTCTTGGCCATCTTGGATACTCTTCCAGATCCACTTGACTTGCTCCTTTTTTTGCCTTTCACCTCCTCTCTGACCTCCTCCTGCACCTCATCCCCATCATCATTGCTGCCAACGTCTGGAATATCTTTCCCATCTTCATCTGCCATCTCTTTCTCCTCCACCATCTGTTGCTCCAAGGCCTCATTCGCATTTTGCAGCATCTGAGTCTCCTCCTGAAGCTTATGCATCGACTCCTTCAACTCCTCGTTGAGCTGTTTCTGCTCTGCAAGCTTCTGTAACTCCCCCTCCAGCTGCTGCTTTAATTCCACCTCCTCACTCCTTGGCTTCTCCACTGGCTGCTTCATCTCCTCTTCCTGCCTTCGTCTCTCTTCTTCCTTGGATGTTTCATCCTCCACTATTCTCTCTTCCCCATCTGCATGAGTGTGGGCATCATCTGGGGCTTCAGCTGTGGAATTGCAGGAAATTTCGCACTGCCCCTCCCTTGCCTTGAGGACACACATAACCCTCCCTCTGACAGTGTTAACCACCTCTCCAACAAGGTTGAGGATCTTGATATCCAATATTGAGATGCCAATGTAAGTGGGTGTGTTAGGGGTGGCTTCATCTTCCTCATATTCGATGGCCCGCTTACATTCTCTGAGCAGTAATCCAAGACCTAGGGCAACCCACATTCCTGATGGCAGGCCAGTGATATTGGCAGATGCCGCCATTTCCAGGAACACCTGCACCATGCCATCCTCAGAGTGTATAGCACTTGGAAGGTGTGATCCTTCCCAAGACCACATTGCCCAGGTAGGCCAGTCTTTTTGCTCCTCCGAACCTTGTTCCTGGACAGAGCCAGTATTAATTTTTACTTGTTCAATCACCAGCCTACCTTGCATAAGTCTCTGATACCTTCCACTAACAATAGGTATCTGTCATGGCTGCTGAGGGACTTCAAGAAGGACACATGATCCCTCATAGGCACAGCTGCTGGTGCACCTGCTTGAGCGCAGGATGGTTGAGCAGCCAGTCCTTTAGTACATCCTGTGGAGGGTGGTGTAGCTGAATTGTTGTCTGAGGAATCACTCTCGGCTGGCCCTGTGGTACGTGGTATGGGGCGCATGCTGGCCAATACATTGGAGGCAGGCTGGATCCTGGCTGGCAGTTCGGTATGTGCTGTAGGATGAGGGTGTGGCATGGCTGAGGTTTGTTCCTCATCTTCGTCATCGATTTCCATGTACTCCTTTTGAATTTTCTTCTCCTTGTGAGGAACTGCATTCTCCAGGCGTGCTCTACTCATATCACCAAGCTTTCCTGCAACAAAAATAACCAGTTTTTGCTTTGTGGCCCTTCTTGTGTCCCAATGAGCCCAGAGGTTATTGATGTCACTTGCCCTCAAATGAGAAGGGTCCCTCAGCAGGAAGTCCTTTGGAAGACAATCCAAATCTAGGTACAATCTTTGGTTGGTGACTACCTCATGCCAAGGTACTGGCTTGGCACTCTTAGTGAAGACTTCTGCTCGACCGACTGTAAGTCCCACAAAAGCTAGCCACATAGACATTGACTCACTGTATGATGCATGGAAGATTTGGCGAACTAATTCTTGTTGTCCTTTGGTATTGATGCCAGCATGGGAAGGGAGTTTTGGATAGCCTTTCTTGTCCAGGACAAGTTCAGGTAAGATGGCCTTTGTATCATCGTCCTTGTCTTCATCGGACTCTTCATCAGTGTCATCAGGATCTTATTATTTCTTAGTTATTATGTAGTCAAAACCAAAATGCACACTCACAGAATTGTAACTTAGACCACTCAGCAAATTTATCAAAACCTTCAGATGACCATTCCTTGTTTCCTCAAGAACTTTGGGTGAACGGTTTTTTGTTATTGATAGGCTTGGACTCATGGCTGAATAACATCACCATTGCATCAATGTACTGTAAGATGATGCATCAAATATTGCACTCACATAACAACATTCAACATCTGATTGGAATTTTTCTTGTGACTGACAAACATCACAATCTGACACCCCATAGTATGACGAACTTGTTCTGTAAATTCTTCAAGGACTCTTTTGAGGTTCCACTTTCGATACCTGCCAATGTACATAGTTAGAGGATTCTGAATGATAAATATGAACACTTACATTGCTTGGGAGTCTACTGGTGCACCTTCTCTGTTCCACTTTTCCTTTGCATCCTCAACTTCCTTTTGTTGTGCAGGGGTCATGTTTTTGAACCAATCCCTCACATGTCCTGTATGGAACTTGATTGAATTTTTTACCCCTAATTTTGACTGCTCCTCCTTATCATAGCAATCTATTTCCTGCTTAAACAGCTTCTGAGCAACATCAAAGGAAGTGGCTTCCTTCTTGTAGAATCCTGCATCCTTGGGATGGGCTGCTCCCTCTCTCTCCTCAGGAGACACACCAGATGTTTGGTCATCCTGTTCATCTCCCAAGATGTTTTCTTCAGCGTGTATATCATCTTCGTTGGTTAAGAACTGCAGGTAGTACTGCCTAATAGACTTTGTAACCAGTAAAAAAAGTCCTATTATATACCAAGCAAGCCATACTAACCTTTTTCAAAGCCTTCGGCAAGAGAACAGGATCCTTGAGTGACTTACAGTGGCTCAAAAAACTGTCCACATGTTTTGACATTTTTCACTATCTATGATATTGTGTGAGAACAAACAAATGCCTCAAGGACATGGTTATACCACATTGTAGTATGGCTTCAGGGCTTTCATTTGAGCCCTACACCATGGGAATCGGTGGAGATATGGTGGAGATACAAGGCTCACAAAATGGTGACTCATGCGGACAGTTTTTTGACTCAAGTATTTTACAATAATAACCAGGTATTCTAGTATTTTGTATGACCTCCCTTGGCTTTAATTACTGCCTCTATCCTTCTAGGCATACTCTCGATTAATTTCTGGCAATCCTCAGCTGTGATCTTCCCCCATTCCACTGCTACTCTCTCCCAAAGCTCCCATACTCCTTTAGGGGGGTTTTCATAGGCTTGAAGCTTTTTCTTGAGTGTTCCCCAGAGATGTTCAATGACATTGACATCAGGAGACTGTGCTGGCCAGTCAAGAACATTGATGTTATGTCCTTCAAACCATTCCTTAGCTCTTCTGGATGTGTGCTTGGGATCATTATCCTGTTGGAAAATGATATCTTCTTCATCAATCCCTGATTCTGCCAAGCTAGGCAGCAAGTGGTCATTTAAAATGTCCACATACTGCTCAGCATTCATCTTCCCCTCAACCTCAGCAAGCATTCCCACACCATTCCATCCCATACAGCCCCATACCATTAAAGAACCTCCTCCAAACTTGACAGTCCCATTAACCTCTCTGTCTATTAGGCCATCTCCCTTCTTTTTCCATACATATACCTTCCCATCTGACCCAATCCTATTAATTTTGGTCTCATCTGACCATATAACATGCTTCCAGTCCTCTACAGTCCAGTGTTGATGAGCTAAGGCAAAGGCTAGTCTTCTCTGCCTATGTTTGATGGAGAGAAGAGGCTTTTTCTTCTTTGTTACTGCCTTGAGATGAGCTGCCTTGAGAACATTCCTCACAGTTTGTGAAGAGACAGGGGTAGTGATGGTGGAATTGATATAATGGGTGGCTTGGACAGCATTATCAGCCTTTCCTGTAGTGATATGTTGGATAATAGCCCTTTTGTCAGTAGAGGTAAGCTTGGATGGATGTCCTCCACAAGAGTTTTCCTTGTCTGGGTGGCTTTCTTTGATAAACTTGGCCACAGTGGACTTGCATACTCCAGTTCTAGAGGAAATTTGGCAAGCAGAGAGGCCAGCATAAGACAGAGAGAGGATATTATCTCTTTGAGCAGAGGAGATGGCTTTCATGGTGATTATGACTATGATACATGAGATATTCTGGTTTATATAGTTAGATATAGTCATAAAATAACATAATGACACCACTTCATAATTTATATAATAGTGGCATGATTTTTGTGGTGTCATAAATAATGATTTATATAGTTTTAATATACACTCAAAAAACTGTCCACATGAGTCATCATTTTATAAGCCTTATGTCTCCACCATATCTCCACCGATTCCCATGGTGTAGGGATCAAATGAAAGCCCTGAAGCCATACTACAATGTGGTATAACCATGTCCTTGAGGCATTTGTTTGTTCTCACACAATATCATAGATAGTGAAAAATGTCAAAACATGCGGACAGTTTTTTGAGCCACTGTATTTCTTCCAAGGATTTGATCCCATATTGTCCTTACAATGTTTCGACATGTTGGCAGCAAAGCAGAGACAAACCCATCCTGGTGGAGAGCCAGAATTCCCTCAAAGGATTCGCACCATTCATCCATGATGAGTTAAACAAAGAAAGTAAGATGGCAGAAAAATGTTAAGGGTATGTTGGATGTAGCTAAGGGTATGCTGGATGTAGTTAAGGGCGTGCTCAATGTAGCCAATGATCGGCCGCAAAGTGGACAGTAAGCCAAATTTGTCCAAATGCAATCACATGACATGCAACTCAGGTTTTTAATTATTCCAATATGCACTTGCCATGGAAAACAAACAAACTTGTAATTAATGAAACTAGTAATCAATGTGCAAATTGAGTGGGCCAACATACTAAAGAATTTGCAAAAACATCTACAAAAGTCACTACTCTCTGTGCGGTCTCTTTGTAGTCCCTGTCACCTCTCTAGACCTTGGCCACTTGCTTTCAGAGCTGAAAGACACAGACATAAGAGCCAAAGACAGAACAAACGGTGGGAGAGGAAAAATGATGGGAGAGGACTGGAACCAGCGGCTGGCCTTACTTCTAGCAGCATTGATAATGAAGCCAGGAGGCTTCTCAATCGTGAATTTGTGGGGAGGCTTGCACTGCCTCTTACCACAATTAGTGTACGTGCAATGATATACATACCTAGCAACAGTAGTCTGGTCTGGAGAGTCAACGTTGTGAGACTTGTCAACAACCATCACAGCCACCTTCTGCGACCAGCTATTAGTGGACCCACAGAGAGGACATTGCCCAGGCACTTTGATGCCCCACGGCTGTGTCTGCGCATGGGTGCGTGCAAAGGTTGTGATAACTAACTGGGGACTGTCTGCAACATCATCCTTGGTCATCAAGATGACCCTAGAATGTTGTCCAAGATGAGCAGAGAGGGAGAGCAGGGTGGGAAACGCCTTGCGCAGATCGAGTTGCAGGAAATATGGTGGCAGAGGCTACATTGAGGTCCAGGATGGCAGCCTTGAGCTTGACAAATGAGTCCTCATAGGCTACAGTAGTGCCGCACACAAGAAAAATCAGGATGGCGCCTTTGAGGATAGAAGTATAAGGGTGGAAGACAGTAGATAGAACCTAGATAATGAAATTAGCGAAGAACAGACTGAATACGCACATACATACCTGGGAGACACTCATAGCAACAAAATTACCATTCACTTTACTGGCAAACAACCACCCACTATCTTGCTCAGAGTGATTGGAAAAAAATGCAAACACATGGCCTGTGCATCCCAAGTGTTGAGTAAGTGCAGCGATGCATGCTTGCTGTGTGCGAGTATATGTGTTGATCTTCTCATGCGTTGCAACATCAAATGGAACTTTGAGAAAAATATACCCACTGTTAGGGTAAAAATGCCAGAGGTGTTGGTCAAGGAGGGGAATGGGCATAATTACCTCATCATGTGCACCAATGACGAAATGAATCAAGGCGATGGGAGTAGAGGTGAATAGCATGCATGTCGCAGTCTCAAATTTGCCATTGAGCCAGAGAAAATGTGGAAGGAGTGGCTGCCCTCCTTGCACTGGCAAGTTGCCATGGTATAAACCCTGTAGTCAGTAAATTAATAGCACCACAAAAACAAAGAAAAATGAGTACTTACAAAGTAGGGATCAGGCATTCTGACATTGTGCTGAGAATGACAGGAAAGGCACAGGAAAAAGACATTGGCACATCAAACAGCCTGCACATATCCAGCAGGGATGTCAATGCACTGACTGCACATGATGCATGGACAAGCATTGCACTTGTACAGTAAGATATTGTCTTCTGCACCATCACAGCAGATCATGCACCACTGACCACCAATGAGCCAAGACAGATGAAAGGGAAGGAGTACTTACAAGGCTGTGCATCTCTGCAGCCACCTCAGGCTCTGGAGACACATTTTCCAAAGCCTGTGGTGCAGGTGAAACAATGGGAGAACCAAGAGGTCCTCCAAGTCTCTCAGCAGTCCCTCCTGCACAGTGCTTCTTGGCAATGTTCTTCTCGGGTGGCATGGACGGCATGCAGAATCAGTACTGGCTGAAGTTGAGAGCAAAGATAATTACTATATATATATATGGAATGCCTTGAAACGGCAGAAATCATCGAGGCTTGCTACTTAGTGAGAACAGGAAAGAAACAGACTTGGGAAGATTCCCAACTTGAGGTCACATGTTTGTGGGACATCAACCAAACAGGACACGTCAACAATGTGTACGCATGCTGGGTCATGTGATCACATGAAATCACTGGCATTGTGCATACATAAACAAGGTCAAATATTCTGTGGCGTATAACCAGCCTACAACACTTTCACATGGTTCAAGTTCTTCTTTGCGCTGCTCACCACACTTTACTGCCTCTTGCTCTACTCTTCTCACCACATACTGCGCTCATACCATTAGCCACTTATACAGGCTGCAGCTGTGTAAGTGGCTAATGGTTCACTGAGCATTTCAACGCATACCAAGGTAGGTATCTACTTATCTCAAGTTCCTTGCTCAATGCGTTCTTTTATCTAGGTTATATTTTACAAAGGTGAGTCATTCATTTTGCTTGTCTTTTGCTTACTTCATTCTTCTTTGTAGTGTTAGTCATTGTCACTCTTACCCATTCTGCAGACTCATTGTCTAGGGTGAGCTTTATCTTTGGTTCATCATCGCTAACTCTTTCCCATCTCTATAGTATTCCGGAGTTTAGTGGGTGTGTGCAGGTGTTGTGCTGGAGAAGGCAAGCCTTATCTTTTGTTTAACTTTGCTAATTCTTTTTCATATCTATAGTATTCCAGACTTTGTTTCTGGCAGCAGGTTGGGAGGTTTAGTGCACACAATGGTGTGCCTAAACTCCCTTGCCTTATAACATTTGGTTCTGGGGGCAGCCTGGGAGGTTTAGTGCCCACAATGGTGCGCCTAAGCTCCCTTGCCTCTTAACATTTGGTTCTGGGGGCTTTGGTGCTATGGGTGCAATTTTTGCCCATTTTCAAATGAGGTATTCAATTGTTCTTTTCTTAACTATTGCTGATGTTGTTTTACAGATATTTTCCCCAGCAATCTTGGACAAAGGGCTTTGACGCTACAGGTGCAATTTTTGCCCATTTTCAAAATGAGGTATTCAATTGCTCTTTTCTTAACTATCGCTGATGTTGTTTTGCAGATATTTTCCCCAGCAATCTTGGACAAAAAGGTAGATTTAGGTATATTTACTTCACCAGTACTGACTGGCATTAATAGATTGTCCTTACCTTTATTTACACTATTAGTTACTGGCAGTACAAGACTGCTGTGGAGTGGGCCCCTCCATGGCAGCCTTGTATTAGCAATTCTTAAAATTCAACCTTAATTTAAACTGTATGCTATGTAATGTATGAAACTCTAGTCAATAGTATTATCTCCTGTAATGCAGTCACCTTGGCGCTACGCCTCATGAAATCACGTGACTGATCTTTGTCCATCTCCTACATTAAGCTTCCTGGAGGATACTCCTGGTCCTGGTCTAAGCACAATACTAGTACTACTTTAAGAGACATCCAGACATACTGCCTGCCTTTGTCTTCTAACTCCCAAGTAAAGGGTTAGAACATGCAACCCAGATACCCTCATTCTGGTATTCATCCACGTGAGCCTCGAAGATATGTCTCTGGACAAAGTTTTGCAGGCACTCATTGGCAAAGTTGACACAGGACTGATCAAGGGAGTTGGGGCAACTGCCATCAGCATCTCACAATCAGTATGTCTTGCTGTTCTTGATTTATTATATTTACCCAGATACCCTCATTCTGGTATTCATCCACATGAGCCTCAAAGATACATCTCTGGACAAAGTTTTGCAGGCGCTCATTGGCAAAGTTGACACAGGACTGATCAAGGGAGTTGGGGCGACTACTGTCAGCATCTCACAATCAGTACATCTTGCTGTTCTTGATTTATTACATTTTGGTTACCATGGAAGATTATATAGCGATACCCTGTTTGTTCTGCCTGCTACTAGGGACAAATGGCTTGTCTGGTACGTTCAAACTGTTTTCCTGACAACCTTCCCATTTGCTCACTAGTGTGAGGGATTTAGAGCATCTCATCCCAGGCTCCAGCTGATAATGTGTAAGTTTTCCTTGTTGTATCTTATGCATCCAGTGTTGGATTAGAGTCAGCACTGCATACCTCTCACTAGTCTAGCGCTTTGGGATTTGTGTTGTATGCGATGTCTGTTTATATTCCGTGTATACAGTCTATCCCTACACTAATCTGGCCTGACTATTTTCTCATTTCCACAGTGAATGTAGTATACAAAATTCTATTATTGTGAGACACGATAGGAAACGTCCGAAGGTGTGCAGAATGCTTGTACTTGATAAATATCACCTTGAGTGTTTTTTGCAACGACTGCTAGCCAAATTGCTTTGGTAACTATCCTCATATTTGCTGTTTTGGTTAGATTAATGTTGAAACAAATAACATCCATTTATAGTTTAGATCACATGCTCTCGAAAAAATTTCCAATTACCAGTTCATCTTTCTGTCCCATCTTTCTGTCCCACCTTTCTGTCCTCCAATGGGGGATCCCATTGCCACACTCACCAAAAGCCTTGCTAGCCGTGTGGATGAGCTACTGCACAATTCCTCACCTTATGAATTGTTCATGCAGACCAAATTTGATGATAGATTACTGCAAAGAGCCAAGTAAGCAACATCTGAGCTGTGGTTCCAGGACAACCGAATGGCTTTAATGTAAGGATGAGGCTGTGGGACCAGTGGCAGAATATTATATTGTCTACTAGTGATTGTACTGGTGTCAAGGCAACTATCATTACCGACGTTGAAATTTCCAAGGCTGCGGTCATAATAGCTTATGCTGCAGTTAATAGTCGTATGTTTTTATTTGATTCTGGTGTCTGTCCAGCTTTGAAGGTTTGATCTCAGTACAAGCTGATTGGGATGTTGATTGGTTTTCCGACTGTGCCAAGGTGTCGCCAAATCCATTGAATGCTAATGGGCAACAAAGACATAAACTGGCCAAATATTTTAAGGCTCCTTCATTTGGTCACATAACTGAGCCTACCACATTTGTTGACAAGCATGGAAAGATATTGGCTTGGTATTTACCAGAGATTTTGGTGCCTGATCAAATGGTATGCCTCTCGCAGATATGGCTGACACACCTTAAATGAGTTATATTTAGGAATGTATCAATCACTCCATCAAATTGCTTAGACCCATCCTCAATCAGTCTTTGCCTAAGGCAACAAAGGAGGCAAAGCAGCCTTGGTGTTCACAAGGTTTTGTCATACCTCCAGGTGGAGGAGAATTTGGAGCAGGACAGGTGACTTTATGCCCTGGTGGATTCATGAAATGCCAAGAGGTAAGTTTATTGTCATATCCATCTTATAACACAAATCTGACTTAATTGAGTTAAGCGGCTCCAAGATCTGTTATACCAATCGCCTTCCCTGTCATCATCTCAAGTTCAACTTTGGTTGTCTGAAATGATGGTAACAGAACAATTTTGGTCAGCAATTATGAGTATTATTGCACCAGATCAATATCTTGCTGGTGTGAGATCTGTGTCTAGCCTGAAGGGTATGGTCCAGACTTCATGTCATGTTATTTGGCCCTCTGTATTTTCCGGAATCAAAGTAATTGTCAACCAAGAGACACCACACCATTGGGATCTGGGAGCATCTCCATCATTCTACAACCTTCTGGTCAGCCTAGGAAAAGCTCACCAAGCTATACTTAATCTGCCTGATCTAGGTGCCAAGCTAGAATATCCCCCTGGGACTATGATTTACACTTCTGGAAGGGTTCTAGAACATGGGGTTCCAGCTTGGGGTGATGGGGAGAGGATCATAATTGCCCACTTTGTCAAAGATAAAGTTCATAATAAGCAGGACATTCCTAGGCCAAGATTCCCAATGGACTGGGAGTTTCTCAATAAAGTGGGTGCAGGTAAGGGAGGAAAACCTGTTGGTAGGAAGAATGGTAGAAAGAATGGTAGGGTGGGTAAGGGGGAGTCTAGAGGCAGTAAGTAGAGATACTTGTCCCACATCAGAAGAGGTATTTGATTAAATTTATTTGTAAATTGGAGTGGGTTTTATTTATGTAAATCCACTTTTACCATTACTTGGTGAAACATCATGTCAGGCTACAAAAGAAAATGTCTCAAGGCTGTTTCTTATTCTTTCAAAGACAGAGATATCTTGTTGAGACAAAAAGACTTGGATGTGGGCTATGTTGCCTACAAATCAGCAAGAGGCAAGAGGGGAAAACCTTCATGGGTTGAATCTTGTGCAGATTGTCATATCTGCATATCCAGATCTCAGATCCGACCCTTATCTCTTCTCAGATCCACATCTTATCTCCAATCCTATCTGCATTTTATCTCCCTCCAACATCTCATCATTCAACCTGTCCACTCATCCAGTCTGGTCCACAACTCATCCAAATCCACAACCAGCACTCATCTCCTTTTGGTAACCCCCTAACTCTGGTATTTTGGTTATCTGTATATCCGTCCTGCTCCCTTATCCGCTACCTATGTTTCATTTCTGTTTCATGATTTGTGATCCATTTCTACTTACCAATAGACTATCCACATGCTTCGTACATAGCCTCGGACTCTGCTGATTGATCATTCCGTTAGATACCTATAGTATATAACCTCCTGTAACTTTCTGTAGTACCTCAGTTTGAATATCATCTTAGTTCTACTCATTCCTGTCCTCTGGACTTGAGTACCTCTACTCTCATCACCCTCTGAGACTTAGGATTGATTCCTATAGTCTATCCATATCCGCCTCTGTCTCTGACAGTCCATTACCATTAGTTTCTAGTCTGGACTCGTCTGGAAGTCATCCAGATCCATTATGCTACTCGTCTGACCTTCTGGATGTGCTAGTCTTGCCTTCCTGAAATAAGGGGCAATACTCGGGTAAGGGGCACAGTGCACAAGCTGAGGCTGAAGCCCTTCGGATCCAGTTATCCTTTGAGTACAACCTTAACACAGATCCACTGTATGAAACATCTGCAGAGCCTTCCTCCTCCACCAGCCCAAGAAAATGAATGACAGGGATCCATACAGAGTCTCTGGGTGAAGAAGGATATCAGGTGTATCAGGAAAGTTTTGGTGACTTTGTTATGGAAGCAGAGGCTGCTCAGCAACCAAGAAGAACAAAGGTACATCTAGGAGTTCCTCCTTACCTGAGAACTGCCTTCTCAATCATGATATAGACACAAAATGACTTCATAGCAGAGTATCTTGCTTATTGAGATGTGTATCTAGACATCATCCTAGATATGGAAAAATTTGCCTGTGCTGGGATCTGCGAAACTTGTCAAAGTGCTGAGGCCACATTCAATTGTGTGACTTGCACTGGTAACCATGGCTGGTGTCAGCCCTGTCTGATCAAATCACATCAGTCATTGCCTTTCCACAAAATCCAATTCTGGAATAGTGTATGCTTCCAGGATGTCAATCTGTCCAACCAGGGATTTATATGGCACTTAGGCCATGGGGGAGAGCCTTGCCCTTCGTATGGAGCTTCAAATGTTGATGGGCACCAAGATGAGAGAATGAAAGAAATTATAGATGATACAGAAGCTGACCTCTTGCCTCATGACACCACCCCCATGACTATCATACATTCATCTGGAGTGTTCACGCACAATATGGCATGGTGTCATTGCCCTGGATCAAATCCTCAGCACCTGCAACTCCTAAGAGCAGGACTATTTCCTGCCAGCTCCACACAGCCCAGGACTGTTTTCACCTTCAAAGTACTGGATCATTTTCTCATTGATGCCTTGGAATGCAAGACTTTGGCCAGGAGCTTCTTTGAGAAGCTCACACGGCTAACCAATAATGCATTTCTGGATACTGTTCCAGTGAGTGAGAGTCTATACTTGTAGTTTTGCCAGAATACCAACAGCATCTGTAGGATCGTTATCATGAACTCATGAGAGTATCTTGCCTGTGGCAGGACTTGAAGAACCAGAAATGGTTTGGATTTGGCCATGATATGGATTCAGGCCCTGGCCCAGGAGATCTTGCTATCTTCTGCCCTTCATGTCCACAGCCAGGAATAAACATGCCTCTTTGTTGGGAAGAGAAGTATGAAAGGCAAGTTGATTATTTGTTAGTGTGGCTGGCGTTGCTTGGGTACTCTATCCTGGCCAGTACACCTGGTACAGGTGCCAGCAAAAACATGGCCGGTGCAATTTGTCTGGTGAAGAGACTGGCCAGACCAGGTGCTACATAGTGCATATTTGATACTGGCCGATATGTCTTGGCCATGACTTCAAGTCCAGGATGAGAGTACTGGCCAGTAGGCTGCACGAAGTGTGCTCTGGCTGCTATTGTTCAACAATTTTGACTTTTGCTTACAGGTGGCTTGTCATGAAGAGATTTGTGGTAGACGGAAACTTTACTGCTCATCATATGAATATGAGACAGCCCAAACTAGACATTTTCCTCTCAGATGGTTTAGGTTATATAGTCACAGAGAGAGAATATCAAGCTCATTTGGCCTCAGCTACAGAGAGTAAAGAGGTGAGTTGGCTTATCTGTATTGTTAGTAATATATTGAATGTTAGAAGAGGTCTGCTTGTAGTAACCATCGAGCAGTCAATGCAGCAAACACAAACCGAAGTAATCTCCGAGCCACAGGGGTGGGCACCACAGCTTGTGCTCGCCATGGTTGTTTTGTTCCCCATTGCATAGTAGACTTTCAAAAGGGTGAATGGCAAGTCTTCTTGCACTTACTTTGGACCAAATGACCTGACAACGCAATCAATTCCAGTCACATGAATATAGATTACTCCATATGCAATGCTATTAAGCATGCTGCCAATGGAATTGACAACTCCCTGGTAATTTATGATGTGGGCTGCCAGTGGAATCTCCACTTTGCAGAATGCATTAACAATTGCTCTGGCTTGAGCCTCCCTGACAACACTGAGATTGTTGCTGCAGTGGGAAAATTTCATCTCAGTGCTCATAAGCTCCTATGTTTTGCCAGATATAGCCTGAATTTCATTGTAGGAGCTGGGCAAGTTGATGGGGAAATTCTAGAGACCCTCTGGGCTCCCTTTAACAAGATTTCTCCAACAGCACGTTCTATGAGCCAAGCCCACCATCAAGAAATTCTAGATGATCATATGTGGAACTCAAATTGGAAAAAACTTGTTGGGATTGGTGAGTGGGTATATTTGGAATAAATTGCTCAGGAGATGAATGTTGTACACAGTTAAGACGCTCTTAAAAAAGTACAAATGTGCTAAAAAGGGCATCGATGACACTAAGGTGCCATTTGAAGAACTCGCATGTTCTTTGGAATTCAGCAAAGTTTCCTCATGCAAAAAAGATGAGAAGGAAGCAATGGAACAATGTGGGGAGTATCTTGACATATACCAGCTAAAGATAGATAAAGGTAAGCACTTTGGAGATTCTTCTCACTTCCACATGCTGTACATTCTGATGCTGGTGATTGGAAGCTCCTACAATGGCAGAAATTCAGCTAAAATTAGCTGAAACAGAATATGCTGATACTGGCAAAACAGGATTAATATCTTGGCTCATCAATGGTATAAATTTAGAGGGTGCACAGTACGTTATTACATTAACTTTATGTTGAGGGCACATCTCAATTCAGCTCAAGGGATGCATTAAGGGTAGATATTTGGCAGCTTCCCAGAGATGCATCTGCTGTTCAAAAGGCAGCAGTAGAAGAGAAGTGACAACAACTGGCAGCAAGGATCTCAAAATTTCATGAGACAGCTGATGCCATGACAGATGGCATTGAACTTGATACAGGTATGGAGCACATAGATGACATCAGATTTTGTGCTGCAGACGTGGAGGAGCAAGGGCAGGAAGCTGCAGATCTTGAAGTTCCTTTGGAAGAGACTGGTGAGGAAGTTGCTGCAGAAGGAATGCATATTTGGATGCCATCATCGATACCTCACCAACATGCTTTAGCCCTTGGCCTTGGTGCTCTGCAAGCTGAAGAACTGGAGTTATGGTGGGGCCAGGCAAATGATTGCTTGGAAAAGTTACAGCAGGCTCTCGGTCACAAAGCAATAATTTACCATCAACACTTTCAAAGTGCAGATTCAACATGGCTGGGCACAAGGTTGAAGCAAGAAGCTTATCGCTGTTGAATCAAAATAGATAAGTGTGTCTGAAGCTATCAGAGGGCAAGGAATGCAATGCAGAGACTAGGAGTGGATGAAGATACTCTCCAGAATGTTTATCAAGACATTCAGCCCAGTCAGCTTAGTGTGGACCAGGAAATCACTGAGGAGAACAGATATGGGCAAGGATCGGACAGACTGGCTTGGTTTTGGAGGGTCAACAACAATCATGATCCTGACAAAGATGTCTGTATCGATGAATGTGAGTCATGTGTAATATTCATATTTTCTCACATAACAAGTATCAGTTTACAGGGTAAATTGGTTGAAAGCTAAGGCAAGATGGCAAAGGTGGGAGGAGGAGTTGAGTTTGGTACAACATGAGATGGGATGGACAGTGGGCTGGTTTAGATATAAGAAGGCAGAATGGGAATGAAGATACCTCAAAGCCACCAAGGACGGTCATCAAGCCTATGCACAATGGCAGGTAATTTTGTGGGAAAGATTCTTACAGGATGCACAAAATGCATTCAAGGACAAGATGGTTGTAGTTACTTGACTGTTGTATTGCCTTTGCTATCTGATGTACTGATGAGTTGGCTGGATTCTCTGTCCTTATGGGAAAGTGGCCAGGACACCAAGTACAGCTTGTAGCTGTGGAAGAATCAAGTATACCAGCTGTGTAGAAGTGGGCTGGCTGGATGTACCAAACAATGGTATAATATGCACCAGCTAGTGTGCGTAGAGGTGGGCCGGCCAGATATGCCAAATGGTGGTGCAATATGCACCAGCCAGTGCATGTAGAAGTGGGCCGGCTGGACATGCCAAATGGTGGTACAATATGCACCAGCCAGTGCATGTAGAGAAGAAGATCGAGAGAGCAAACGACCAGTATTGTTCAAATTTGGCCATGAAGTATGTCAGATCTCAATCTCTGTCTCAGTGTGCACCATTGACTTGTTTGGCAGAATCAACACCAAACTTGGAGGCGTCAATTCGCTGCCAAGGTCAGGTGCACTTGAGAAGCTAGAAAGCTCTCCATTCATGGTCATGAGAAGTGGGCCGGCTGGACATGCCAAATGGTGGTACAATATGCACTAGCCGATGCATGTAGAGAAGATTGAGAGAGCAAATGACCAGTATTGTTTGAATTTGGCCATGAAGTGTGTCAGATCTCAATCTCTGTCTCAGTGTGCACCATTGACTTGTTTGGCAGAATCAACACCAAACTTGGAGGCATCAATTCACTGCCAAGGTCAGGTGTGCCTGAGAAGCTAGAAAGCTCTCCATTCATGATCATTGGAAGTGGGCCGGCCAGACATGCCAAATGGTGGTACAATATGCACCAGCCAGTGTATGTAGAGGTGGGCCAGCCAGATGTGCCAAATGCTGGTACAATATGTACTAGCCAGTGTATGTAGAAGTGGGCTGGCCGGATGTGCCAAATGGTGGTATAATATGCACCAGCTGGTGCATGTAGAAGTGGGCCAGCTGGACATGCAAAATGGTGGTACAATATGTACCAGCTGGTGTATGTAGAAGTGGGCCGGCCAGACATGCCAAATGGTGGTACAATATGCACCAGCCGGTACATGTAGAAGTGGGCTGGCCAGATGTAGCAAATGCTAGTCCAGATGAGTGAAATCTCATCAAACTTCAGACTGGTACTGGTGAAAGGGAAGCATGCTTATATCAGCCACAAAAGTAATGAATGTAAAGTAAGTAAGTAAAGCTAATATCAGCCCAAAGAAAACTTAATTGTCACACTGAGACAGAGATTGAGATCTGACACACTTCATGGCCAAATTCAAACAATACTGGTCATTTGCTCTCTCAATCTTCTCTACATGCATCGGCTGGTGCATATTGTACCACCATTTGGCATGTCTGGCTGGCCCACTTCTCATGACCATGAATGGAGAGCTTTCTAGCTTCTCAAGCACACCTGACCTTGGCAGCGAATTGACGCCTCCAAGTTTGGTGTTGATTCTGCCAAATAAGTCAATGGTGCACACTGAGACAGAGATTGAGATCTGACATACTTCATGGCCAAATTTGAACAATACTGGTCATTTGCTCTCTCAATCTTCTTCTCTACATGCACTGGCTGGTGCATATTGTACCACCATTTGGCATGTCCAGCCAGCCCACTTCTACATACACCAGCTGGTACATATTGTACCACCATTTGGCATGTCTGGCTGGCCCACTTCTACATGCATCGGCTGGTGCATATTGTACCACCATTTGGCACATCTGGCCAGCCCACTTCTACATACACAGGCTGGTACATATTGCACCACCATTTGGCATGTCCAGCTGGCCCACTTCTACATGCACTGGCTGGTACATATTGTACCATCATTTGGCATGTCCAGCCAGCCCACTTCTACATGCACTGGCTGGTACATATTGTACCACCATTTGGCACCTCTGGCCAGCCCACTTCTACATGCACCAGCTGGTACCTATTGTACGGTCATTTGGCATGTCTGCAGTACTGGTTCTACATACTGTTTTGACTGAACTATGTGAAACAATAACACATGAGCTGAATGTAAGTGTTCATAGTAGCAAACGTACCACTTGGTCCCATGCCCAATTACCTGACATCATGTTGTGCCATTGGCACTTTGCATCATCACCCTCTCCAATAAATTCCCAGTATGGTACATAGTCCATCTCGTCTTTGAAATCTGGGTTGGTGAGCATGTTCTGGATGATGATGTGTGGGTCATGGAACCACATAGTATAGGTCTTCTCCATCCATGGTGCGCTCTCTGTGTTTCTTGTATTGTTACAGTTACACATGCCCCTATTCATTTTCTTCATTATACTTGTATTATGTCATGACTGCATGATGCTGTGCCATCACTAGACTCGTCTTCTATATTTGTATTACATCATGATCACCTTGGCCGTTGTTAGATGACTCACCTCTTATCTCTGACTCGTCTCTTATCTATGACTCATCTTTTATCTCTGACTCATTTCTTATCTGTGACTCATTACTGATGTACCTGCCTGTTAAGGTCGCATGCTCAAGGGGGTCAGATCACAAGGGCTTGGCCTCAGCTTGTATGCTGTGCCCCTTTCCCGAGTATGTGCCCTTAATTTCTGGGGGCTAGAACAGTCGTCTGGAGTTTCTGGGTTTTGACTAGGGTGGATAATGGATGCCTGGATCTGAAACATGAGATAAATCCGATGGACGTCTGGATGTTACCTGGGCAAGTGGATAAGACTAATCCGGACGAAGTCTGGACTAGAAACTAACAGAGGATGGACTACCCTTAAGGTAGAGTCAAAAATGTAGTCTAGGATGCAATCCTAAGACTCAGAATATGACAAGAGACTTATCTCGAGTCCGGAGGACACAGGAATGAGCAGGAACTAAGATGATATTCAAACTGGAGTATTTCTGAGAGTTACAGGAGGTTTATATACTGTAGGTATCATATAGGAATCAGTCAGCAAACATAAAGGCTATGTATGAAGCATATGCAGAGTCTATTAGTAAGTAGGATGGATCACAAATAATGAACACTGGAAATGAAATGTATGTAACAGATCAATAATCAAAAGGGAAACATGGTTAACTGGAGTCCGGAGACAGGGGCAGTCTAAATGGAGTTGGGCGCTGATATAGGGTTTGGATTCCGGAAGGGAGATAAAGATAGATCAGATCATTTGAGATCTGGATCTCAGATCCGGATATCCGGAGAAGCGGATTTAGAGTTGAGAGTCCAGAATGGCATATGACACTGCCCTAAAGCTAGTTACATCTCATATATATAGTCAACAATGTCCTTAGTAGTTCTTTACTTTAATCTACTAGGTTTTCACCTGATACTCCTTCGCTTAAGACCTCCAATCTTAAGTCGCTAAGACCAATATTCAAGACAGAGACACTCTCTTTGTTTTGTCTTACGACCCTTACATTTGCAAGGTCTAGATTATAACTTCAGCCATCACTCTTATTGAGCTGCTGTTGTTACGACTATCCTAGTCCATAACACATATCATGGTTGTTAGCATTGTATTTCATTGAGAAACTTTTCCACAGGACGTCTCCAACTGGTGTGTTGTTGATAGTCAAATACAAATCATGGCGATCTGCAAACAGAGGGGTGTCATCATGTTTGGCAAGTGTGCCACCCCACAAGTGCATGAGCTTGTCAATGTCACCTCCAGACATTTGGACCTTCATATATAGAAACTCAGCTGTTTTGAACTCAAGTTAATTATGGTAAGGTGTCCAGTTGTCTGGGGCTTGAGATGTATAGGGAGGTGGAGGTGCATCTGAGTGAATGAAATTACCTGCTTTGTCACATATATGACCTGTGGAAAATCAGTGTCAATGCTACATGTCCTGAGTCAGGAACAGACCGTCTAGTTGAATATGATAGTCATGATAGGCACCTCCTGATGTAGGCTGATAGTCCATCTCAATGTCACCATCGTATGGGGGAGCTTTGTCTTGCATTTCGTTCAAGGGAACCTCATCTTGCATATCATTTGGGGGAGCTTCCTCTCCTGCATCATTCTGGGTGGGTTCCTTTCACATCTCAAACAAGAAGATATGGATTGCATGCCTGTGCTGTGTGAGTCCAGATCTATTCTTGAAAGTGTGGAAGCAACCAGGATATGGACACGGAATAAGGTTAACATTGAATGTTTTGCGCTTGGAACAGTGGGAGGTCTGAGCACTTGCAGAGTGCATGGCCGGCACATCCAGAGCTCGAGGCATTGTGTGAGCTAGTAGTGAACTGGAGCGGGAAGACCTCGAAGCTTTTTTTCCTGAGTGGATGAAGTCGGTGGCAAAGTACATAATAACTCACCACCCACAAAGTATTAAACAACACTCTACAACAAATTTCACTTGTCTTGTCCTTGAAGCTTGCTCTACAGCCTTTGCTGCTCGTCTCATGCTCTTCTCTGCTAATATGGTTTCAACATGTCCATCAAATGCTACAAAAAGACCTGCACAGGTGGTCTTAGATACAAAGCAAAAACAATGCACTCCAGCTCAAGTCAAGGCAGATAACGCCCACATTGAGCAAGCGAACCAAGAGAAGGAAGAGAAGACCCAGAAGGGCATCAAACGAGTTGCTGCTGCACAGGAAAAGCTCTCTCTTCAGCAAATTACAACCTTGGCTCCTTTGGTGACAATACAGAGAGTGTGGGATGCTTTCCAGATGAGGATGGTCCTGAGCACATGGCTGCATATGCACTTGTAGGAATGAGAAAGCCTAGCAGTTTGCGCAATGTTGTGGCACCAGTTGAGTATTTTACATTTAGCCTCTGATTGAATTTCTTAGAACTTTGTAGGACATCATCAAGGTTAGGAGCAGTTCACTCACGCCTCCACCACCCCCACCTTCGCAATATAATTGTGATGCGCTCATCAAAATGGAGCATGTTGACATCACCATGGGCCTCAGCAACAATTCCAATCAAGACCTTATGTACTTGGAGGATGAGGAGGAGGACAAAGGTGATAATGGTAATGAGGTTTTGGTCATCAAAGAACATGCCAACCTTGTTCAAGCAAGCAAGTGGACAATGGTAATGGTATGTAAATAAAATGATACATCATGCAGTACTCAATAACCCCTTAGACAAACATGGAAGTTGTTGTTGATAATGATTCTGATGAGGCTCCACCCACCAAGCGCATCAAAACAGAAACCAGATTGAAACCTGGAAAGGGCACTGGAGAAGTCACGAAGGCAAAATACAAGAACGGTGACCTCCCAGCTGGCTGCCTTGACAACAACATATGGCATGGTGTTTTCATTCCCACTGTTGCTCATGTTACTGGCGGAGACAACATTGATCCATGGCTCATTGAAGATGATGTCCTCATTCCAATCCTCAAGGAAGCTTGGACAGCCATTTATAATGGAAAGCCATCATTGATGAACCACACCATCGTCCTGGGAAGCGCAGTCTATCAAGTTGTAAGTCTCGCAAACTATCTTCCTGATTAGTAATTGATATTATTTCATGCAGACAAAGCAGTGCTTAAGTGAATGGTGTGGTGGATTTGGCTCTGCAGCTGTCATGATGTTCACAACATTCATGGCAGCTGACCTGCTTTATGACAATGAGGACAGCCGTGCTGATTTCGCTGATTTTTGGCTTGAAGACAACAGGTGGCTTTTCGCAAACATTGAATCAGATGACAAAAAGGTTCATTGCATCTAATCATGTTTGTGTCTGTCATGTTCTGATGATTTTTTCCATCCTGGAGCTGTGGACAGGAATGTGGCAGTCCATGTTCGTCCTGCAAACATTTGCAGTGCACCTCAACTATACACAAGGCTGTGTTTCCATCCCGTCACTTATGAGTGAGGAGCAATCTTGTCAAACAGCCCTTGCGCTCTCTGGAGTGGTGGTGATTATTTTCACAACTAATTTGAATCATCATGCTTATTTTTACCTAGGTCAAGCACACTCTTCATCTTCTGTCAAACAAACAGATGAGCTTCGAGGTCAAGTCCACCATCACCAAGGGGAAGAAGAAGGCCACACAGAAGGGCAAGGCTTCAGCTGCCAACGGGGAGCAATGGACTGCTGTGATCAGTGAAAATAAGACTTTTTTGGAGCCACTGTGGGAATATGACAGCTCAATGTTTTTGCAGGCAATCAATCACATTCCCACCAGCAATATGAAAGCTACCATTGAACAGGTGCAACAGTACATGAAAGCCACTACCACCTGCAGTGGATGGTCAAAGATGGATGCCAAGGAAGCCCAAGATGAGGACATTGATGAAGAGTATGCTGACATCTTTGCCTTTTGCTGAAGGTGATTTTTCTACTGATTCTATGTGTGCCACTGACAACTTTACACAAAGATAATGCAGTCTTTGATGTTTCTCTCCCAGCACTTCATCTCAGGTACTTCCATCTAATCCTTCAGAATCACCTCTGCTCAGCTCATTTTTTCAGTCCCTTGGAATCACCTCTGCTCAGCTCATTTTTCCAATCCCTTGGAATCACCTCCACTCAGCTCATTTTTTGTTCATAGCTTTTGTCCTCCCTTCAAACAAGTCCAACCAGCGCCAGCTTTCACTCGTGCCTTGTCAATGTCATGGTCGTTTTTGCGATGTTGTTTGTGTTCTCCAAGTCATTCCACCTGTCTGTGAGTTGCTGCTATCACTCTCACTACAGTTCCTCGCTTGCTTTCTGTGCTATTCCAACACATTCTTGCTGCCCCTCACATTTTCACCATCATACTGCTGTGATTCTAATGCTTTTATCGCTTATATCACCCTTGCACTGCCCTTTAGCTTCTTTGAACGAACTTCTTAATCTCCTCTTTACCACTGCTTCATCAGTGAATTGATGAGTCCTTGATATGGTAGCCATGAGAACTAGAATTGGATATAATTCTGCTCATGCTAAATATGGCATTATATACTGTGAGACATCCGAGTTTTTGGTACATGGCCATAGATGTCTGCAAATACAGATTACCATGAGGAGTTCACAACAAGGTCACAAAAATGCACCATCACGGCCAGCAAGGTATAATAGCATAAGTAGGTCCAACCTGCTGAACAATCCTATGCCCCCTGATGGATGTTTTGACCTACAAGACTATTCAAGACTTTCTCATGGAAAGTGCAATTAGCACTTGTCATAAAATACAGATTCACATGGAAGTTCATAGCAAGGACATGATGTTGCACCATTGCAGCCAGCAAGGTATGATACTGTAATTAAGGACAACTTGTCAGGCAATCCCATATTCCTTTATTTGTGTTTGATTTACAATGCTATTTAAGCCTTTCCCGTTCAAAATGGCTTTAGCAATTGTTGGCTGATTTAGAATATCATAGGGTTCATGAATAAATTATGACATTGTGTCATATCCCATATGCCAGACATAGATCCCATCATATTCCCACGCTTTCCGGACCTGTTTCCGGACCCCATATCCAACTCATTCCTGGATCCCCTATCCTGTCTGCCCTATGCACATTCCATCCAGCAAGACATCTGGACTTTACCTCTTCTTGGATTCCGGACTACATCCACCTCACATATCTCAGTCCTGTTTCCGCCCTGCCTTCCAGATCCCCAGATCTCCAGACCTCCAGATATTAACTGTGCTATCTCTGGACCTATTCCCACCCTCCATCCGAGATCCTGCGCCTATCCCCATTTAGGCATCTCCCCCTTTCCAGTTCTCGGTTATCTCTGTTTCCATCTTGCTGATCGATCCTTGTACTAGTTTCATCTCTGAGTTCATTTAGTTATGTTCTGTCTTACTTACCAATGTGTTTCCGCATGCTCGTACATAGCCTTACTCCTTTGCTTACTGATCCTCTCAGATAGCCTCTAGTATATAACCCCTGTACAACTACAGTAGAGTCCTCAGTCTGAATATCATCTTAGATCCTGTTCTACTTGCCAATCATCTTCCAGACTTCAGTCCGTCCGAGTCTTGTCCTTTTCCATAAGGCCTAGGGATGGATTCCCTAGGCCAGAATTCCAGACCTTCGGATTTGTCCCCTATGTCTCTGTCCCAAGTCTAGGGATTGCTTCCCTAGACTGGAGTCTTGCCTTTCCAGCACTTACCCTCTTTCTGGACTTAGGTCCACTTCCTGTCCCTCCAACTCTACCTTAGGGTAGTCTACCTCTGTTTGCTTCTACATTGGACTTCATCCGATGTAGCCCCTATTCCTTCCGGACCTCCGGACGTCCTGTCCCTCATACCTCTGGGTATCCTGTCCTTCAGACGTTCCACCCTCCATACCTTTGGACGTTCTGTCCTCCATACCTCTGGACATCTTGTCCTCCTGTCCTCTGGACCTCCTATCCTTCCATCCTGATTTCCTGTAGAAGTATTACCTTGCAGCAGGAACTCTCCTGAGCATTTCCTGCATTCCTCTGGAACTCTCCCGTGCTCCTCCGGATGTTTCCCATGCTCCTCTGGAAGTCCTCCGGACTTCATTGGACCATCATTGGACTTCCTCTGAAATGAAGGGCACATACTCAGGTAAGGGGCACAGTGTACAAGCTGAGGCCAAGCCCCTCTGAGTCAGTCTCTCTCCCCTTTGAGCATGGTTCTTAACACATTGCCCAATTGCAGCCAGTAAGGGACAAACTGGGTATTTGTGCCAACCTTGTTGAGCATTATTCCAACTCATAATGCTTTTTAAGATTTTGCAACTAAATCATAGCAGCAAGTCACCAGTCCCCAACACCACTTGTCCAATTATTTCCATCAAGCTCATTTACTTTCTCTTCCCTTTCTCTGTCATGTCGCATTCATGGCAACGAGTGAGGTCATCAACAGGGATTGAGTTGGGGATAGCCTAATGGTCCAGCTGTGAGAATGAGATTGCAGGACCATTTAATTTTAACTTCACTCAGAGAACTTCATGCAATCCACAATGATTTGCTTGTGCTAACTGAAAGCATGAATATCGTCACTAGTAGGTGGGTATTCAGAAGTCCCAAAGTATCAAATTTTATTTTGTCGATAACAGGAGAAGCCACCAGATTGTTTCAAGAATTTATTGAGTTGGGAGGATACTTAAAATTAATCATTGTGAGTACTATTATGATGTGCTGGCCTGGCCAAGGTGTGAGGGTATCATACTTTTTTGTTCAACAGTCGTCAGCAGGTATGTCAACATTGGTCACTGTGCCACTTTCGATCATCTCGGACACTAACCAGCCAGACCCTGCGGTGTCGTGGCCCTTCTTCACCAACTTACCACTCATAGTACTTGTCCCACAATGACCTTTGGAGAATAGGATGATGTGTGGCTGCTTGGGCATTGTGTAAGTGATGGTGTGACCACATTTCAAGTTCTTGCATGTGAACTTGCTTTTGTTCAGCACGGATGGGTGGGAGGTGATGCACTGCCATGTACGGACACACATACAGTTGGAACATTGGTAGGGCAAAGCTTTGCCGAATGGGTGGTTGTTCTCATGAAAGAAAGCATATGTGGTCACAGTCATCGAGGCCGTACCTCCCGGAATGCATATCACTCCCTGCTTGTACTCGGCCATGGTGGGTCGACGATGATGGAAGGCACTGTTCGCAACATGCAAATGGATTATAGATGAGTGGTTGGCAAGCCAAGGGCATGCTAGGAGGAGGTCTTGCATGACCTCCTGCACCTCGAAACCTTCGATGAGGACATGCTCAACATAGGAAGTGATTAATGGTGTAGTGAGGCATGCATGAAAAAGTTCAGCACCAAATGCAAATGTGTGTTCAACTTCGTAACTGTAAGAAAAACTATCAATCATAGTGCCGACTAAGTACTGGTAAAAAAAACTGACTGTTTGATACAGTCTTTAAACAGCTTGAATGTGTCAGGTTCCCATACCATATGGCTGCATGCGAGCATCCATAGTGTGGAACCCTTAACATAGTCCTCTATCCCGCTGACAAATAGTCCTGCAAAAAACTGGCAAGAGTAAGATACTGCAACAACATAAACATTCCACTTACTTGATCGACCGTGTACACCATGGGTTTGCCAGGCATAGTTTTTTTACTCTTCCCCCTTCCTATGATCTCACTCTCTTCGAACCTGCCCCAAAGGTCGCCTTGGAAGGTTTCTGAGTGAGTATAGACAAGTATTTCAACACATTCATACTCAATATGTTTGATACAGTCCATGAGGCTTGTCATTGCTTGAGTGTGCTTGGAAATCTTTTCTGTTGTTCTGAGGTCAAAGATGATTTTGTGGTACTGAATGATATTGTTGGGCCTGTATGGCTGTAGTTCTTGTCGCATGATGGCTGCAGGCGAGTGAGAAGGTTGGAGGGTCTGAAGAACAAAATGCAGGATAAGGATAGGATCGTGTCATATGCCATTCCGGACTCTCAACTCTAAATCCGCTTCTCCAGATATCTGGATCCGAGATCCAGATCTCAAATGATCTGATCTATCTTTATCTCCCTTCCGGAATCCAAACCCTATATCAGCACCCAACTCCATTTAGACTGCCCCTGTCTCCAGACTCCAGTTAACCATGTTTCCCTTTTGATTATTGATCCATTACATACATTTCATTTCCGGTGTTCATTATTTGTGATCCATCCTACTTACTAATAGACTCTGCATATGCTTCGTACATAGCCTTTATGTTTGCTGACTGATTCCTATATGATACCTACAGTATATAAACCTCCTGTAACTCTCAGAAATACTCCAGTTTGAATATCATCTTAGTTCCTGCTCATTCCTGTGTCCTCCGGACTCGAGATAAGTCTCTTGTCATATTCTGAGTCTTAGGATTGCATCCTAGACTACATTTTTGACTCTACCTTAAGGGTAGTCCATCCTCTGTTAGTTTCTAGTCCAGACTTCGTCCGGATTAGTCTTATCCGCTTGCCCAGGTAACATCCGGACATCCATCGGATTTATCTCACATCTCAGATCCGGGTGTCCACTATCTGCCCTAGTCAAATCCCGGAAACTCCGGACAACTGTTCTAGCCCCCAGAAATTAAGGGCACATACTCGGGAAAGGGGCACAGCATATGAGCTGAGGCCAAGCCCTTGTGATCCGACCCCCTTGAGCACGTGACCTTAACAGTATATTCGAACTGGCACCTTTCCAAGTATACTTACATCTATCATGGCCCCTACCAAAACAACAAACCCTCTCCAAGTGGCTGGACTAGTTTCTGCCCGCTGGGATTCTACCCCTATCATCGAAACTTCTCTCAGCGTCGTGTTAGCCAGCGTGCTACTGCTGGAAGCATCTCAGAACTCCTGAGTTGTCAACATCTGGAAACCCCTACATGGACTCCAGCCTTAGCCCCTCTGGGCAAAGGAGATCCGGACGACAATGACAATGATGATAATGATGATGATACCCCTGGCGGAAATCTGCTGGATGGGAATGGTGGAAATCCAGACAATGATCCAGATGATGATGATGATGATGAAAATGATGGCCTGAATCCACAGGACCGCGTCATGGTACTCCTATCCAGAGCTATCAACAACCTCACCTGAAACAATTGTTGCACCACCCTTTCTGAAGACCCGAAGGTCAAAGTCCGTGAGCTGGATGTTTTTGATGGCACTGAGCCCCGGAAACTGCGAGCATTCTTTGTCCAGTGCGAACTCAATTTCCAGAGCAAACCCAATGCTTTCCGTACCGGAAGGTCTAAGGTCAACTTTGCCCAATCTTATCTCAAAGGCATGGCCCTTGAATGGTTTGAACCGGACCTCCTTTCTGACGAGAATACTGATCATCCGGACTGGATGGATGACTATTCCAAGTTCATGCTTGAACTCCAGACCAATTTCAGACCTCATGACCCCTCCAGAGACGCGGAAATGCAGCTCGAGCAACTCAATATGTGCAATGGACAGCGCATCAATAAGTACATTGTGGAATTCCAGCGGCTTGCCTCACAAGTCCATGGATGGGGCGATGGAGCCCTATGCCAGCAATTCTATAATGGGCTTCTGGCTCATATCAAAGACAAAATCAGCCGCATGGGAAAACCCACTACCCTCCCGGAATATAAGACCCTTGCACAAACCATAGATGCCCGTTATTTGGAACGCAAGGGAGAGATCTCCCGTGAAACCAGACCCTCCTCGTCCACTCCTCCTAAGCAGTCAGCCTCTGACCGGACCAGCTCCCACTCATCCAGATCTGGAAGTAACAAATCCGGAAATCAGAATTCCAGACATAAACCCAGAAAACCCACTATGTCCTCTACCTTGTCCGCTTCAAAGGCCCCGGACCTTACCTCCAAGTTGGGTAAGGATGGAAAACTAACTTCCAAGGAACACCAGAGGCATTTAGATAAGAAGCTCTGCTTATTCTGTGGTGGACCTGGACACACTGCCTGGGACTGCAACAAATTGACTTCACGTGCTGCTACAGTCACTCCGGAAGCCAAACCAGAAGCCTCGTCCGAGGCAAAAAAATAGTCTGCGACCCTCCTGACTCCGTATGGGATGGGGGTTGCATGATCTCAACCCATACAAAGGAGTTACGTCTTAATGCTGTCTCTGTTTCCAATCCGACTTCACTCTGTCCATATATCACGATTCCAACATATCCCAGTATTTCCGAATTTCCATCTCTTGTAGATTGTGGTTCCTCTCATTGTTTTATAGATACAAATTTTGTCCAAAAATATAAAATCCCTACATACAGAATCCCTCTGCTTCCGCTTCGTTTATTTGATGGTACTTGTAATAACAATATTTCCAAAGCCATAGACCTCCCTGTCCAATTTTCGTCCGGTGTAGTTACCTCTGATACGTTTTACATTACCCCTCTGGATTCATCTTGTTTTGTCATTCTTGGATATACAGTGGCTCAAAAAACTGTCCACATGTTTTGACATTTTTCACTATCTATGATATTGTGTGAGAACAAACAAATGCCTCAAGGACATGGTTATACCACATTGTAGTATGGCTTCAGGGCTTTCATTTGAGCCCTACACCATGGGAATCGGTGGAGATATGGTGGAGATACAAGGCTCACAAAATGGTGACTCATGCGGACAGTTTTTTGAGCACATATTAAAACTATATAAATCATCATTTATGACACCATAACAACCATGCCACCATTAAATAAATTATAAAGTGGTGTCATTATGTCATTTTAAAACCATATCTAACTATACAAACCAAAAATTTCCATATGTCATGGTTATATTCACCATGAAAGCCACCCCCCCTGCTCAAAGGGATAATATCCTCTCTCTTTCCTATTCTGGCCTCTCTGCTTGTCAAATTTCCTCTAGAACTGGAGTATCCAAGTCCACTGTGGCCAAGTTCATCAAAGAAAGTCACACAGACAAGGAAAACTTCTGTGAAGGGCATCCATCCAAGCTCACCTCTACTGATAGGAGGGCTATTATTCAACATATCACTACAGGAAAGGCTGATAATGCTGTCCAGGTCACCTATTACATCAATTCCACCATCACATTCCCTGTCTCTTCACACACTGTGAGAAACATTCTCAAGACAGCTCATCTCAGGTCAGTAACAAGGAAGAAAAGGCTTTCCTCTCTATCACACATATGCAGAGAGGACTAGCACCCTTCTTTTTTCACATATATACCTTGCCATCTGACCCAATCCTATTTATTGTGGTCTTATATGATCATATAACATGCTTCCAGTCCATGTAATCCAATTCTGATGGGCTAAGGCAAAGGTTAGTCATCTCTGTTTATGTGTGATAGAGAGGAAAGCCTTTTCTTCCTTGTTACTGACCTGAGATGAGCTGTCTTGAGAATGTTTCTCACAGTGTGTGAAGAGACAGGGAATGTGATGGTGGAATTGATGTAATAGGTGACCTGGACAGCATTATCAGCCTTTCCTGTAGTGATATGTTGAATAATAGCCCTCCTATCAGTAGAGGTGAGCTTGGATGGATGCCCTTCACAGAAGTTTTCCTTGTCTGTGTGACTTTCTTTGATGAACTTGGCCACAGTGGACTTGGATACTCCAGTTCTAGAGGAAATTTGACAAGCAGAGAGGCCAGAATAGGAAAGAGAGAGGATATTATCCCTTTGAGCAGGGGGGGTGGCTTTCATGGTGAATATAACCATGACATATGGAAATTTTTGGTTTGTATAGTTAGATATGGTTTTAAAATGACATAATGACACCACTTTATAATTTATTTAATGGTGGCATGGTTGTTATGGTGTCATAAATGATGATTTATATAGTTTTAATATGTGCTCAAAAAACTGTCCGCATGAGTCACCATTTTGTGAGCCTTGTATCTCCACCATATCTCCACCGATTCCCATGGTGTAGGGCTCAAATGAAAGCCCTGAAGCCATACTACAATGTGGTATAACCATGTCCTTGAGGCATTTGTTTGTTCTCACACAATATCATAGATAGTGAAAAATGTCAAAACATGCGGACAGTTTTTTGAGCCACTGTATGACAGAAAACTGAACCTGGTCAATTAGGTGGTGAGGTCATAGCACAAACTTGCACCTGGGCCAATGCTCATCATCACAAAAGGAAGATAGGTGATGTTGACAGCAACCAAGATGCTGACAAGGAAAATCATGATGTACCTCCAAAACCTGCTCTAGTTGTAAAGTGCATCTGCCAGGAAAAAACAGATACCGACTGGCAGACAGTTCTTGACATAATCAAGTATGGTGATGAACAAAGGGAAATGTTTACTTGAAGAAGAAAGTTTGATAGCAAGGAAGAGTTAAACCGTGACAGCATTTCAAACATTGTTCTTGTAGCTTAACCTGAGGTCGTATTACTGGTTGTGGTGACAGATGAGTATCTATGCGAGTTCATTGGCTGGATGCTTACTACCGTTAGGGCATTGTGATACATGACTGTGACTGGTGTCATTGTCCACACTCCTGGGCCAGGTTCATGTCTGCTCACCCCAGTGTCTGGGGCAGACTACCGAGACATAGTAGACTAATCCAAATAAGATTGAATACCTCAACCAGATGACAGCAACTGTAACAAGTTGAGTTGAGTGGCTGCTACAACCAGTGAAAAAGAGGTCCATCCATGATCCGAGTCAGCTCAGTAAGTAAAAGTTCTACAACAAGAAAAAATATGACACTCACGGTGCAGCGGCCTTGCCTGGTGGATTGGATCTTTGGTTAGTATTTGGAAGTGATGGCCAGAATACTTGCACTCTTGCACTCATCTGAAGCTATGATGACTCTGGGGGCCATCCATACCGCCGGTTCACTTCATTAACACCAAAAATACACAGTCAAAATGTTAAGTTGGTCAAAACTCCTAAATGAATATGCAGAATGAGGGAGTGGAAAATGACTTCCTGGCTGAACTTTGGTGTTGGATGCCTCATAAATTTGCCCACTGGCACCAGTGGCCCATTCTTCCAAGTCAGTCGAAAAGTCACTGTGACATCCCCAGGCCATGACAGGTACATCTCCAACCTAAGCGACAGTGACCTCGTCCATAATACTACCAATGTCACTCAGTTGAGGCGCGCATACAACTTGAACTGTCAAGGGCCAAGCCTGAAGGATCGAGGAGTCAGTCCACCAAGTCCAATCAAGGTCCTTACTACATAGGACAGTGCTGACCTGAAGAGAACTGTCACAGTCATGTGCTCACTATCACACATGTGGTACTAGTCAGAATGGTAGTAGGAAATAAGCATCAACTAACATTGATCCGGGTGTGTGGCGTTACTAGTACTACTACAAGTCACAAAGAATCAATCACATATGTCGTAACATCGTTCACGTCACAATAATAAATATTTTTTATATGGACTTCTCTGAGTCTGTGTCCAGCTGGTCCAACTTGTCCCTATGGACTCCACTGTGATCTTCTTCAGCCCCAAACCAAATCTGCATCTGGAAATACCCAACACTGAATATCATTGGTGGCATCTTTGACAGGGCATGCGCAATGGTGAGTCTTTTATTTTATTGTGTTACAATGGGCGTTACGTTTGGGATTGTAATCAATGGTGCTGAGATGAGACACTAATTTACGTTTCTAGGTGAGACGATCATGATGGGTGCAGGGGATGAGATGCATTCTGAAATGTGTTTCTGACTTGGACAACTAGGAGTAATAGGAAGGGGAGAAGCGGGAGATGAGGTTGGATTTGCTCAAGGCTATCATATCAGGGGTTCTGGGTTTTCAAAATTATGCATCACATCTAGGGAACTCAGTGGATGTTGTATAAGGTGTTCTAGGCACCGCACTCCCGATGTTGCGCTCTCATCTATACACTACTTATCTGCAAGCTAACATTCACACACCACATTATGGCTTATGACTACCAACCACACCACACCATTGTATCATTCACTCATCCATATTAAACCAACAACCCATCAATTTTGACAACCCAACTCAACCACAACCCACCTATCAGTGCATATATGCCGCACCTAGCTGATCTACTCTACATGCTCAGTGCATGTGCCAAGCTCGCAGCTATTGAAGTCTCGATCATGCGCTGTCATCACAGACTCGGAGTCCCTGATTACAGTGTCACATAAATACCAGGTCAGAGTCAGTGTTCACCATCAACTTCAATCATCATAGTTAACACGATTTCTCCTGTCAATCCAATCCCTGTTTCACCATCACCTGCTGAAGTTCTGGCACACCTCTTTGCTACTCCAGTGCCCCCTCCATCAGTCCTTGCACCAGCCCACCCATCTATCAAGTACTGGTCTAGGCCAACTGCTGCACTGCTGAAGACACTCAAAGCGTCAACTACTACAAATGTCACAAGTACTATGTGCTTACAAAACAACATCACAGAACAACCCTGACGCTCCATTCAGCCATGCAGCCCACCACTTGTTAGCCATCTGGGTCCTTGGTGCTTCTGGCCCTTTGATCACAGCTGCATATGTGGATACTTATCTCAATCATATGCACAATGCTTTCCAGGCACCCAACTGTGTAGTAACTCGGATGATGACCTTGACTACCTTGGCAGTGAAAAGTCAGCCTGAATATTTCCTTCTCTCAGTTGAAACAACTCACAAACGCGACCCAGTTATTATAATGCATACCTGGACTATTTCCACAAAGTAGTTCTCACCCTGGGCACTGCCATCTCAAGCACCCTTGAAAAGTGCATTTTCTCTTCAGAGTACAATATTAACTATTCTCTCGCATCGGGGAAGCAGCAGTCTGAAATGCCTGACCACTTCATGGAAATTCTCATCCACCCCTTATTCACACTGGCTATGGTGCAGAATTCAGTCTTCCTGGTACATTGGCTGAAGGTCTTGCCCAGGTGAGCATTCATCCTGCATGGGCAACCATCTTAATCTCTCATTTACTTTTCCCCAGAAACCCTGATTCTCAGGACAGGCCCAGATTGCATGTGCATGCGCTCACAATCCTCTCGCAGATTACTTGTCAATAGCCATTTCTGGACGCATATCCTCTGCTCATATTGCATGGTGAACTCATCAACTCTTATGCAGAGATGTGGGCATGCAAGATCAACAGCTAGGAAGATTTCAGTTGTCACCTCAAGGAGCTCGTATGGGCAAGTACTTTGATGTACAGCATCAGTAGCTGGGATGGCGAGGGAAAGGAGTATCTTGAACAAAGGGTATGACATGGATGTGACGTGACGTGAGCTTGGCATGTGCACTGAGCATAGATTGGCCAAGTGCATGTAAGCATACAGTATGGCAAAGTGCGCAAGTCCACGCTGGCACTTGCAGAGATGCTCATTCAGGTGTATAATTGTGTTCTGTAGAAGGGGGTACCATATGTTGGGTGTCACCACATGTGGACTGTCCCCACCAGGTAGTGCACATGCTGCTAGCTGGGCCAGAATGCCAGGGAGAGTCATTGGGTATGTGAAGTGCGCTGGGGAAGGGAGGCACACAAGTGGTCACAGTGTGGCGAAGAACTTGCGCAGGGGGAGAGCAGGGCATCCACATATGAGCCACCAGGTGATGCTCACGAGGTGTGCAGAGAGACTGGCTTTGGTATGCAAGGTGAACTCAACTTAAGAGATGGGAGGAAGAGGCATGAAGTGACGACGTGCATGGTGAAGGCCCATTTCGTTTTGCTTGCTTGAGTCCTATTCATTTTTTGTCTTGAATTCCATATTTGTGATTGTACATCACCCACCTCTTCGTGAATGATATGTACTCACACCCTTTTTCACTGGCATCCAATTCAATGCTATACTATTTTTGCGAGGCAAAGTCACACCCTCCATTATCCCTCACTGTAGTTGCCACATAGTGTCCTCACCAAGTCATAGTAATGTTTAAGGGTTTTGTCATATCACATTAGCAGTCAATCATCCGGTGTGTGCTCATGTCAATGTCAGCATCTGTGGTATCCTATTCAGGCAATCGTGTTCACCCAACACTAGATTACTTGGCTAATGATATTTTTTCCTAAATAGGTTTCATTCAAGCGACCTGTGCTAGCATTATTTACTGATCCCAACCAACATATAAGATGCGAGCTGGTAAGTTCTATTCCTCACTTGCACTTTGCCATCATCCCTTGACTATTTCATTCTACCAATTCATTTACTTTTTCCTCTCTGTCTCTATGTCTCAAGTCGAGGGCAGCATGTTGCATGTCGAGGGCCAGCAGGACGACTCGGAGGGCAGCACGTCACCGCATGCCGAGGACCAGCAGGACAGAGGCAACATTCAGCCCCAACAATCTCAAGCAGTAGCAACACACGTGCAAGGTCTACAGAGACAGAAAATCACTCAACTGGAGGAGAAACTAGAGGCTCTAGAATCCAGGTGTGCAGTCAAAGAAAGGCATGACTGCTATCACATGCATTAAATTACTTTGCTCACCCTCTTTCAGGCAAAAAAACTGGTATGCAGCTAAAGGAAGAGTGATCAGATGTGTTGTTGCCCTGTTCGATAGTATTGAAGACCTCATCACTGAAAATGACAGAAGATACAATGATGATGACCAAGATACTAGTGTCGAGTAATTATTTTTCCCTTGGCTCATGCATGCCACTCATTGACATGGTTGCATAGTCAAGATCGGCTGCAGATCAGCTATGCCACCCTAGCCAAAACTTTGCCATGGTTTCACAAAAGAGGTTCAGAGATAGAGTATGATGAATACTCGCATATGTTAGAGATGGTTTGTCTTTAATTTCAACAATTGTGTCATGGTTGAGTCTTTGCCTAGCTTCGACAAGGGGCTGATGGTGCTTGCGGAGATGATACCTCGAAGCTGAAGACTCTTGTTTCAGAATGGGTCAATCGCAAATTCAAGCCACTTCCCCCCGTTGACCATGATGATAAGCATTTACATGGATTTGCCCATGATGTGTGTGGCAAGTTACTCTGTCTGGCTGAGCTTGATTGGGACAATCCAGAGCAAGTACTAGTGCACTCACTATCTTGAGATCTGATACTCATCAGTTAACCAGAGTAAGGACAGGAATTCAACATCGCTCAGATAGCTATGTTATCACAGATCTGTCATTTCCCGCCTTCTTGTATGATAAGTACACCACCAATCCAAATGATCTTGAGGAAGGCCTTTTCAAGGGCAAACTGCTTATTCAGGTTTGTTGCACCAAAGCATTCTGACAGCAAACTGACTGATATTTGCAGAGCTACAAAGCTGTGTTCACATCACCCTCCTCAGCAAAGGACATTGAAGGCGATGGCAACAGCGCAGATGTCATCAGCAACAACCAACAGGTTAAGAAGTCCTTATCTGGAATCAAGGCCAAGAAACACATAGCACAAATCATCCACATGGACAAAGTCACTCCATGCTCAATCACATACATCGCATGTCAAGTAAGTTATAATAGTTGGTCAGATTTATGACGCATCTTCACTTTACACTGGCAGGTGCGATTCACACTCTCTTCTGTTACTTCATGGCAGTCCATGGATGGTGACTTTGACTATCTGCAATTCTGGCAGAGCATCATGGACTTCTTCGAAAGGGCCCCAGGTCAAGAAGTGCATTGCAGGGTAGAAAGACTACTTGAGTGGTGGACTAGGTACATCATCTATACTCCAAACTATGCCTCGTCTGAACTCTGTTTTAAGAAAAGTTTTTGGAAGGAATCGCCAAGGTGAACTTAGCAATGCAGCAAAGGCCAATTTGTCCATCAATGCCCTTGCAAGGCAGAGGGAACAACATGACAATGCCGCATTTGATTCACCCCAGGTATAGCGTAGATCTCTCAGAATCATAGTTTACTAGTTAGTTTGCCATTAATGCCATGGCTCGATATTATTTGCTTGGTGCGAAATAAATTTGATGTCATGGTTTAACAAGAATTGTTCCTGTTTGTCATTAGAGGATACAGCTGTTATTGGTAGACCCACCTGCTTGTGTTTGGTAGGCTGGATCCAGGACAGAAGGTTGCTGGTTTGAAGAGCTTGTTTCAAATAAATAATGTTGCCCGACGATTACATTATCACTACATCAAGGACCTAAACCACCACAGTCTTATATGTCTGCTTAGGAATTCCTCCTGTAGTGTGCAAAGACACGCGATAGTGTTGATCTGTGGCACATTATGCAATGAGCTCGCTAAGTGGTAAGGGAGATACTGCGACAATCCATGGTCCACTGCCGTCAAGTGCTGAGCTAGAGGACTATACTATAAAGATATAGTGCCTGCACAAGGCCATGACCTCTCATCACAGTATCCAAAGTAGGGTGCAACTCCCTGTCATTTGATTTTTGAAGCATGTGCCATCGAAATCTTCAAGCAGAACACAAATCAATTGTCATTCACATAGGGAAAGATATAGTACCTGCACAAGGCCACAACCTCTTGTCACAGTATCCAAAGTAGGATACAGCTCCCTGTTGTTTGATTTTTGAAGCATGTGCCATCGAAATCTTCAAGCAGAACATGAATCAATTGTCGTTCATGTAGAGAAAGATATAGTACCTGCGTAAGGCCACAACCTCTCATCATGGTATCCAAAGTAGGATACAACTCCCTGTTGTTTGATTTTTGAAGTGTGTGCCATCAAAATCTTCAAGCAGAACATGAATCAATTGTTGTTCATGTAGGGAAAGATATAGTACCTGCGCAAGGCCACAACCTCTTGTCATGGTATCCAAAGTAGGATACAACTCCCCATTGTTTGATTTTTGAAGCATGTGCCATCAAAATCTCAAGTAGAACACAGGTTAATTGTTATTTGCATGGAGAACACATTGTCATTCTCTGGAAGATACTTGACATCAGTGTTACTTGGACAATGGTCCCATGATTTACAAACACCAAGCATTTCAAACAGATAGCGTCAAAAATTACAGTGGGACACAGGTCAATTTGTCACTCGCATCAAGCTCAGGTCATAAACACATCTGGCAGCTGCACAAAGGCAACACTTTTTCGCACAGATGCCCATTCAACATATAGCAGACAAAAATTAGATGTCTAAGGAAAGTGACATCAAAATTTCAAGGAGAACCTGAGTTGATTGTTGCTCACGTGATGAATACACTGTCACTCTCTGGAGGGTGCTTGCCATCAGTGTTACATGGGCAGTTGTCCCATGATTGACGAACATTAGACATTCCGATCAGATGGTGTCAAAATTCAAAGTGGGGTACAAACTTATTATTGTTCGCTCACTGAGCGCATTGTTGTTCCTCGGAAAATACTCGCTTTCTGACTTAGCTTTCAAATTATGAATACATTGTCGTTCTTTGGACGGCACTAGCTTTCACGCTTAGTTCCCACACTGTGGCCCGCAACTCCAAAATGGCAGTTGAAGTCCATCTTGCTTGTTCGTCAGCGTTTGTTGCTTTGACGCTTAGTTTCGACATTGTGGTCCACAATTTCAACATGGTAGTTGAAATCCATCTTGCTTGTTCATCAGCGTTTGCTCCGCCTGCCCTTAAAGTTTGAGTTTGAGTGATGTAAGAGTCTTTTCCCAATCACGACCTGGTGCAGGAACTTCAGAAACTCCTCTTTCCTCTATAAGGTCAAACATGATAATGTGATGCCCGATAACAGAATTATGCAGATGCTTGTGATTATGGACTATATATTGCTATATATGTCATTCTAATTTGTCCACCAGTTCTCTGATGTTTGAGTTGTCATAATCCACGAGTTTGTTTTGGAATTGATAGCGGGTGAAAATTTCAAGCTCATCAAGACACGACCAAGCCAAAAATCAAGAATTTGGATCTAATTATTTTAAGAGAGTCTGTCTTAGCGCATCCTGACTTATTTGTTCTTGAATGGCTGTCAGCCTCGTTCAAGTTTTCATTAAGAAAACCTTAAGTAACATGCACTTTTCCTGATGCATTGCAGACCGGGAGTGCCAACGCTGCTGCTACAGCTAACCACCCTTCCCCGTTGGACATTGAACATGTTCCAGACGTCAATTGCTTTGCAGTTCTTACAAGGTGCTTCCCGCGTCTTTCACGAACTCGACAGACAAGTCCTGCTGCTCCGCTCACCGGCTAAGCGGCCTCTCCCTTTCGAACCTTGTTATAGATATCACCACATGTATCAAGTATTTGAAGACACACAATTTGGTGCTGATCCTGAAAGACATTATTCGTGGTAGAGAGTAAATGATGATATCTAACTAGTACTTCGCCCCCATACATCATGAGCATGGTCCACATAGTGTATTACAAAACTCATACAAAAACTTGGTGCGTTGTAAATACTGATCAAGTCGTCGACACCGGCTAGTTCAATATCCTCATACAAGTCACTCTTAAGAGACCCCCATTGAACTGCACATAGTTGCCGCACTGGCCCTCGGATTGGGGCAGACACAACGCCGAGGAACTTGATCATGATCTTCTCTATGTTGGATACTTCTGTCCTGCGACTAATGATAAGCAGGTGCAACTGAGAGATGAGGACATGGAAGTACCCATTGAGGAGCGAAGTTCTTCTAGAGGACATTTCCTCCTGACAAAGATTCTGGTAGAAGAACACCGGGATGTTTGGGACAGGCCACAGGAATCGACATTCTTGTGAAGACGTTCGTGAGAAGTGACACCATTCCGTAGAGCGTTTTCATAGAAAATATTCGATGGATTCAGACGAACAAGGGTGCATGTGGCTGGTACAACGGGACATTCGAAGAACGATTGTGTCAGACGAGCGTGTGCTTTCTTGTTCGTGATAACCGGACCAAGTTGCTGGTGATCACCAACAAGGACAACAGCCAAGCATCATAGGGGTTGATTGAGGCTGCAGAACTACTCATCTATGTGCTTGGTGGGTGAGCTGACATTGTATGCAACAAATAGAACTGGACGCACCAACTGGAGGAGCAGCATACTGTATTCCAAGGAAATCGGTGATATTGGTCGCTGTAACTACTGAGCTCTAGTACTGGGCATAATCCAAGTCGAGAATGAATACAGATACCGTGGCTGCCGAAGACGAAAACACTTCTAGTGCAAACAAAACCTGCCATGTGACCAATATATTGGCTTTAATAGACAGTTTAAATCCCATAGATCGCGCAGGGATAACAATCTTTGATCAGGGTGATCGAATAACGCGACCTGATGCATGCGGCATTGCAAACCTTGCGAAAGTAGGGTCCAAGACGACCTATGGAGAGAATTCAAGTGTGACCACTGCCATAGGACATTTGCCTGATTGTGCGGGCCAGGTGAGGAGGCGAGTGATGCTGAGCAATGTTTGAACCGGCTAGTGATGGTCGTTCTGATCGTGAAGAATGCTTCTCGGAGAACAGCCCTCTGGGTCACCCGACCCTAAGCCTCTCACACAGTTCGGGCCGTCCGCCACGTAGAAAAGTTAAGGGAGTTCAGGCTGGTGACGAGATTTCATTGAACTTGACGAATGGATGAATAGTTAGTAGTAATTAGTCTACGTTGTTGATCTCCCAAGCTACACTGTAGAAGAAGCAAACCCTATATCCATGTGATGGGGAAAAAAACTAATTAAAATTTGACGTTAGCATTGTCAGTTGGACTGCCGCCCGCAGCACGTGGTCACTAACAGCGTATGATAGAGCGGTGAGCCGTGATCGTACGGCTTGGAGTGCAGACTCTGCTTCGTAGGCATGCGAAGGTGCACATAAATTCTGGATTGCTAGTGTTCCCGCAGATCGCGATTGTGTCAATAGTTTCGACACCGGGTGCATCGTTTATTCTGATTTAGAACTGGGAGAATCGCAGGTTTTAGGATAAACGCATTGAAGTGGGACCGCGAGGAGAACAGGACACGAACCTGGACGCTTGAGCAACGACGGTGCACGATCGGGATTGATATTCAGCAAGGTGAAGAGCACGACTTGAAAGTCGACACTCACAAAGTCATGACAACAACCTGATTCCCGTTATTACAATCTCTTGCTTGCTACAATCATCTCAAGGAATACTGAGAGGGTACATGAATGCGGAATGCCCCCCCCCGGGAATGCAATGTGTGACACTGTGACTTACACGAATTGTACAACCTTCCCCATAGTAGTGGTATATCGTTCTCCTGAGGGAAACTGGGTAGCAGTAGCTCTGCTGGAACCATGTTAATAAGGCATCCTTCTGGTCTGTGACAGACTGGATGGAGGTCCAATTAACGTGCTCTCAAGTCGGCCTTCCCCATTCTGGTATTCTTTTCTTGGCATTGATGCAGGCAATGAGGACGCTCCCGAGCTGAACGTTCAACGATGGCCTGATCAAAATGCTGCTACTGAAGGGTATATAGCAAGCGATCGATGATCAACCCCAGTAAAAGTCGGTCAGACGCCAGCCGACGGAGAACGACGGAAATCGACGAACTGTGAAAAGTATGATGTCAGTCGACGAGCGTCGACAAATGGCGCGTTACGTCGATGCACAGACGACTGGTAGCAACGCTGATTGACGCCAGTCTATAAAACATCGAGTAGTTAGATTTCCGTAGATTTGAATAGATGGCTCGCATCCATTGGTTCTCACATCATATCGACGCAAATTGACGGAAAACAATGCATTTGAAAGCTACAAAAGCAACAAAAAAAAAGCTAAAAATGGGCTACCCGCCCGCTCATTCGCACCAGCTCTTCCGTCCTACTACCCACCCCTGCTGACGATACCTAGCACCTAGCTAATGCAGCGTACCACCAGAGAACTTTGCAAGAACATCGACTGTGTTCGCGGTCCAAACACAGCCAGCAACCTAGATAGAACACACGAATAAGTGTATAATTTACATTAACAAACAGTTCTTCTGATCCACATCTGCGCTTGCATGAAGGCCTGTCGTCATCACTGCTACTGGAAGATGTAGTGGAAGAGGGTGTACGTCCCGAACCAGAGGCAATGGGAGGTTGCATGAGAGATGGTCCTGCAGCTGGTGCATTGTTCGTAGTAGTAGCAACAAAGTTTTGAAATGACCGAGAGAGCCGTGCAGCTCGCACTCGAGGCTTCTCATCCTCATCAGCCTCTTGCAGGTGTCTTTGCCATGTCCTGAGGGACTTCAGACACTTCCGCTGTCCATGACAATATTTCCGACAGCAACACCAGTGTTCTGCGTTCATAGGCTAACTACAATGTCATGTGCTTAGTAGCCACATAGTAAATGAAAGAACACACCTTTGGGAGCCTTCAGATTGGTTTCGAGTAGCCTCAGTGACACGACAAAGTACAAAATCAATGTTGCTCAAGACTCGTTGAACGTACGCTGAGCTGCGCAGCGTGCAAGAGAATATTGGCCTTATCAGCTCAAATCAAACACGTTGTTCAACGTTTGTTTACACAAGTTAGATTTCCATCAATCTAGGTCTACTGACTACTCCGAACCTACAAATCCATCAATCTCCGTCCGAGGGCATCTGACCGATTCTTACTGGGGATCAACAAGAGAAAACGTTCCAACTGAGCTTGAATGTTCTGAGCTTCCGATCAAGCCAAAGCTGTTTACATAACATTGAGAATAGCTGCTTCCCTTTTTCTTTTCCCCTGGCATCCGATATCCAATGTTATTCCACAGTATGCTCAGTGTAACCTCCGTCAGCGTCGTTCACATGCATCGGACTACTCCTTAAGTATTGCAGTCATGGGCTGATCGTGGCTCGGCACACCAGTCAAGCGCCATAAGGCATCGGTGGTTGAAATACCTTTCCAGAAATTTCTGGTAGGGAACGGACGCAGACGTAGTACGCCAGAGGTGTCCAACATGGACATATGCCGTATTTCAAACGTGAAATAGGTAGTTCGCGTTTCATTCACAGATCTACCGGGATCGATAGAAGGAACAACTGTCTTTCTCCCATCGGTTTGCCTACGGAAGACTAACTGTAATCCAGAATGCCCGGGACCGCTGACAAGGTCTGAGTCTTCGGTATAGAACTGTCAAACAACTTTCACGTCCTTGATTGGCACGCAGCACCAGGGTGGATGTATCCCTATTTCGGAGAGAGATCCAAGGAGTCTCAAACATTGGAAGCAGCGTATACAACCTGAGGCATATGAAGGCCTCCTTGCTGCGTTTTGTTCACCTATCAGTAAATACACAATCAATGCGAGAAGAGATCTTGGGTCGACTGACTCGGATGTGGCCAAGAAATTGTGTCAACTACAATATTAGGTCGAAACACAGTAAACGGCGCCTACTGAAATAAACTCCTCAAAGAAGCGCTGAAGGTGTTGCTAAACCGTATACGGGACACCACGTGTCTACAGCAAGGCCAACGTGAGGGTTCAGCGATAGTAAGTATCTTGATCTTGATGCAACTTAACGACTACTCACCATAGCGCATGTAAGTGATTGCTGCTCCCTCAGTGTTCCTGCTAACCGAGACACCGAACAAAGATTGCATGGCAGTCGCCACTCACAAAGCATCCCCTAAAGCGCCTGCCCAGCCCGCACGAAAGGAACCGCCTTTTCCCGAACTGACGTTCGAGGGTCACGAAGCATCTGTATATGACGTAGTTTTCATTCTTGGTACCCGTCTCCTCGTCACTGGCTCCACTGACCAGAGTCTTCGGGTGTGGGATCTGGACACGGGGAAACAAGTGGGGGAGCCCTTGTTGGGTCACGATTCCGCAGTCTGGAGGGTCGCAGCATCCCCCAATGGGCGTTGGATTGTGAGTGCAGGAGGGAATGGAAGCATCCTGGTCTGGGAAGTTGCAACAAACAAGAAAGAGTTCAAGAAAGTCCTCGTCTCATTCAAGGGTCATGGGAACTTGGAATCTGTCTGGGATGTTGTATTTGCACCGGACAGCGAGACATTTGCAAGTGCGTCAGGGGACGAAACGGTATGCGTGTGGAAGAGGGAGACGGGAAAAATAGTCCTGGGACCACTCAAAGTGGGCAGTGACGCATACTCGGTGTCGTACTCTCCGGATGGGACAAAACTGGCAGCAGGCACCGAGGAACACATCATCGTTTGGAATACAGCAACGGGAGAAGAGTTGCTGAAAATAAAACAGCGGGCATGGTGAGTCGCATTCACTCCAGATGGTCTCCATCTCGTCAGTGGAAACAACAATGATATCCAAATATCAGATACTATCACCGGAAACATTATCAGACAGTTCGACGCCCACACCACCCGATTCTTTTACTCACTAGCCATTGCTCCCGATGGCACAAAATTCTCAACCACTTCATTCGACAGCACGACGCGGTTCTTTGACCTGACCACTTTCGAACCCATCGGCGAGCCACTCGAGCACCCTGACACTGTCTTCAGTGTGGCTTTTTCCGGGGACAGTCAGCTCATCACCACTGGCTGTGAGGACAAGATTGTTCGCACATAATAGTTCCTCTGAGCGAGTCGGAAAAGGAGTCCCAGCAGGTGAGCAAATTCTCTTCTTGTGTCGTGCCTCATATTGACCTGTCATACGGTCCACACAGAAAATTCTGAAGGTACGCTTTCACGCTCATCATTTTTCACAATCCCTAACTTCAGTACTGCAGCAAACCGTCCAGCCTCGCTCAAGACGCGCTCCAATACCGACTAATAGGTTCTTCGATGATGTAAGTCCATATAGTGCAGTAGATTCAATGCACGTCTCATCATCCTTTGATAGTTTGATCCTGGACACAACAACTGCGCTACAACCACTACGCGCCATGGCAAAGGCTTCAACATCAAGAACATGATGGATCGTCTCTTTTCTCGCTCCTCCACTCCCCAGGGCCATTCTCCTCGCTCACGCAGGATTCCCCTTGTAGACGTCTTCGCAACACGAGGCAAATATGTAAGATTTCCTAACCTTTCGACATCTATCTCGTGATGTTGATATCGTCTCGCAGCGCACTGCTAATGCCCAGAGTGGAAAACGACATCTGGCGAAGCTGCTACGTCCCCCTCGAAAGCAAGCTCACGCCGGTGCATCAAGCAGCAGGACGCCACCAGCAGGGACATCTAATGTGGTCGATGAAACTACGCCAGCAACATTGCAGATCGGAAGTCCTAATGCTTCTGCTACAGCTAACCACCCTTCCCTGTTGGACGTTGAACATGACTCAGACGTTAGCTGCTTTGCAGTTCTTACAAGGCGCTTCCCGTGTCTTTTACGACCTCGACCGATAGGTCCTGCTGCTCCGCCCACCAGCTAAGCGGCCTCTCCCTTCCGAACCTTTCTGTTGGAGTAGATATCACCACATGTACCGAGTATTTGAAGATACATGCAATTCTATGTTGTTCCTGAAAGACCTTGCTCGTGGTAGAGAGTAAATGATGATATCTAACTAGTACTTCGTCTCCATGATGTCATATCACAGCTAGCGTGGTCCATTGTAAATCCTGATCAAGTCGTCAATGCTATCCACTTCAACATCCTTTTATAAGTCGCTCTCAAGATACCCCCGTTGAACTGCACATGGTTGCCGCACTGGCCCTCGGATTGGGGTAAGAACAACGCCCGACTCGAAGAATTTGATCACGATCTTCTCCCCGTTGGATACCTCTGTCCTGCGACTAAGAGATGAGGAGATAGAAACACCTATTGAGGAGCTAAATTCTTCTGGAGGATGTGTCTTCCTGACAAAGGTTCTGGTAGAAGAACACCAGAATGTTTGGGGCAGGCCACGGGAATCGATATTCTTGTGAGGACGTTCGGGAGCAGTGGCACCATTCCATAGAACGCCTTCATAGCACATGTTGGAGGGAATTCAGACGACAGCCTGGCGGTTGCCAACGAGGATGACAGTCAAGCCCGTCAGAGGGATCATGCGTAAGACGTGCTCAAAGTTTGGCTAACGTACGACCCGTATGTGGGATACCACGTGTGTGCAGCAAGGCCGACACGTAGATTCAACGATCATGAGGACCGAGGACCGATATAATGTTCAACTTGACTGCCACTTACCACAGCTCATGTAAGTATCTGCTCCTTCGTTCAATGCTCCTGCTAACCAACACACCGGACAAGCTTGAATGGCGGCCACCACTCACAGAAACGGGACATCCAAAGTGTCCACCCTGTCAATCGATAAGGAAACATCTCAGGCCAAACTTACGCTCAGGGGTCATGAAGAATGGGTGTCCAGCGTAGCTCTCATCCCTCGTACGAATCTCCTCGTCACTAGCTCTGCCGACAAGACCCTTCGGGTGTGGGATCTGGACACGGGAAAACAAGTGGGAGAGCCCTTGTTGAATCACGATTGCGCAGTCTGGAGGGTCGCTGCGTCCCCCGACGGGCGTTGGATTGTGAGTGGAGGGTGGAATGGAAGCATTCTTGTCTGGGAAGTTGCAACAGACAAGACAGATCTCAAGAGAGAGCCCGTCTCGTTCAAGGGTCACGAGATTCTGCTTCGAAGCCTTGTATTTGCACCGGACAGCGAGACATTTGCAAGTGCATCAAACGATTTGACAGTATGCGTTTGGAAGAGGGAGACGGGAACAATAGTGCTCGGACCACTCCGACTGGAGGAGCTGCCAAACTCGGTGTCGTATTCTCTGGATGGGGAAAAACTAGCAGCAGGGACCGACAAACACATCATCGTTTGGAACACAACAAATGGAGAACAACTACTGAAAATAGAACAACGGGCATACAGACTTGCATTCACTCCAGATGGTCTCCGTCTCGTCAGTGGAAACAACAATGACATCCGAATATCAGATGCAGCCACCGGAGACATAATCAAACAGTTGCAATTGTACGGGCACACCGATTACCTGGTCTCACTGGCCATTACTCCCAATGGCACCAAATTCGCCCTCACATCATGCGACAAGACAACGCGGTTCTTTGACCTGACCACATTCGAACCCATTGGGGAGCCGCTCGAGCACCCTGACATCGTCACATGCGTGGCATTTTCCGAGGACAGCCAGCTCATCGCTACTGGCTGTGAGGACAAGCTCGTTCGCACATGGTCAGTTCCTCTGAGCGAACTAGAGAAGGAGCTTCAATAGGTGGGCGGTTGACCTAGTGTATTAACAAGGCATCTAAAAACATGGTGAACTGCATATCCTGAATAAGTCGCTGACACTTACCACTTCAATATCCTTGTAACAAGTCCTGAAGAGACCCATTTAATTGTATATAGTTGACGATGTAGGAACCGTAGGGTGTGATAGCGTGACGTCGATATGGGCAGGCACGATACCTGGGGCGGGCCATGGGAAATCGACACTCTTGCGAAGACGCTCCGAAGCAGTGGCGCTGATCTGTAGCGTGCCGCCGAAGAACATGTATGAGGGAGACTCGAAGAAACGAGAACCCATGCGATACTGCACTTGCAGAGGAAGGGTCTAATCCCAAGTATGACCAGACGTTCGAAGAACGATTGCGTCAGACCAGCGCGCATAGCTATTTTGTTCATAATCAGCGGACCAACTACTGATTATCACTGACGAAGACTACCTGCTTACAGCTAAGCGCCAGAGAAACCATACATTCGGCTTCATCGCCAGTTGTGGGACATTTCGTCAATAAATAAAAGCGTGCCCGGCTCAGTAGCTTGATGTAGCTTGAATCAACACCGTCCTAAACTTGAGCTTATTGAGACGAGGGTCACCAGCCCCGACACATGTGCATCGGATAACATCCGCAGCACCAAAAATCTCTTTCTCGCGCAAGATCATGTCCGAGAAGCTCGTGATACTGGCGAGGAGTTTAATGGATTTAATATGGTATAGTGGAACGAACATACAATGTAGCCATCAACGCTCTTCCCAACTTCATCAAAAAAATAGCGTTCTTGCTGTATGCACCTGTGGATTGTCCAGAGCAAATGTTTCTCAAAGACCTTGTATTTGTCAGATCTGCGTTCAAACACTCCTCATTTTCTGAACCCGATGTAGACGTCCACGTTCGTCCCCTGGGACTTAAGAGCCTGAGCCAGGGAATCAGTCACGTCTATCTGAATAATATCTTCGTCGCAACCCGAGTGTTTTTGCGGACTGGTTGCATTTCCCAAGGCGAACTGCCGTTCGCTCCAGTTCTCGGGACAACTCTACCCGGGAGGATGTTGAAGATGACTGCAGAGGCACGAACGCCCAACACGGACATATATCAGGTTTCAAAAGTGAAATAGGCAATCCCCGTTCCAGTGGTATTTGCGCGCAGATCTACCATAATCCCAAAAATCCGTCACCACCGACAAGTATAAACCACCAGAGTCTTCGATACGGTTCCCATAGTCTGCGATAGTGCGAGCAGTTTTTCCAAGAGATGATTTCTTTTATATGCGAACCAGAAATCTGCGGTTGAGAATTCCAATGCGGCCACAATGAAACACCAGTCTCCATGGAAGAGTCACCGTGATCTAGAAAATACGGAAACTCCGTCCCCCGTAAATATGAATCAAACTGTTTTTTTCGATTGAGTAGTTCAAGATGAGCGCGTTATCCTATCTTGTTGACGGGAACGGCGTGATTTAGCTTTTGAATTCCTGAGAATCGAGTTACTGTTGGCGTAGCACTTAGAACACAAATGGGATGGGTAACGAGAGCTATCTGAGCTGTAGCAGAAACGACAAACGACACAACCCAACCTAAAATGATGAAAGTATGATAAATTCAAAGAACGAACGACTAAGTAAGTAATGTCTTCCAAACTCACCGCAGCTGTCTCCCCTGACCCTGTGATAGTACGTACTCGTGCACATCGGCCCTCTTTTCCGAGTATCCAGCAGGTGCGTTGTCGTGACTGGAAGGAGCCGATGGTCATGAATGGACTGTCCGAGTCGATGAGTAACTGCCGACAGACTGTCGTACCATTCTAGTAAGCACCTGCTATGTTTTGATGTGGCGAGACCAGTTCCGGTATTAACATTATGCATGATGCATCATGGTACCGTTTAACGGATTTCTGCCGTTCAGCCAGTTCCTAAATTATAGACAAGTGTATCATGAGTCATGCATTGTGAGTCATGCACAACCAATCCTTGATACGTAATCAAACTATAACTTCCATCGGACTACGGTCATCGATTGATTCGATTGCATCACTAGGTCGGCATAAGCATCGACGGCCCGCCGCGTAGTACAAGATGAGAGCTGTTGTCCAACGCGTCGCATCGGCTTCTGTATCAGGTAAAACCTATTAGCAAAGTTATCACGGCTAGTAAGTATACCTAATCTGCATCACAGTTGACGGAAAAGTGATTTCGAGCATATCCCGAGGACTGATGGTCCTAGTTGGAATCGGTACTGGTACGGATATACATCCCGCTTATCCTGTGCAGATACGTAACCAACTAGTACTTGCGCAGGATAGATGACACGCTGGCAGATGTCGAAACCTTGACGAACAAAATGCAAGGACGAATACACCTTCGGCCCTTGTCTTCCGCGCTGACCACTAGCACTACTTCCAAACAGACTTAACATCCGCGTCTTCGATGCGAATGGTACGATGTGGAAGTCGAGCGTTAAGGACATCGCTGGCGAAGTTCTATGCGTCTCCCAGTTCACGCTAATGGCGAACACTACCAAGGGCAACAAACCTGATTTTCACCGTGCGATGGTGTGCCATTTCAATTTCTTGATGATTTAACGGCAATTGCATGGGTTCTCCACAGTCCTCGAACGCCTCCAGCGAACTGTATGCGACGTTTCTCGAGAAGATGCGGCGTCTGTACGTGCCAGATCGAATACAAGGTCAGCTTCGTTCTAGTTGAGTGCATAATGCCGTGGTTAATGTACTTTTCCAGATGGGCAATTCGGTGCTATGATGAATGTCTCGTTGACAAACGAGGTATGGGGTCTTGTTACTCGAGCTTTTTATGCGGTGATGCATGCTGTTTGCGTAGGGACCTGTTACTCTGACGTTGGATACTCGGAAGTTTGAGTATGTTTCGGTTTCAGGAGGTACAGACAAGAAAACGAGTGAGAACGGCAACAAAGAGGCCAAGAACCAAACGGCTGACGTTGCTGGCTCGAGATCTGTTGCCAGTGTCAATCCAGGTCAAACTGACTCGGAGGTAGACGTTTCGTAGTGTTCGTGTTGGTGAACCATTGCATTTCCTCATCAAGTTCTTTTGTTCCCGACAAGGCAAGCTGAACTGCGAAACTCAATCTTGCAAGTTTGGACACGATGTCACAGTGAGCTGGATTATGTGGCATTGACTCAGGTATGACGGCAGAAAAGATGCGAAATGACAGTGATAACTGCAACCGGCCTACAACATCCCACCGACGAGAGCCACAATGGCTTTCGTGCGCCACCTGACCTTTCTTTCTCCACCCCTCCAAGGCACCGCCCAACGATGCAGTCCCTGAATTTCCTCCTGTAATTTTTGACGTAAATCATCTGATGAGGTTGCCATCACGAAAGACAACTCTGTGTCAAGGTTTGCTGAACGTGAGTTCAAATTCGTTGACCCAAAAAGCGTGAGGACCGGCAGTGAATCTATTGAAGGAGACAGCCAAATTCCTGGACAGGTGATGTGAGTACTGATAACGCTCCAACCCAAAGCACTGACCTTTCGCGTGGTATGTCCAACCATCCCTCTCCCACTCTTTAAGGCTGACATTATGATGGTCTGAGTCATTTGAAGAATGTCGGCTTGCGGCTTTTACCGCCGACATGAAGCGTTTCTCCAATAGGGTATATCCCTCAGGGATGAGCCCAGACAAGCCACCAGAACCGTAGAAACCATTCGCCTAGGAACGCGGGTTACATCATGATCGGCAGGCTGATCTTAGGGGAAATTTTCACCTTCGGACTGGCTGCTATGATACTACAACCAACGTTGGATTTCAAAATCAGATCCTGGTATTCCTTGGATAGTCCAAAGTAGCCGCTTGTCAGATTCATGACAGGTTCTTGATTAAGGCAGTACCCGCGGGACGCGAAGTGATCGAAGAGCGTCGACAGGGTGTGTTCCTCCTCTCGGATATTGAACTGCCCAGCTTGGATAACAGGAAAGATGACTACATCCGACGAACCTGCCTGCTCTTCACTGCTGGTGGAGGACACAGATGAAACCAGATGTTTCATTTGAAACTCTGACAACACACGCTCTGCCTTGGACTGAATCTGCCACGGCAAAACAGACGTGTCTTCCCAATGAAGGGCCGGTCCATCTGGAGTTGCCATCACTCGATACGAAAAACCAGAGACAGTCTGCAGGAACGAGAAACAGTAATCTGCAAGAGCAGGTTGTGCAGTGAAATGCAGATAGCGATCTTGTCTGTTCGAAAAGTATGCTTTGTTCAGGTTCGCTCTGTTATCTTATCAGCTCTGCTTTTTTGAGTTCCAACTGACTGACCCGCTAATCATGACTTCATCATCAGAACCGTAAATTTTGGCATGCCAGGTACCCCAACCTTCATTGAATCGAGGAGGGACTATCTTTGACATCGTTGCGCTGAGCTTTGGACTCCGAAAAAGGGATATATGTACTCTATGCTCATGGTTCCGTAGGAGGGGAAGAAGGGCGAGAATGGGAGATAATGGTCCAGGTCGAGTTGACCGGTTGTAGTCCAAGTTCAAATAAAGGTGTAGGCCAGGATTTCTCCGAAGTGCATCGTCTAAAGCGTTTATCTGGTGACTATGAGGAAAGAATATCTTGGCTACAGAATGCACGGTGTGCTTACCAGTTCTGTCTCTGAGAAACCAATGTATAATGACGACAGAAAAATCCGCCGCCGTGCACGACCGATGATGTTCTAGCATGCACTCCGTCGAGAAAGTCTCATGAAAAGAATATCCGAGTGCTTACAAGTAGATTTTTATAGAATTCAGAAGGCTGTGAGAGCACACGCACATCCTTCGATGCTACCTTGAAGCCCGGTTGTTTCTGAGCGAGACGAGATACGAATTCACGAATAGTAGGATCAAGTTTGCGCGCTATAGAGAAGTGACGCGCACATTTTGAAACAGTGAAGCATTTCAGGAGTGCCCTGTGCGTGTTGGAGTGCCTGCATACGTTTATGTATGCTGCTGCGAGCATGTAAGTATCTTCAAGGTGCTTGAAATACTACTTACACCGCGGCGGCCGAAAATATTCAGAATGGCGAAATTTCAAAAAGTGTATAAGTATAAGCACTGTTGACTAAGCGAGTCGAACTGCGTTTGCTCTAACAGACACCAACGGTGTCCCGGGATGGTACGGTTCCGACAACGAGGCTGAACTGCTGGCTGCTTCAATCATCCTCCCCTTCTTAAACTGAACACGATGTTAGCGAATGCTACAGGAGAAGTGTTCAGACTGGCAAAATCAAGTGTTATTCAGGCATCTTTCACGTTGTTAACCTTCCCAGTCCATTTGCTGGGTCGCATACGGAGGTTGGGCGCAGATGACAGATGGATACATAGTTCGGAGAGTTCGTTTGCCTTCGCAGGAAGGCATGACCTGCACTCCAATGAAGTCTTATTATCACAGTCTCTTCCTCCACCCGTCTCCACCCCTTTGCCAGGTCCATGGAGCTTTCTGACATCTTGGTATGTTTTTGGATTAATCGTGATGGTGTGTTATAGCCGCGAGTAATGTATTCTGGGACTGACTTTGCACCAGGCAGTTCTCTTACATCGTATACGGAACATCGTAGTCCCTAGGGACCAGTTCATCAACCGTTTTACTCGCACCACAAGGCTTCGTACATTCCCGTACTCTGCCATTCCTTCGGTTTTCCCCTTGGATTTATCGTCTTCAATAAGTCGTCTCGTGCTGCGTTTGCCCTCACTATACTTCATTTTCAAGATGGTCGTTATATGGCTCATTGTCCTCGCTCAAGCAGCAGACAAGTTTCCAACGTGGAACTCGTCGTGGTTGCAGTCAGTGGGGACTTATGTCGCCCAAAGAGAAACGGCAGACCTCTGCTGGTCCACTTTTTGCGCTGTCTGCGGTGTTTTATGCATGGAAGGATTAACACATGGTTTAGAAGGCGGAGCGCACCGCCCTTCGCCATTTAATCTGGTGCGGTTCTAGCGCAATATGCAACATCACTCACTCACGTGAAGAAAAAGCTCGGTTATGCATTTGTTTTGCACACCTATTCTTCCCCAGTGACTCACTGGATAATGCTTGAAGGCTCGACTTCACGGCCAGACAAGCACGTCGTATTCACCATTCTATTACCTTTGCTTCAGGTTCGCTGGCTTGCCTCGCCTCATGGGATAATAATCAACAACCCTTTCTAGCTCGCAATCATTCACTTGATTGGGATCAAGCAAGATTGGTCATCCCATCGCCTCATTCCATCAGCGTTTGTGTCGTTTCTTGCACTCACCCACTTCCATTCAGTTCTATGGCTATCGGATTCATCTTATCCTCTGCTCAACTACGTGCCTTGCCTGTTTGAATCTACCCTTCTAGCTGTTGTATTTCTAGCTCTTTTCCTCAATGCCTTTACCCAAATTGCTACAGAGGGTACGGTCTCCCGTCTCCTATTTGGCCACCAAGCTGCTCTTCTTCCCCAATGGGATGAGGACTTCTCGGTTGCATTGTTACGCTTGGGTACGGCAAGTCTCGAGGTATCGAGCGTATTGGGCCTTGGGAACCAAGTAGGGGGTATTGCTGCGGTCATGCCTCTTCCCTTGAACGACGGAACTGTGGAATTGAATCGCTCAGGGATGGCTTCGCTTTCTCCGGCCGTCGAAGGCTCCATCAAACACCGTCGTTTCAAGAAAGGTTTTTCTAATGAAATCAAGACCGTCAAGGTTACAACCACTGGAGGGAATGTTTGGGTGGATATGGCTTGGTGCAGGGAGCTTGGGAGGCTCGGAGTGAGTGTGGTGCGATGTGTCAGAGGGCTGATAATAAAATCTTGGAATGTACTCAAACGGAAGTCGCGAAAGCCGCCCAACTTTCCTCCTCGACGTATAGTAGTCAGGAGCGAGGCGACCAAGAATGAGCGGAATCAAGATTTAGATACCGAAGAAGGCGAAGAAGAAGAATTGTACGAAAGATTCATTAGGGGAGAATCCATGGATGAAGACGACGAAGATTTTGAATATTACCCCTCCGAACCGGAACGAACCGGCTCCACCAGCCCTACTTCATCGAGGTCTGAACATGGCAGCGAGGAGGAAGAAGACAAGGAGGTTCCACAACAAGACACAAACGAGGCTGTCAGTTGTTTTCGGACCTCTCTTCCGCTCCCTCGGCCATGACTTCTGCCTCGGTCTTGGTGGCACATATGACTCATAATTCCTCGTTGCCAATGACAAGACAACGATTCCAGCACCTCATGTCGACGCCTTCTCACCGTAGTGACAGCCTCCTCAGTGATTGGTCTGACGTTGCTGCCATCCGACGATCATCTTCCAGCGGGACTGGAGACTCGCACACTGAGGCAGGGAGAAATTGTGTGGTATGCACAGTTGAGCCACGCCAAATCATATGTTGGCCATGTCGGTGAGTAACAGGGTGCGATTTCTTCTGGGAATCGATGTGACACTAACTTCTCTGGCAGATGTCTCGCGGTGTGTGATGACTGCCGCGAAAATCTTGCATCGCGTTCGTCTGCATCTACTCACACGTGTCCCTGCTGTCGAAGAAAGTGAGTATCTTTACGGGGCCGTAAGGAAACGCCATCTGACATTTCATTTGCTCAAGCGTGGATGGGTATTCGAAGATCTACATCCCCTAATCCCAATGCCTTTATTGGGTGCAATTCTACAATGTAATATTACAATAGCAGACATCGCTATTCCTGTCGTGGATCGCGTGTTCTATTAGTTCCCTAGATCTATTCTTGCATATCTAGTTTGACAAGATAACGTGTGCGGAGAATTTAGACCCGGTCTGAATGTGCACAAGCTCGCACGTATCAGGGGAAACAGTCTACATAGACTAGCATGCGGGAACGAAGTGGCCAAGCAACGTATCTCATCTCAGTTCAACGCCACTAACCCCGTTGACATAACGTTGGACTTGGAGGTGATTGGAAATATGAAGAAGACAACACCTACTAGTCACCACTAGCGGAACCGTGCATAACGAGGCCATTATCGAGATAGATGGCTACGAAGCACATCATGCAACATGCTATCATCCCTTAAAAGGAATGAGTGATCAATAGCAAAAATACGCAAAAGCCACGCAACCCCAGTCAAGACAGATTATCTATTTGGCCATACTAGTAGTAATGCCGCCCGTCCATGTCATTGACAGCCAACAGCAAATACGAAACAAACTTAGGAGGACAATCAGCCACTAGTCGCAGTCACCACTGCGGAATGAGAATCGTTACGCGTGGCGAAGTCGTTGAGTCTCAGCCCATTATAGCGTGCCATCATCCCTTATGGATCCCTTAAACGGTTTGAACAAAATGTACGCAAAGGGCACACCCTGACAACCCCGGTTGAGACATGCCGCTTATCAGGCATCTGCTCGTAATATGCGTATTTGGCATTCCGGCCAGAACATACAGGATTGGAGGCGATCATCCGTTGGAAGGCTCGGGCGCTGTTGTGCGCTATATAGGAAACTCTAAGCGCTGCTTCGACAGCATTCAGTAATATGCTCCCGCAGCGGCAGTCAAGGACTGTGCACGGTCACGCCGGCCCACGACAAACGACACATGACAAACTTCTCCCACAATCGGAACGCCCAGGCGCCCATGAGTCGTTGACCGGATCCAGTGTCTAGAACCTGCAAATCTCAAGTGAATAAACCGCTGCGTCGAATAACCGAGACTCGAGCCGCAGCGTCAATCGCGCGATCTATAATTACTGCTTATCAGTTAACTGCTCGTAATAGAAAAATAGTACCCAGCCAGGCCAATCGGCCATGCAGTGCGGGCGCCTTCGTGTGGACCAACGAAACTCGTGCTGCCTCCCGCAGTATCAGTCGAGGACCGTACGTATACACGCTGCTGCGACGTCACCCACCAGAAGTCAGTGATGCAGTCATCTAGATGACAAACCTCTCCCACTGATGTCGGACGCCCATAAACGGTCTCAGGCACTCGCATCCAATCACTTGTCAAAATTATTAGGTCACACCCCCAACCCACCCAAGAAAAACGCAAGCCAAGCCTACATGTGACGAACGATTCTCCGACTAGGCAGGACCATTGATTTCGGGAGATTTGCGGTTAGGGTTGTTCCTGAGATGCCGCAGGCCTACATAGTACATATGATTGACTCGCGGGCTCAGCGTGTGCCCGATTAATATTGTCGTGCATCCTGGGCCTTTGATCATATCCGTGATTCTCCTCGTGAGAAAGAAGCTTTAGGACTTGGGTATACGATTCCGTCAGATGAGTGTGGTTCAACACCTGACCATGCCATCATGCATATGATAGCCTAGAAGTCGAAACTAAACTGGCCGGTGAAACGAGCACAAGTTCCTTTTTCGTCATACCCGGACCGTAGACGCATCGTGTAAGCCAGATGATGTAAAAGTATGACTGCTATAAGTAAATACAAGGCCACATGTAGAGTTTGTCGTTCTCGCACGACATCCGCGTTCATAGGATTGTTTCATTCATTCACCAGTGGTTATGGAAGTTCTTGTGACACGGTCCTCGCGTTGTAATATGGGTGGGTCCCGGTTAGCTTGCGACGGCCCTGTGCGGCTCGCACCCGACCAAGTGATACTTGCGTTATGCGAGCCTTGTGTTCGAGAAGCCGGGTACCGGGCGTTAGCGCTTACCGTCAATGAGTGATGCATGTGGAACTGACGCGAAAGCATTCTTATTAGTATGATTTGCACGCAATAATACTCAATTGCAACGTGGCAGATTCACGGTGATGCATCGAGTGGAGCCAGCGGATGTCTCAGATCTGGTCAACATGTGCTTGGAGCAGATAAACGATAGTATTTGGCGATAGTACTGTATGTATGACGATAAGCTTTTGAGCACGAGGCTGTTGTGGAATAAGTCTTGAAAATATAGCGACACCACATAATAACGTTACGAAGAAGAAGAGAAAAGAACACCACTGAACGAATTAAGACGTTGTGTTGGAGAAAGATATCTATGCAGCGACTGGCATAATTGGATTCTTAAAAGGGAAATGCGAATAACGGTTGTGCGGCTTGTAGGAAGTAGCAGGCTGAGAACGTGAATTTGAATGAGGTACGGGAAGAGGGAATGAGCGTAGCAGGTCGAGTGTAGATGAAGAATGATGCGACTTCTTTGGTGGTGGTGGGGGAGGAATTACAAGTTCCATAGCGTCGTGATGCGACTTGACAACAGGATTGAATGAAGAGTTTGCCACAGCCTCGGGAGTAAGTGGCTGAGGCGAGCTCTCAGAAGATGAAGAGTGGGGGCTAGAGGGATCCAAATCTGGACAATTAACATGGTGTGAACGGTGGTATTGGGAGCGCGCGTGGGATGGAGAGTAGTCTGCGAGCCTGCGAAAGTCGTGGGAAGGAAGAGCGACTGAAGACAAGCTATCGTGGTGGCTTAGAATGTCATCCTCGGTAATTGACAAATCAAAATCAAGAACATCGAGGAATTCTCGTTCAATTCGGCCCACATCACGCTTCCCGAATACGCCGGTGCAGAGCGCCCAGTGAACATTTTTAAGTGTGGAATCATTTGAAAACTGTCATGAACGAATCAGTCAGGGGCTGGGTTGGTGGCATGGGAAGTAAAGTTAATGTACCTTGCTGGCAACCATTACGGCGCCGAGAAAGACGCGCTCGCACGCCCACTCCTCTAGAGCGATTTGCAAGTGAGGTTTGGCACGATTGATGTAAACCAAGGAGACGAGAAGTGTAGGAATGGTGACTTCTGCTCGAGTGAGGACATTGGAGACGAATGTAGTGAATTTTGTGTGCTCTGGGTGGCGAGACATGCTGCGGCCACGACGAGATGATGATGGACGACCCATAGCATAGTTGACAGTGTCTACTACACAATCAACGACATATTCTATGAACTTTGTTAAGATGAATAAGACATGGAAAGCAGACGATGACATACCGATAACGGGTCGCGATAGCTTTATTTCGATGAGCTCCAAGAGAGCAGGTGAAGTGTAGAGCAGGGTCTACAAGGCTTGCCTTGTGGATTGGAGAAGAAGAAGTGAAGGAGGAGACCATGACTGTCTAGAGTATATGATGATGGCAGAGAAAGCCTAAGCGGAGACAGTTCTGGGGTATTCATGTTGGATGGATTGCGTGGTATATAAAGGGACACCGGATGGGAGGAACAGCAAGAGAGCCGGATCGGTTACTTACGAAAAGGGACAAGTGACATGAGCGATTAGAAAGGAAGGGCCGGAGTATGCATAATCGATTTCGGCTTTTCACTGCCAATTCACTGCTGTGATGACTCGGCGTCGGTGAATGAACACGAATCACCTCCGCCGTTAAAGGGCTTGTAATTACTAAATCCTTCCAAATCAGGTTTTAATGTTAAATTCGGCAAAGCGCGGCACAGCACCGTAACGCTCGCAGTGTCATTAGCCGATACGAGCGTGAAGACACTTGTTGCCGCCGGCTGCAGCCAGTGTAACGTTCCGATGGGACCATAGTATGCAATCCGAACAGTGAGCTCAGCTTCTGTCTCGGACTGGTACAAGATTTAACCGGGTTAAGCGCACTGTATAACGCTAATATGGAATCTTCTGTCCAAGTGCTTATAATAAGTCATAATTTCCCGCCACTCGAACAGTATCAATTTAGCACACCAGAAATGAGTCGGACATGTCGGGTACTGGCCGGGACGGTAGAAGACAAGTCTAGTCATGCTGACACGGGTTCCGTGCAGAAGGGGCAATATCATACATCTATCGACGATAAGCCGCGATTGTTGCGGGGAAGATGACTCCACTTGCCCATACGAGATCGTACTATGTATCATATCTAGGCTTCTTCCCTTTCGAGTCGGATGTACACATCGTTGGTCCATGTACACCCTGTGACGAGTCACGGTATCTGAGCATGCGTACAGCGATCCCATGTCAATGGGCGTGTGGCGTCTTCCGATATATAAGTATACTAAACCAAGGGGTAATTCAAGTAGCTTCCACAGGAACGTTTGGCCTGATCACAATCAAGGCCAAGGGGATCCGTATGTCCATCAAGTGCGGTGATTTATAGGCTCCGTTCATTGACATGTGCGTTGCACACGAATGCTCTCGGCCGTCCCGGTATCTCAGTCGGACTTATGCATGCGTAATAGTCATTCGTAGTCATGGATAAAGTCGATTCTAATGCGGAGTCATCCTGAACCACCTAGCGTGGTCGTTAAGAGAATGATTCCAGCGCTCGCACCAAGGCACAAAGATAGCCGTTCAAATCATTACGAATAAGGTCTTCGACACAGCATCACAGGGGAGCAGATCATCGATCAGTTACGGAGTTCAATAAAGTAATTTGTGATGTGTGATGCTAGTACAGCTTGTATCCACAGGTATCCATATAGAACCCACAACGTCCGTCCCTGCATCGAGCCCCAAATCACTCAAGCCTGCATCAATCGACCGAAGAAAACTCAAAACAGGCTCATAAGTATGTGGCTCGCAAAACGATTTTCCTTCATTCACGCTCGCCAAGCTATCACATACCAAATCGCGTACATCGTCACATGTCACTGGTCAATCATGCCGCGCCACCAGCTACAGCACTGCCGCTAGTACTCGCACTTCCGCTAGGTGCGTTGCCACCTGCTTTGCCACCACGGTTTTTGCTGCCCTTGGGCCGACCTCGTGGACGTTTCGTCGTGTTAGGCTGATCTGGTTGACTGTCGCTCACAGTGCGCTTCTCGCCATTCACGCGACGATCACGCAAATACCTGTTTAGGGAATAGCGGGTAGTTAGCACACGCCCACGAATACGCAAGGCGCCGCTTTATAATGCGCAGGAAGAGCAGCCGAACCCGCCGTGCGACAGACTCCTGTGGCGGGACGCCGATCGGCGAAAACATGCTGCGACGCACACGCCCAAACCGGCCAGAAGTTCCCTAAAACCACTGCCGGGAGGAACTTGGACTTACTGAGACGTCTTCTCATCAAGCTTAGTTTGGAGTGGGGGGAGCGGGGGCTGACCGAGCTCGGCCCGCAAGCGATCAACATCCGCTTTTGCGATAGCATATTCACCTTCTTGGAGGGTTTGGATTTGTTGCCTCAGATCCGCACATCTACACAGTCGAGTGGATTAGGACGGATTACGGGGGAATAGAGACGTGGGAAGAGTACGTACTCCCGTGTGATGGATGCTTCGAGGAGATCCACCTTTGAGGAAAGGTGAAAGATGGCATGTGAGCAATATCCTTAAATGGCACGTTTAATACCGACAATCAAACGCACCTTGTCACGGTCTGCATTTATCTGTCAGAACAACTGCTATCAGAATGATAACATAAGGTAAGTGACAGAATGCATACCTCTGCGAGTGCGTTAAGTAACCGTGCACGTTCGCTATCCAATCTGCCAGATGACGATTAGCAATCACTGTCAGCAATACATGAGACATCAAAAATGGGTGAATCAGCCACGGTCATGATAGATTGCGCGATAGATTGGCGTAATGATTGAAAAGGTGATTCATACCGGTTTTTTTGCTCTTTGATATCCTGAATTGTCTTATCCTTTTGTTCGAGGGTATTATGGGCAGCAACTATATTAGCGGTATGGAGTTGCAGCGTCAGGGAATGTTTTCTGCGCACAACTGGTTCAGTATCACACTATCACGATGTTGGGGTAATAGGGAGCCCAATCGAGTTTAATGACGCGTATAACTCACTTGAGTTCAGCTGTCTTGGCAAGTTGGACGAGCTCAGTCGTCCAATTACCAGTCGCCACAAGCGGCTGCGGCTTTGGTGTCACTTGTGGTGGGGCGGTAGTAGTTGCATGTGGTGCTACGGTGCTGGGGCCTGCAGCAGGCGCAGACATTATCATTTGGCCATAATCGTTGGATGATGCAGCGGGGAACTGTTGATACATTGGAAATGTCGGAAATCGAGCCAGCTGCAGCGAAGGGCCCTGGGGTCTTGGGTAGGTGTGTGAGTGGTTGAGTGGAGAATTTGCTAGGACTCCGTGCACTGCTGGCAGGTGTTTGTCGTTATTAGGAACCAAGGCTATTGACACGAATTGGGATACTTACTTCATCTTCTTTGAAGGTAGATTCGAAGACGATGCATGTAGATCTGACTTGAGATATTAATGCATAATTTGCGGGAGAAGCTGAGAATAATCTTAGAAGGCGGCGTCACGGTTCTTCGGTTGTATTAGAGCACTATGTGTCTATGATGCGCATCACAAGTATGCTAATTATTAGCTTTAATCAGTCAGCTTAAATTCACACTGAGAATCCCAGTGCAAAGTGCTTATTGAAGCGGTGACTAAGTGATATAAGAGCTTCTTTCTAATTACTGGTCCGGGAGCGTTAGCAAATACTAGTGTATATTTCGGTACCGTGCTGACAAGTACCTATACTCACATCGAAGGCTGAGTTCGGATTACTTAGTAAACGCTTACTACTGTATGTACGTCAGCTGTCAATAACCCGCTTCCTTACTACTCCACAGTGACTCTCAAGATAAACCTCATCACGATGAGCGTCCTCAGGCCCTTCAAAGCGAATGATCTGTTCAGATTCAACAACATGTAAGCTTGCTATATTTCAAACCTCCCCTCACGTACTCAAGTCAATTCAGTAATTTAGACGTCTGGACAGAGACTGCAAGTCCCTCACACCTTCGATCATGGATTTAACTCATGTTTTCAACAGTACGGTATCACCTTCTATCTAACTTACCTTCAAAGGTGGTCAGACCTCTGTTTCACCCAAGAAAGTCCAAGAGGCCGATTACAAGGCTACAGTGCGTGATTCACCCTCATGTCCTCAATCACCACAAATCACATTTTGAAAGTTCTCGGAAAGGCTGAAGGTGCACAAACGGAGTGGCATGGTACATATCACAGCCATCTCCGTCGCTCCAGAGTATCGCCGTCTTTCACTAGCACGCAATATGTGCCAGCGACTCGAATTTGCTTCGGACGAGATATACAAAGGGTACTTTGTGGATCTTTATGTGCGCTGTAACAACGCACTGGCCATCAAAATGTACGAGGGTATGGGATATAGCGTATACCGACGAGTAAGAGAATACTATGGTAATCTGGGGGTAGGGAAGGGTGGACGAGACGAGGAAGACGCGTTTGGTGCGTATGCCTTCACTGGTGCTTTGGACCATACTGATACCTGACAGATATGCGAAAATGTTTGTCACGCGACATGGCGCAACGATCTATACGGTCTAACGGTCGAGATATGATAGTCAGCGCTCATGATGTCTCATAAATCGTAGACGTATTTCGCGGATGCTCGCTCACAAACTACTACCTCCATTATAATACACCAAACACATCATATACTAAGTGGTGGAGGGTCGTCCGGCCCAAGAGCAGCCAGCTCCTCATCATAAAACTGTGTCAATACAGCTTCGTCCGAGCAGAACTCCTGCATCTTTATCCGAATCCCTTCCGCTACAGTTTCAGGTTTCTGCTCCTTACTCTTCATTGCACTGCCCATGCGACCTGGACCCAACAAACGGTTGGTCAGGAAAAGCAGTCCCTGCGAACCACCTATAACCTGCACAAACGCGACACCAGACCGATGCACAAATTGCGAATGTTTGAAAGGTGCTCGGCGGTAAGAGTAGGAGACGTCCACATCCTTCGGGTATAAGTTGGTAGCTTCCACATCGAGGACAAAGTCAAAGCGTTTGAGAATGGCATATTCGAAGTAATGCGTTGTGTGCGTTCCTTCAGGTACCCGTTTCTCAAGGCCTGGAACTATGGGTGGCGGTATTACCAAACGCAAAGGGAAGCAAGACTGGAACGCATTGCGTTCTCGTATGTCGCTAATTTCCATGACATAGGCCTCGACCAATTTAAGGCCGTACCTCTCAATCGCCCGACTCCATTGCCGGAGCGAGTCTTCAATGCAACGCGCAGTAGATCCGATCCATTGCAGCTCGAAATGAAAGACTGTCCCAGGGTTTTGGATGATATCGTGGTGAAGAACTACCGATTCAGCCTGGTCGCTCCTCTGTGTATAAATAAGGTTGGTTCAGGGAACTCAGGGCACAACTTTGCGTACCTTGGTAGGGTCAATGTCTACCACCATAGTTTGACTCAGGATCAGGCACTTCCTATTCCGCCTAACTCCACAAGGTCTACTGAAACTGGACGGGTAATATCCGCCTGGTCTAGTAATGCTGACCTCATCGCTGTTAATGTAACGAGATGTTTTGATCCATCCTCCTCTCGGGGTGCTGACGGTGGCATATTCACCATTTAGCTGGTAGAAGTAGTGCCTGTGGCGGAATGACAAATGAATTCAACATCATAATGCAGTATGAACCATCCAAGGAACTTACCCGTCAAGTAAGCCGTGGCGTCCTCGGCAATGAGAGAACAACCCTTGTTCGAGGAGCCTCGCCCCACATTCAGCACCTTGCTCCCTTGACGATACATCCCGAAACTCGCGCACAAGCCACGAAACAAAGTCAAACCCAGTGAAAGAATCAGGATACTTTGCTCCATGCCACTGATGAAACTTGATCGGTACGCCATCCTCTTCACGCATGAGTTTCGCAATCAACGAAAGAGGGGTGTCTGCGATTTCTCTGGTGCTCTGCATTTTCTTCTTCAGAGGTCCTGCTGCATGTATTTCGTCCAGCTGTGCCATTAGCGACTCGTCCAGGACAGAGTGTGCAGGGCCGAGTGTCGTAGGAAGAAAGCGTACGGGTGCAACGGGCGAACCACGCTCATCCGGAGGTTGCCACCGCAATTTTGTGAATATTTCAGCAAGCTTGTCGATTCCCATAAGCCGAATTTCCTCCTCATTGAGCTTCTCTCCAGAGGGACCCACGTTACCCTCAGGGACATCGGACGGTATAACTACGAATCGAGTTCGCCAGTATCGCAAGATTCATTAAATTGGTGTTCATAGCCAGCAACCAACATATCCAATCTAGGATAAGAAATTAGCACCATGACATCGTCCACAAGCACAAAAAACAGACCTGTTCCAGCCGAAATTTTCCAGCCCATGTGAGACGAACTGCGTCGGCAACTCCGTATACCCCACCCCGAGCTTAGGCCAGATAAGACACTCGTACTCAAAGGGTTGGGTCGGCGGCATCCTTCTTACATACCGCCTCACCTGGATCACCTCGCCAGTATAAGATATCCGATGAATCTCATTGCTCATGCTCAAGTAAACAGGCAGATTGGTGGTCCTGAGAACTTCCGCTGCCCCAGTCGGCTTTGGGGATGCATCGTCTTCGCCCATGAAAGATTTCGTCCGCCGCATGGTCGTGTGATCTTCACTGTCGCCCGTTTTACGCGGTCGCAAGACAAACTGGAACCCTTGTGCAAGTCGAACAGCGACCATACCACGCATTACAGTGAGTGCCCATGCACGTCGCACTTCCTCGGTGTTCCCCTGAACAGAAGGCGGCTTCACGAGGAAAGAACGCATCTCCGTCGGATCGACTACAAAGTCATACGAAAATACATCATATGACAGTTCTAGCTCCGAATTGCTCGGGAAGTGGTCCATGGTGAGCGGAAGACACGCTGGAGTGACCATAGACTTCCATTTCACCTCGTGCTTGTACGTGGGTGTAGGAAACACATGCTGCCAGCGTCTGGCAAGTGAAGACTGTGCGTACGAGACTGTAGATTGGGGTCGCGAGGGATTGGTACGACAAGTCGGGATCGGGGAGGACGACAAGAAGGGCAGGTTGAACGAATTTAGTGTTGTATTGCGCTTCTTCCCAAACGTGCTTTCATCACGGGGAGGGGTATTCATCGGTGAATGCCGATTCAAGGAGCTTCGATGTGGAAGAATGCTTTCTTCCTCATACATCCTGCTCAGAGCCGATCGACCAGATGCACCATGTAATATGGCCATTGGCTGAGGTGAGCGGGAAAGCGAGGCAGAAGGTGTAGCGGAGAGATTTGATGCGATCGGGACACGCATGCTTGGAGTGGGGGGAGATGTGGGAACTGTGACTGGTGAAGTAGGAATCGAAGGTGTCTGAGAGTCACCCGAGCTTCTTTGGAAGGGATTGTAAAACCAAGAGGTTGCAATTTTAGCAAGACGGGAAGAGCTCGCATTGCGCGATTGCGGGTCACTTCCATTATTGGTTGTGACAGACGCGTTGGTTCTCACTGAACGTATGGAGGACTGCGAAGGAGATGTGCTGAGTCCGGTCACGGAGGGTAGTAGCCCAAAATCATTGCCTTCAGGAGGTAGATCCATGATGATCTTTCTGGGGCTCTCTTCAATTGGTGCTATACGCATGGACGCGATAGAACTGCGTTGTGATGCCAGCCCGCGTCTCTCACTCATGGTCGATGAACGATAAGACGAAGCCATAATAGTCCCACCCGTAGAAGAGCCATATGAAGTGCGCGTGCTGGTGACGGGTCGGGACTCTTTCTTCAAGACGAACACATCCATATCGGCTTGATCAGCATCTGCTTGTGTGGGAAAATGGCCATCTTCCGAAAAGCTGTCTCGTGGCGGCGTGGCGTATGGGTCACTTAACTCTGGGAGGTAAGGGACCTCTATGCCAGAAAGGACGTCGTGCTCGAGCAGCCCGAGCATCTGTATCTCGTGCATTTTTGCTCTGGCAACGAACCTGAGAATATCATCAGTTAAGGTGAAGGATCGAGCTCGAACAACAGACCTATCCTCGCGAAAAGGAAGATCCATCTGCCCATCCCAGAAGGAAACACCTATCCAGAATGGCTCCCACCAGAACGTAGTCTTCTCCAATCTCCTGGATTCATCTGGGTCTTCATCACCTCCCCAGAGCGGATCTAGGGCTCGGCCACCGTTCTTCCCGTCCTTATCTAAGCGTGGCTCGTATCCCTTGAAAGCGAATATAGGAGTCTGGTGTAAAGGACGTTTTGCTAATGATACGAGATCCAAGCCGAAACCCTGGTCGAGCATGCGGGTTGTGGTTAATCGGAGCAATTGCTTAGACACTTTGTAATAGCCTGTACCAGGGGTGATGAGGATGGTTGACGCTCCAGTGTTTGACAGTGAGCGATCGATGTAGTGCGTTTCGTTTGGGTTAAGACCCAAGTTGAGAGCCTCCAGAATAGGACCATCATGCGCATCCGATAGCTGACCAACGAGTCTGGCTTGCTCTGGTGCTGTAGATTCGACAGTGGCTCGGTGGTAGTGATGGGCGAGTAAGATGTCCCTTTGGAAGTCCCAGAAGGACACTTTGAGTCCTACAAGCGTAGGTTTCCAGTCATGGATGACTTCCAAGTCAGTAATAACCTTGTAAAAATCCTTATACCGTCGACCATCTTCATCAAGTCTTAGAGGCCCTGCGGCATACTCTTTTTCGGAGTCATCGTAATACACCCTCGAGATAAGCACGATGGTCACTGTGTGATTCGTGCCAGCCTCGCGCCACCTTGTAAACAAGGCAGGGAGAAACGAGTGTACGATTTTCTCATTGTAGCGTTCACCATCTCCCGCAAATTCCCAGAGTTCACGGCAGACTTGAATAAAGATTGTCACTTTCGCAGAGAGAGACCGGTATATCGCTTTGGTAGTGGCAGTAACGTATCCTGCAGATACCTGTGAAAGCATCTTTTGAGAATAACAGGGAAGCGAAAGGCCATACACCTACTTTTCGACCCTTGACATAAATGGATTGTATCTTGGCGGCGATCACGCTTATGAAGGATATTTCCTGGTCGACAAATACACACTGCCCTACAAGGTGTTCGGCTAGTCTCCACATTTCATTTCGACCAAGGTATTGGTCTTGGAATGTGAACTCGATATAGTCTGCGCAGTACTGCTGCTTGTCCACCTGCCTCAATTATGAGCATGTCTGTAACCGAAATTGCCAAGAATACGATTACTTTCGTTACGGTCACCTCGCCATTGTTCTTTATCCCAAATGCGTCTGCGACATTCTTTGGAAGTGAAATCTAGGCCTGTCTGAGCGCGACTTCACGGTGACCGATGCAGAACAGGCACCTGTAATGCGGGTTTCGGGCAGCCTTCGTCCTTTGGAACCATGAATAGATACCCAGCAGTAGCATTCCCTGTGTTGCAACCCGAGACTTGTAGCATGTCTCCCTCTGCCACACCGGGCCACCATGTTTGATTCAATATGGCGGTGGATGACTCCTTCTGGTCGTGTACCCATGAATTGAGGACTTTGACATCTCCGAGCTTCAAATGTTGCGGAGGCGGTCCAGGGAGATTGCGAAGGACTGATTGTGCAGTATTGGATCTCCTCCGGACTGTGCTCATGACATTCGGTTGTTTCTCCGCGGTACAGATTCAGAATGCTAAACAAAAACTCCTGGCAGAAGGTGCAGCCTAAAGCGGTTACCACGCGCTTAGCTCCGAGTTAGACGTCAAAGAGTCGGCTGCTGATTGTCAAGCAGTGACCACGCCATAACTGTTACCAAGATGCGAGGAATATACTAATAATAAATCATTTTTCAACCTTTTTGCTCTAATCCTCCATCTGAAGCTGCCAGTTAACTAGGCTGCAGTGTACCAGGCGCTTTCGTCTCGATTAAATTTCTCGGAGACTCATCACATTCTTTGAACACCCTACGCTCTTTTCTCCAGAGTCTGTCATGTCCGTCGCCGCCCGCCTCGATGATACCCATGAAGTGGCGACCAAGCTCTCGTCCGAGCATACCCCATCCCCTGACTCCGAGTCATCATTGATTTTCCCCATCATTACAAACTTTAATCCATCAAACCCCTCTCATTCAACATGTACATGCTTTTCGCTTGGGCGCGTACCAACTGTCAGATTTGCACCACTTCCATCACCAGACCCTAACCGAAAGCGCTCGAAATTGCCGCTCGGAGTGGCGGCCCGTTCGCGGAGAAGACGCCCCGCGCGTGAAAGTCGCCAGCAAGGACGGTCTTTGTGGACCAGCGACCCTGCTGCAGACCCACTGCTTGAGGATCCGCTTGTTACCTTGGGGAAGTTCGTGAAAAGCACTACTAGAAACCTATGGCAGCGCGTGAGAGAGAGAAACGGGCTCATGAACCAGGTGGAGCCTATCCAACATGATATCGTTCTTGATATCAGGCCAATGGATGGTCAGGAGCAGCTGGTAGGAAGTGATGCCAGAGCACAGGCCAAGAGTTGCCTCGGAGAAGGGCAGTAATAATATTGGTAACAACTTGAAGTGGCCGCGGCGGTGGAGAAGAAGTACGGGCAGTACCGTGCCTTCTGGTCCAGGCTTACATTAATTTCTTCAAGACCTTTTACGGTGGATTAATGTGATGGTTTGATCTTTCATGCAAATAATTCGTACCAGGACCTCTACTTGTCTGCGATTAATTAGGTTTTCAGTGTTGTGCTCAGTAATACTGTTGCCATTACTGTTGCATCCGCGCACTTCGACGGGGCCTCGGTTTGTCCGTCGTGTGCAGGCTGCACATTGCTACGATGTAGATTTGATATTATGATAACCGACCGTTCCGAGAATATGAAAAGGTAGCGAAGCAGTGCCTTCGTGCCTTCGAATTGCACAAGTAAGCTTTGCTCAACTTTCTGCCTTTGTTTCATTCTCCCCACTTCTTGAATCTTCCCTTTTTCTCGATTGCTTGCGTTTTCTTTCTTCGGGCCTTTTTGGACCCGTTTTTTTGGTTTTTTTCCTACCCTTTGCATGACCCTTGGTGTTACACTTCCTTGATTCTTTTGCAAGGACCATGTCTTGCACTTTAGCTGCCACTGCAACGCAGTACACCACTATCACTACATTTACGACCTCCACGTCGCTCTCACAGAGTGTATTGAACAACCAGGCCACAGTCACGACCATCGTGCAGCAGACCTGTATCGCCACCGGCACCTTGAGTGGATCAAATAGTACAGGTTGTCTCTCAAGCGCAGCAGTTACGCAGGTGAACACCATTGGAGGTGCGTGGTTCATTATCGTACCTGCTTCCTTTCTCCCGTCGCACCACGGTGTTGTGTGACCGTTTTGACGGCACAATGCTTCCACCTATCGCGGTTATTTTGGTCGTCCCTCGCTTCTGAATGGGCGCTGATGGCTGCATTCTTTCCAGGCGGGGCTGTCACCACACAAGTACCCATAATCGCGACGGTTCCAGTCACCCAAACTCAGCCAACGAATACTCTCTTTGCCTCTTGCTCTGACGGTTCCACCCCGTCGCAGACAACTTCTACGACTGGTCAAACAAGTTCTAGTTCAACTCCTAGCCCAGTGACAACGTCTGTACTGGTAGAGACCACACCTGCACCATCCATTATCACTCAATCGTCTTCTACAACCCTTTCGAACGGCGATGTGGTTGCGACCCTGGTCACTACAACCTCTACACTGCCAGCATCTTCTGTTTACGTACCCTCTGTGATCGCAAGCCCAACTGTCACAGGTACTAAAAGTGGGAGTGGGTCAGGCACAGATGTAGCCCCCATAGTTGGTGGTGTGCTTGGCGGTTTTGTTGGATTGATCGTGGTTGTGAGCGCTTTGTGGTACTTCTGGTAAATTCTATCACCCTAGCATTTGTTTCTCCGATTTACGTTTCCCTTTCTCTCTCTTTTTCAGTCGCAGACGCAGATCCTGGGATGATATATTTGACAGAGAAGCTATTGAAGATGAAGAATTTGATTCCCCTGTTGCTGTGCGCCGAAGCCGTGACAGGACCATGCTTGACCTCGGCGCTGAGCCTAAACCATATCAGTATGGTCTCGTCGGACATGTAACGCCGCCGCCAGGGTCTGGTTCCTCGCCAAGCTCTCATCATCCTTCATTCAGTGCCTCCGTGGCAAGTACCCACAGCCGCAATACGTCAGTAACCCCTTTGCTTGGCATTAGTTCTGCACCTGGGAACACTTCCAAGGTTTCCATCTCAGGGTCCACGCAGGCGGCACAGACTGCTGCTGCACAGAGGCATCTCAGTGCGACATCCCAATCGACATCCCAATCTTCCGTGGGCCTTCGATCGTTGTCTGTGGTTTCGACCAGTAGCGCGACACCTTTGTTAGGTGGATCCGGATCTTCATCGCTTTCGTCGGGCAATCGCGTTGATGAGCTTGGCGCATTTGATCCGCTTAATCGCACGGGAAGTCCCGCCCCTGTGATCGACAGACGGGTCTTGCAAATCATCAACGATGGCCCTCAGTCGCCCAAATCCATTGCTAGTCCTGCTCCCGCTCCTACTCTTGCTCCCGTTCTCGCTCCTACTCTCGTTCCTGCTCCCGCTTCTTCATCTGCGCCTGCCAGACCGCCCGGTAAACGTGCCCCTAGACGAAGGCGGTCTAATGGTGTTGTCGTGCACACAGATGCCGGATCTGTTTCTCCCAACACGGGTGGTACTACACCAAACGAACCCCCGCCCTACTCGAGAGAATAGTTCATCCGCCTTACGCAAAACAGTCCACTGAGCACTGACATATCACTTTTACTAACCCTACCAATGGACTTACGATGACCGTACTATAGCCACCCACGCTTTCACGTTCTCCATCACCATACACAGTTGTTTGAACGTAGCCTATGGACAATGCACTCTCTAATCGTCTCTGAAGACATCCACACTGTGATTTCACATTCTGCCCTCGGAGTGGATAGATACGAATTGTATGCCAGCGCTGTTTGTTGTTTCGATATAAGTATATCCACTGATTTTGGATACAAATACCCTTAAGCTTGGTGAGCGGTCGGTCGACTCGGTTACATAGTACTACTGTAAATTATGATTCGAGAAGTGCGGCGATTCCTGGGACCGTATGTAATTGGGAAATCGTGTATATAATAATCATTATGTGTTGTAGTACGTCCACTGGGCAACGTGAGGTTGACAACGACGAGCATCGAGCGGTGTGGACCAACAATAAAGCTGGATGAGCCAGCAAAGTGTTGTGGTACTTTTTAACTCCGCGACTGAGGCATTTTTAATTTTGATTCCGGGTACTTATTACGTAAGAGTCAGTGAAGCATTGTCCTAGCTCTTTTTGTTCAAGGAATCGATCGTGTGTGGACTTTCTCGAGAACAATAAGGTTGGGATGTCAATGGCCCATCCACATCAGTCCAAACTACATAAACCGTTGTTCTCAGCTGGTCAAAATGTATCCTGCCTCGTTTTCTTAACCTTCATCGTTGCTTTCTACCGGTGCTGGGCCACCTGATTATTCATTCAGTAAACATTCTTGCAATTGCTATCCTTTCAAGTCAAACAGTCTACGATCTCATCTATCTTTCATAATGGTCGGCCCACGAGCATGTGAGTATAGCTTGTTTTTTTCTTGGGCGGATTAGCTGACTTTGCTTCAGATATTTTCTTTGGACTCAATGTTGTCCGTTTCCTGAGCATAGTGTCTCTCATACTGGTCTTTGCAAGCAGCATCTTTGTCATCGTCACGGACGTCGAAGCTGTTAACGCATTTGAGGCTGCAAAGCAAAGTGGCAATGTCACAGCGCAAGACTTTGCTGACTGTGAATACATCGAGTAAGTTCAAATGTCCCATGTATAAGTATTATTGTGTACTGACGTCGGAAACAGGAATAGCACCGTACCCAACCAGATTGGCGGCGTTTTCTGGGCTGTCATCAACCGCCTACTTATTATCTTCCAAGTTGTAATGCTTTTCCTTTCTGAGATTGGCTGGCCATCCGCTTTCTTTGATCGCTTTTTCCCTGTGCTGGGTACGGGATTTGGACTCGGTGCCCTTGGTATCTTCCAAGGACTGTGAGTTATCTTCTTTGCATGGTTTCGTACACAGCGCTGACTCTTTATAGGATCGGAGCTGCAGTCCTCTCGCAGCATGTAGATGACTTCACCCTGGTCTCTGCTTTCTTCCTGTTCGTCCTCGGCTGCATCAACATGTTCCTTGGTCTTCTCTTTCGGGAATCCGCCAAGAGCAGACGTTCAATCACATCGTGGCGCGAGGACGCCAAGGGTCTATTGCCAACGACCAACCTGCGCCCTGCTGCAAACCTCGATCTCAATCGCTCCGGCTCATCTAACTCCGGTCAGTCATCCACCTCTTCGACAATATATGAGGAGAAGAGTAGGGGTGTTACGGAGTTCGGTGCTGTACGGAACACAAGCAGAGCTGGTTACGGCTTTGGGCGCCAAGGTGAGAAGGCTGCAGGCCTCAAAGGTCAGTTTTCATTGTTTTTTTAATTTGTACAACATCCTCATTATGTTTCTTAGGCTTCTTGATCTCCAAGCCTCTCGAGAGTCTCCCTCGCTATGCAGCTCGTCCCACTAGCGTTCCTCCCACTCCTCTCGTTCCCCCTCGCCTGAACCTCATTTCGCCTCCAGCGGTTCAGCGATTTGATGGGGGCACCGACACTCCCTATTGCTGAGAACTGTTACGACGCCACGCGCATGTCATTGACATGACAGGACTTGTATTGATTATGTGCACAACCACGGATAACCCCAGCGGGAGCGCTGGTCTCACGTCGATATCTTTACTGTATGGTGTTTTGTAGTACCCTATTTTGCGCTATATAGACAGTTGTAGTTTTATTAGCGTTTCATATTGCAATTATAATACTGTTTGAATGTAAGCTGACTTGTCGACTCGGAATGGAACCCTTCCTGCGTCAAGTGGAAGAAAGGACTGGTTCTTAATGATCTGAAGATGATTGTGATGGACACATTGAATGGATTCCCCCCGGAATCATCGCTCACAGCAAATGTGCACTACGGATAGTCACCCACTGAGATTCGACTTGTTCTTATAGACTACTCGTCCCTCTCGCGTGTCTAATCACCACAGAAACCTCGAATACATCCAAATTTCAGATGCTACCACTGGAGACATCGTCAAACAGTTCGGCGCCCACACTATGGACCAACTCCTTTCTCACTACCAATTGCTCCCAATAGCACCAGATTAACCACCACATCATACAACAAGACAACACGGTTCTTTGACCTGACCACTTTCAAAGCTATCGGCGAGCCGCTCGAGCACCCTGGTGGCATTCGCTGTGTGGCCTTTTTCGAGTGTGGCCTTTTTCGAGGACAGCCAGCTCATCGTGACTGGCTGTAACAACAAACACGCTCACACATGGAAAGTTCCTCTCAACGAACCAGAGAAGGAGCTCCAACACGTGAGCAAATTCTCTCGTCATGTCATGCATGCTGATCTGTCATACAGTCTGCACAGAAAATCCTCAAAGTGTGCTTTCATGCTCGTCGCTTTGTATGATCCCTAACTTCACTCTCATAGAAAACCATCCCAAGCCCACAGCCTCGCTCAAAACGTGCTCCAATACCGACTGGTAGGTTCTTCGATGATGTAGGTTCGTATGATACAGTAGATTCGATGCACGTCTCATCATCCTTTGATAGTTTGATCCTGGACACAACAATCGCGCTGCTACCACCACGTGCTATGCTGAAGGGTCCAGAATCAAGGATATGATGACTCGTCTTTTTTCTCGCTCTTCCTCTTCTCAGGAACATGTTCCTTGCTCTCCCAGGATTCCCATTGTAGACGTCTTTGCAACACAAGGCAAATACGTAAGTTTGCCTGACCTTTCGACTTCCATCTCGTAATGGTGACACTTCCCCGCAGCGCACCGCTAATGCCCAGAGTGGAAAACGACATCTGTCGAGGCCGCTACATTGTCCTCGTCGGCAAGCCAACGCTGGCGCCTCGAGCAGCAGCACGCCACCAGCAGGGACATCCAATGTGATCCGGGGCAGCCACCCCAGTAACGTTGCAGACCGGAAATACTAGTGCAACTAACAGACACCCTTCCTCGTTGGATGTTGAACATGTTCCAGACATCGGCTGCTGTGCAATGCTCACAAGGTGGTTCCCTCGCCTTTCACGTACTCGACAAACAACTTTCTGCCCTTTCCGGTTACGTTGGAGTAAATATTACCGCATGTACCCAGTATTTGAAGTTTGAAGACACGTGCAATTCAATGTTGCTCGCAATGAACGAGTGCCAATTGTGCAGTATTCAGATCATGGAGAAAAATGATCGTCGGCGGGTTTCGAACCTGCACTATACAGGAAGGACAGATTTCGAATCTGTTGACAACTTCTTGGCCATGAGTCTTATGTTTGACGTTTGAAGACCTATCCATGAGCTCATGCTCAAGTTGCGATCATATAGAAAAACTATGGTCACCAGGTTTCGAACCTGCACGATCTAGGAAGAACAGATTTCGAATCTGTTAACCACTGGGCGAGGAGTGTTGTCGTTGGCATTCGAAGACCTTCATGAGCTCATGCCAGAGGTGCGAACATAGAGAAAAACTATTGTCGGCGAGTTTCAAACCCACGTGATCCGGAAGAACAGATTTTGAATCTGTTAACCACTTGGCTAAGACTACTTAAGATAAATCGATGAGTTGAAGCTAAACATGCCAAGGGGGTAAGGTCTAGACGACAGTAGCTAACTGTAATGTTGTGAACCGCGAATCGGTCCCACATGAGCTGGCTCGCGCAGCCGCAGAGTGCGCAAACACAGGAAAAATCTGATGTTAGCGGTGTTCTTCGACAAGAAAGTGTGTAACAGTAGTGTCCTGTCATCGCTCGATGATGGGCCGTATGGCCCATATCAATGATAGTCTGTGCATAGTCTTGCGCATATATGGGCCAACCCACATGTGGAGCCGCGTGTTCGTATGGTGGCCATACTCGCGCGTGACAACCTGTAGACTTATAGTGGTCAGTATAAGGCTAATCTAGTGTACCAAGAGGGTAGTTGCCAGCCAATGAGACTGCCAGGAACGAAAAGCTGCTTCTCTTCAGGCTGAGATTATGTTTTTACCGCAGCCATCAAGCCAATGATCCATTACATTGACAAGAAGACAGTACCGTTGCCCGATTGTTACTATAGCAAATTATGATCACGGCCCTTCTGTGCCCGTCAGATCTATGCCCAAACACCAACAGAGACCACTTACAATTTTCTTTTGAAACCAGACTTAGACGTCCATATTCGTACCCCTGGCGCTCACGGGCATGAGCCCATTCAAGGGGATCAGTCACATATGTCCAGATGATATCTTGGTTGCGATCCGGGAGCTTGTGATGTGCGATGTTAATGTGGAACCCATACCACTAGCGTTAGCGTTCTGGAAGGTCCTATACGAGGACGGGAAATGCGGATAAAGGCCAGTTCTACATGGGATGGATCATATATTGGTGGGAGTAATCGATGAGAATGCATGTAATAGTGGCATTCCATCATTAATGATGCTGTATTGATAGCGGTTTGTTTGCAGAATCTCGCATATATGGACCATACAGAGTTGCACGTCCAAACAGTGGTGGTTGAACTTGCGCATGAAATCTTATAAGCGGAATCAATAGGCCTTGTTATCGAGTGTACTGAGAGGGTAGTTGCTAGACTCTTGGAGACTAAATGATGCCCTCAGGTGCAAAAAGCTGGTCTCCCTGAGGGTATATGGTACTGCAGCCAAACCATTGATTCGTTGCATCCATATGGTCATCTAGCAATACAAGAACAGCATCGAAGAAGATCTCGGGTCGACTGATGTAGCAGAGAAATTGTATCAGCCATATCATGGAAGCACAGCAAAAGCAACCACGGCGCCTCCTAGTACAGGAAACTCTTGAAAAAAGCGCTGAAAATCTTGCCAACCTGTATGCAGGACACCACGTGTGTACAGCAAGGTCAACATATGGATTGAGCATCCTGTAGGAGATCCAACCTAACAACTACTCACCAAAGCGCAGCCAAGTGACTGCTACTTCCTCGAGTCTCCTGTTGACCAAGACACCGAACAAGAGTCAATGGCAGCCACCACGGGCAAAGCATCGTCCAAAGCGCCGACTCGAAAGGAACCACCTTATGTCCAAATGACGCTCAAGGGTCATAAAGATCATATTCTCGGCGTAGCTTTCATCGCTGGGACTTGTCTCCTTATCACTGTCTCCGAAGACAAGACTCTTCGGGTGTGGGATCTGGACACGGGAAAACAAGTGGGAGAGCCTTTGTTGGGTCACGATCACGAAGTCTGTAGTGTCGCAGCGTCCCCTGATGGGCGTTGGATTGTGAGTGGAAGCAGGAATGGAAGGATCCTAGTCTGGGAAGTTGCGACAAACAAGAGAGACCTCAAAAGAGTGCCCATCTCGTTCAATGGCCATAAGGGTGCTGTTTGGGATGTTGTATTTGCACCAGGCAGCGAGACATTTGCAAGTGCAACATGGGACGGAACGGTATGCATTTGGGAGAGAGAGACGGGAAAAATAATCCTGGGACCACTCAAAGTGGGCAGTGATGCACTCTCAGTGTCGTACTCCCCGGATGGGACAAAACTGGCAGCAGGCACTCAGGAACACATCATCGTCTGGAATGCAGAAACGGGAAAAGAATTACTCAAAATAGAACAGCGGGCATACAGAGTCGCATTCACTCCAGATGGTCTCCATCTCATCAGTGTAGACGACGACATCCGAATCTCAGATACTATCACCGGAAACATCATCAAACAGTTTGACGCGCACACCGATAACATTTACTCACTATCCATTGCTCCCAATGGCACAAAATTCGCAACCACTTCATACGACAAGACAACACGGTTCTTTGACCTAACCAATGATTTCGAACCCATCGGCGAGCCACTCGAGCACCCTAGTGCCGTCTTCGGTGTGGCTTTTTCCGAGGACAGCCAGCTCATCGCCACAGGCTGTTTCGACAACCTCGTTCGCACATGGACAGTTCCTCTGAGCGAATCAGAGAAGGAGTCCCAACAGGTGAGCAAATTCTCTTCTCGTGTCATGCTTCGTACTGACCTGTTATACAGTCCACACAGAAGATTCTCAAAGTACGCTTTCGTGTGCATCGATTTGTACGATCCCTAACTTCACTCCTGCAGAAAACCATTCCAAGCACACAGCCTCGCCCAAGACGCACTCCAATACCGACCAGTGAGTTCTTCCGTGATGTAAGTCCATATGATACATTAGATTCGATGCACGTCTCACGATCCTTTGATAGTTTGATCCTGGACGTAAAAATCGCGCTGCTACCACCACCCGCCATGCTGAAGGGTCCGGAATGAAGAACATGATGAATCGTCTCTTTTCTCGCTCTTCCTCTCCCCAGGGCCATGCTCCTCGCTCACCCAATATTCCCCTTGTGGACGTCTCCGCTACACGAGGCAAATATGTAAGTTTGCCTGACCATTCGACACTCATCTCACGATGCTGATATTGTCTCGCAGCGTACCGCTAATGCCCACAGTGGAAAAAGACATCTGCCGTGGCCTGTACAGCCTCGTCCGAAAGTCCACGCTGGTGCCTCAAGCAGCAGGGACATCCAATGTGATGAGTGGAACCACATCGGGACCCTTGCAGACAGAGAATACCAATGCTTCTGCTGCAACTAACAGACCCCCTTCTCCGCCGGGCGTCGAACATGTTCCACACACCAGCTGCTTTGCAGTCCTTGCAAGGTGCTTCCCGCGTCTATCGCGCACTCGACAAACCCGTCCATCCGCTTCAGGTTCCTGCTAGGCTTCCTTTCCTTCCCTCGTTACTGCAGATATTACTTCAAAGATATTTCTGACATTCGATGATGCTCCCGATAGCTAGATTCCATATGCACTATTCACTCGCTTAGCTGACAAGACCTTAGTCATAGTTGATTTTCTCGCTTGTATGGATTACTTACACACGGGCGGTTTGGGAGTTTTTCACTATGTGAGATTGGTTTCAAAATGTCAGTGATAAAGTTAGCGTTTTTACTATACATTTTGATCCAGTAAAGATAAGAGTCTGTTCGGATAGGTTCAAATTTGCGCAACTAGACAAAATTTCAAATCTCCAGTTGCTTTGTCATCATCAGTATTAGTGTGACATATGTGACCATCGATAATCAATATCCAATATCAGTAAAATATGCCCGCAACCCGATCCTCTACTACTCATTCTCGTTCTCGTCATTCTAAGGGTGGTCGTGTGTATCTCATGGCACCCAGGAAGAAAGCTTCTGCAAATTCAGGTACCCAGAGTCAGGAGCCAGAGCCAAGGTGTATTTGGACACCAGCAGATGAAGCACACCTCATCACCTACATCACTCACAACCGTGCTAAAGGTGGCGACGGACTGAATTTTGACAAGATATTTTGGACTCAGGCTGTGATTGATATCGCTCAATCTATGACTGCCGGTGCTCCCAAGACAGCTGATTCCTGTGCAACAAAGTGGTCCCAGGTACGTCATATGTTATTGTCATATACTGGATATTAGTACTGATAATAAACTTCCAGCTTCGTGCCACATATAATGTTGTCGATAGAGTTGCACATTATTCGGGCATGGCATGGAGCACAGAGCATGGTGCTGATATCACAGCTGAATCAGAGGGACTTTGGGTGGATGTTATTAAAGTAAGTACCATATTTTTTTTCACCCTCTGCCACTAACACTGTTTAATCTAGAGTATCCCAGCTGCCAAAAATTTCAAAAATAAAGGCTGGGCACCCTATAACTCCTTGTGTGAGCTCCTGCCTTCAAAGGCAGTTGGTAGCAGCACCTTCCACCCTCTCATGCAACTTGCTACCAGCTCATTGACTCCTTCTACCAGTGCTGCTCCCACAACCTTGAACTTCAATCAGGTCGATGCACAGGAGCAGGAGCAGATGCTCACAGACCTCGAGAATGGCACTGGTGAAGCAGCATTGAGTATCCTCATGCTACCACCCCCTCCCTTCAATGCTGCTCAGCAGGCAACTTTCTCCCCCTCCACACTGGGTACAGGTATGAGCCAACCTGGATCAAAGGCCACAGGTAAACACAGAGCCGAGGGTGATGACAGCACAAGAGCCCTTGCCTGCCCTTCGGGCTCTACCAAGTCACCCACAGTGTCTGGCAACTCTGTGAAGTCTGCACATATCAGTACCCCTCAAGCATTTCAACAGATGGGTTCACAGATCTGTGACCTTAACTCATCATTTAGTGTTGCGGTGAATGTGTTGAAAGATTGCACTGAACACACAATCATGCACTCTGTAGATCCTATCCCTATGCGCAGGGAGAAGGCTATCTCTCATTTACTAACAGAGGGTCTAGAGGATGCCCAAGTAATTGCGGTCATGAAGCAGTTCTGGCAGGATATCTCCATCGCAGACTCTTACTTAGCTATTGTTAATGCTAAGGATAGTATACACCAAATGTTTTTTCAGGACTTAATCAATGGTTAGAACAATTTTTGTACTAGGTACAAATACATTTGATTGTGAGCGCTACGAATATACACTAGTACAAGTCAGTTGGATACTCCTCTGCATATGACTCCCCCCTCTCCTGTCTTACAGTAGTGCAGTCCTCCCACATTTGGAGGGCAATGTCTTCACAGCATTGATGTGAGCAAGTGCGCACCTCATCAGTGGGAGGGCCTTGAGCAAGTGTGCCAGTATCACATGGCTGCTGGCCATCCAAGTTGAGATCAATCTGATGGTAGTCCAGCATGTCATTGGGGTCATGAACACGGATGACATTGTGCACTAGACACAATGCTGGGGGGATGTGAGCTTGCATGGACATATCGTAGTGAGGGGGGAGGAGGAGAATCTGGAAGCAATTCTTCAGAACACCGAAGATGCACTTGACGACATTTCAGAGCATGGCATGGCATAAATTAAATAACTCTTTGTAATCACATGGTCTAAATAAATATCAGTACAGATGTATGATAGAAGGGGGAGTACATATGCGAGACGGCCACAGCCCCATTCAGCGAGATGATAGCATACTCCCTGATAGGGGACAAGTAGCTCATCACATGCTCCAAAACCAGCATCCGCAAGATAGTACTTACCTGCAGGGATATTAAAATCCTTAATGCGAGCATCATGATATAAACATGCATCTGCTGCATACCCCTCCCAGCCACTCAACATGTACATAAATGACATGTTGAAGCTACAAGCAGCCAGGCAGTTTTGGGTCAGACTGCCCTTACAATTGTGAGTGGCATCACAATCTTTGGCAGGGGGATGGCATGCAATATGAGTGCCATCAATAGCACCAATGGTGTCAGCAAAATAGGGGTAAAATTTCGGCTTCTGGAGAATTTCCAGAGGTGTGGGATTGTCTGCATCGGGCAAGTGGACATATAAGGGATATATAGGGGGAGAGGTGAATGCATTGAGAATCCATTTATAATATCTTCATAAAAATCAGCATGTCTATCAATAAAATGAAGGAATGACACACTTTGATATGGTATCATTGGAATGTTGAAAGTGCTCACCAACGTGGTGCACAGAGAGACCTGTGACACTTGTGTACAGGAATATGGTGAGCTGCTCCTCCAGCTGGACATATCTGGAATTTTTGCATCCAGAATCATGAAGTAAATTCAGGAGAATGTAGAATACATGCTGCCGCACTCCGAGTTCACATCATATACAATCAGGATGTCTGTTGAGTAATTCATTGACCCATCCCATCCCTGTCAAAGTGGAAGTATGGTAAGGTTGCTTGTTAAAGTGAGTATCAGAGTAAGAATTAAGGGTCTTGGTAGCAGCATTGAGCATGATGTTGACCAGATGAATAGCACCAATGTACATTTTCTGTATCCACTCCAGCTGGAGTATATCCAGCTCATTGGTGTTGACCACAGTGCTGCCATTGAGATTCTCATTATTTTCATCAACAACAGTAGTGTTGTCATATTCTGGTGGGTCAACGTCAGGGTCGTGCTCATTGGATGACATTGTGGGTGCACAAAGGCTGAAGGGTGTGTGTTATCAATACATATCCAATGTCACACTGATATCGGATATTCAAGGGCTGATGATGACAAAGCAACTGGAGATTTGAAATTTTGTCTAGTTGCGCAAATTTGAACCATCTGAACAGACTCTAAAAATTTTGGATGTGTGCCAAAATCTCAGGCAAAATTCTACATTTTATGTACCATTTTGAGTGCTATAAATTACAAAGTTTTGAGCACATGAAAGTTTTCCTCAGAATATCATGTAACTAGGGACATTTTCTGATTGTATCATAATCAATTTTTTGCAAGTTAAAATGGGGAACGTAAAATGTGAACTTTTAGCATGAGAAAGATGATGTGGGCACTCATTGCTGTTGGGTACTCATCAGGCATTCACATTTGTCAGTGGAAATGCACTATATTGTAAACTCGTGAACAACTAGAATATGGTAGTACCTGGCAGGAAGTTACATGGTGAGGTTAAGTAAGGGATGTAAGTGCATCCAGGTCAGCTATCAAGCTGAGGTCATCACTATCATCATCAGCATTATCTAGCCTATGCTGCTTGCCAGACACTGTGATTTCTACCCCTGAGGCAAATAATGACTGGGACTTTGTGACCAAGACTGGCTTGTACTTCTCTTCTGACTTGAGTTTTTGTAGAACAGCAGAGTCTGTGACAGGCCAACTGGATAAATCAAGATGATTGTTGAAAATGCCTATCATGGTGTCATGCGAGCCCAGGACCTTCATACCTATCTCCTTCTGGTAAACAGAGGAGTCCATCATGAGTGCATATGAAGCTGTCAACAGGTCTTGTATGACAGGGACTTCTTGCGTTGCTTTCTTGTGTGTGAGCCAGAATTTATTATATACTGTCTGCTGATGCTCAGTGATCCACATGTACCAATGTGAGAAGAACTCAGTGAGTGCATGGATGAGACTGTTGAGTGGTTTGCAGTCAACATACATAACATTGGGAAGATTGCTTCTCCTGATGAGCCAATCTGCTTTTGAGGATGATCCAGGATTGGTTTTGAAGACCTGTGTTATGAGTGATGTCCGGCGAACAATGTCCATGTACATGTCATATCCCATATGCCAGACATAGATCCCATCATATTCCCACACATTATGGACCTATTTCTGGACCCCATATCCAACTCATTCCCAGATCCCCTTCCACTGTGTGCTCCATATCTAAGCAGGATTGGATCCACTATGGAATTACCCCTGAGCTCTGGACCTCCGGATATTTACTACTAGCCTGATCCATACATCCATATCCTGTCCACCCTATGCACATTCTGTCCAGCAAGACTTCCGGACTTTACCTCCTCTCAGATTCTGGACTACATCCACCACCTCACATATCTCAGTCCTGTTTCTGTTACGCTCGGCATTTGTAAGAACGACTAGACAGAAACAAATGATCTAAAGTGTACACCTATGTACGAGTTGTGCAAGTTAAGCAGTATATTGCAGGCCCTGGTCTGCATAGGTCAAGTTAAAGAATACAAGCATAAGAGATAGAGTATATATAAAGAGATTAAAGCGGAGCTTTAATAAATGAATTGGAGATGAAAAGTAAATAGCGAATCAGAAAAGAGAAAAGAGAATTGTACGATAGAATGTGATAGAATGTCTGAGAATGATTAGTAATCATGAATAAGTGAAGAGGTGAAAGGAAAAGATAGAACTGTAACATTACCCCCATTGTAAGGGTAGTAGGCACTGACTACTATCAAAGAAGATGACGCGATCATTTATAATTAGTAAGAAGTTCGGAAGCGTTACCTAGTTTGGCTTCCTTCATCCATTCATTCTTGGAACTCGGGAATCCCTTCCATTTTACATAATATTGTCTTCAAGATGAAGATCTGCAGTGTCCGACAACCGCTTCAACTTCGTGTTCTTCTTCGCCGTCGACCAAGTCAGGGGGAGGCGGAATATAATTAGGGCTGTGGATATCATTCTCTCTATATGGAGAAAGGAGTGCGGTGTGAAAGACGGGATGAATGCGCCATTGTGCGGGTAGAGCAAGTTGATAAGTTATCGGGGATAATATGTCAATGATAGTAAAGGGTCCCTCGCGTTTAGGGGTGAGTTTCTGGTTAGGGTATCCAAGGTGAAGGTTCTTGGCTTCGAGCCAGACTTTGTCGCCTTTAGAGAATGGAATGAATTTAGACGTAATTCATTGATGCATAGTATTGTGTGTGAGTTCATGAGTGGCTAGCGCTTCGTTGTGTGCTTTATTAAGTAAAGAAAGTCATCGTTCAATGTTAGGAATGTCAGATTTTGGATGGGAATCGGGTAGATGACATGGGTGATAACCCATCATGAGGTAGAAAGGGGAAGTACCATGTGCGGAGTGATGGTGTGAATTATGAACAAATTCTGCCAATGGTAACATGGGCGCCCAACCAGTTTGGTCGTTGGCACAAAAGATCCAGAGATAGACTTCGAGTTCTTGATTTACTCGCTCAGTCTCTCCATCACTCTGAGGATGGAATGTGGTGGAAAGGGAATTCTTGTATCCGAGGAGTTTTCCGAGTTCAATCTGGAATCTGGAAGTGAACTGAGGTCCGTGGTCAGAGATAATTTTATCATAAAGTCCGTATCTAGAGAAAATTTTAGAAAAGAAAATGTTTGCGACGCCTTCAGTGTCTATTGTCTTGAGACAAGGGGTGAAAACTACCCCCTTCGAAAGTCCATGGTCGACCATGACCATAATGCTATCAAAGCCGTCAGAGAGGGGTAAGTCAGTGATGAGATCAACCAAGCAGTGAGCGAAGGGTCGGTTGGAGATAGGGGCAGGTATAGGAGATAGAGGGGGAGTAGATGTGTGCGTGTTTACTTTATTCTGTTGGCAGATGCAACAGCCATCTACGAAGTTCTTGATGAAAGTGGCTAGACCGGGCCACCAGTAGTTGCGAGATAGGAGTTCCTGGGTTTTGAATCGTCCAGGGTGTCCGGCGGTAGGGGAGTCATGATGTAGGGAGGTGAGTTCTTGTTGGAGATCTCCGGGGGGTACATAAGTAAGTCCTTTAAATGAAAGAATTCCGTCGCTCAATTTCCAATTGGAAAGAGCGGAACAGAGAGGAGGAGGGATAGAAGAGTCTGTTAGTGCTTGGAGTGCTGTATGTACTACAGGATCAATAGAAGAGGAGATTCGTAATCTGTCCATAAAAGAATTGTCAATGACGTTAATAAACATCGAGTCTGGGAGGAGTTGTATACTGATATTGTCCTTTTCGTCACTATCGACCAGAAGGTGATCCATTCTACAAGATAATAAATCAGGAATGATAAGTTCTTTTCCAGGTACGTGTTGGATCTGAAGTTCAAATTGGGAAAGGAAGGTCTACCATCTTGCTTGGCGTCAGTTAAGGTCCTGTACATCTCTAAAATAGGTTAAGTTCTTATGGTCAGTTTGTACAGTTATGGGAAAAGGTGAACCGAGAAGATAGTGTCTCCACACTTTCAAAGTGCGGACAATCGCAAGTAATTCTCGATTGTATATCTGATAGTTACATTCAGCAGGGTTAAAGGATTGAGAGAGGAAGGAACATGGGAGCCAGTCTCCGTTGTCATTCTTTTGGAGAAGTACTGTGCCAGTAGCATATAGGGAAGCATCAGTGGCTATCGCAAAGGGAGAATTCTTGTCAGGAATTTGGAGAATAGGAGAGGAAGTAAAGATATGCTTCAGCTTATTAAAAGCTTCCTCATGTTCAGAGGTCCAAGAGAATTCTTCGTCTTTCTTGGTTAGGTCGATTAAGGGTCTGGCAATCAAAGAATAGTCAGCAATAAACTGTTGGTAAAAGTTAGTGAATCTGAGGAATGATCGAACTTCCTTTACTTTCGTGGGAGTCTTCCATTCGGATATACCCTTTAATTTGGCAGGGTCCATGGCGATAGAACTGGGTTTGATGATCATGCCGAGATATTCGATATTGGAGTCGTTGAAGTACTTTGTGGGTATGGATATGGTGAGTTTTGTCGTCTCTAGAGAAAATGAGTATATCGTCCATATAAATGATGATCCATCCTTCTTGGATCATATCTCCAAACAAGTTGTTCATCATCGATTGAAAGGTGGTGGGCGAATTACACATTCCAAAGAACATGACCATGGGTTCAAAAAGTCCTCTAGAAGTGGCAAAGGCTGCCTTCCATTGATCTGATTTCTTCATACATACATTATTATATCCCCATCGAATGTCCATCTTGGTGAATACTTTGGCATCTTTTAGCTTATCTATGATATTGGAGATTAGCGGTAAAGGGTAGTTATTCTTAACCGTGTGTTCGTTCAAGTAGCGATAGTCCTGGCAGGGTCGGAGGGAACTGTCTTTCTTCCCGACGAAGAAGAATGGAGAAGATTGGGGAGATTTGGAAGGAATGATTGTTCCTTTAGCTAGATGTTCGTCAATAAAATCGTTCATTGCCTTATCTTCTTTGGCGTTAAGTGGATAGATCTTGCATTTCCACAGTTCAAAGGATTCCTTGAGATTGATCTTGTGGTTGTATTTGTGTTCTGGGGGAAGAGTACCATTAGCTACGTCACCAAATACGTCCTTATATTGTCGGAACTCTTCGAGTACGAGTTCTTCGAAGGTCTTTTTTGGTTTAGCGGCATCTTGGGCGAGTGTCTGGGAAATATTGTCAGTTTTCTGGATATAGGTGTAAAAATCATCATCGTCATTGATGGGATCTAGAAGATGTGGGAGAGTTTCATTAGTGGGATCCCACTCTGGTTCTAATTCTTCTAGTGCGTCATAAAAGACATCTTCGTCTTCTTCGACTTCTTCAATCGTTGCTTTTTTCAGGGTACGCTCCCTTAGGCGGACTTCTTGACTTGTCCAGTCAATATCTGGGTTTTCTTTCTTTAGCCACGTCATTCCCAGGATAGCGTCTTCTCCTCCTAGAGAGGTTACAAAGAATTGCTTCCACATAGGGATATCTTTGATTAAGAATGAAAGTTCACAGTACCGTGTGATTCTTCTGGCTTTGTTTAACGTGCTGTCTACATTACGCACAGGTATCGGAGTTTCAAGTTTGTGCATGCAAATGTTCTCTTTGAGGATGAACTTCTTGTCAATAAATTCGCCTTCTGCACCGCAATCAATTAGAGCAGTGGCTACGGTGGTTTTTTCGGTTTTCTTCGATCTGATGGTTAATGGCAAATGAATAGAATTAGTATTGCCAACAGATTGTACTACTAGTCCGATTCTGGGAGTTTCTGACACCGTGGCAGGCTCCCCTAAGCAAAATCCTCTTCATCACTACTCTCTTCTTTCTTAACCAGTTTCTTACCAGTTTTCTTCATCTGGCATGCTTTAAACGCCTTCCATTCTTGGAATTCTTTGTAATCATCGTCAGATGACTCCTTGATTACCTTTCTTGTGCTGGTTGTAACTGTGGGATGGTTAGGGCAGTCTGTGGCTAAGCCTTTCTTACCGCACTTGAAGCAAAGGCCGCCCTTGCACCTATGCTCCTGTTCTTGAGGAGTAAGATAGGTCTTCCTCATCTTCTTCTCACCTTCTTTGTCATCTAATTCTACTTTATCTATATCCATGGCATAGGGGTCTTTTGCCTTGGTATAGGACGGAGGTGCTATTAAGGTCCTTCAGACCTCAACATCTAAGGCTTTCTCTAGTCACGTCTCAATGGTGGTGGGGGTTGTTTCAAAGGCATATATAGCGGAGACTATCTCATGCTTGAGCCTGTTTCTGAAGAACATAATCTTCGTGTTCTCCTCAGAAATGCCGGTATCGGCAAGGATGGTTCTGAATAGGGATGCATAAGCAGCTACGCTGCCAGTCTGTCTAAGAGAGGAAATGCGACAAATCGCAGTCTGTTCGATGTTCTTTGGGAAAAAGGTAGATTTAAATTGCTTAGCGAAATCTTCCCAGGTTCTGTAAGTCTTTGCTGCGACGGCAGCCTTGAGTTGGCCTTCAGCCCATTTAGCAGCCTCGCCTTTAGTCATTAGGCTGAGGGTGAATATGACCTTCTTCTTGTCATTGTCGTAGACTTCATCATTCATATCTAGGTACACTTCGACTTGAAGCATCCATCCCTGAGCAAGGCAGGTATCGCCATTGAAGGGTGAGGGGGTCTTGCCGATTTCTTTAGGCATTTCTGTGGTGGCAGATCGTTCGTAGGTTTGGGTATGGAAATTCCAAACTTTGTTCTTGGGAGCTACTGTAGCGTAGTATGCTGCCCACTGGGTGATAGAGTATCGGGTGCCTTTGGTGTCTGCACAGATGAACTCTTGTTCCTCTTCATCCCAGGTAAAACTGGGGGGGGGGGGTCAGTGCGATCAGTGGTATGGTGTTCTGTTCTGGGCGCAAGTTCTAGGGAACCACATGGTAGAGTAGTAACTTGACCTTTTGTTACACTCAGCATTCATAAGAACGACTAGATGGAAACAAATGATCTAAAGTGTACACCTATGTACGAGTTGTGCAAGTTAAGCAGTATATTGCAGGCCCTGGTCTGCATAGGTCAAGTTAAAGAATACAAGCATAAGAGATAGAGTATATATAAAGAGATTAAAGCGGAGCTTTAATAAATGAATTGGAGATGAAAAGTAAATAGCGAATCAGAAAAGAGAAAAGAGAATTGTACGATAGAATGTGATAGAATGTCTGAGAATGATTAGTAATCGTGAATAAGTGAAGAGGTGAAAGGAAAAGATAGAACTGTAACAGTTTCTGCCTTGCCCTCTGGATCCCCAGATCTCTGGACCTCTGGATATTAACTGTACTATCTCTGGACCATTCCCACCCTCCATCTGAGATCCTGTGCCTATCCCCATTTAGGCATCTCTGCCTTTCTGGTTCTTGGTTATCTCTGTTTCTGTCTTGCTGATTGATCCTTGTATGAGTCTTCATCTCTGAGTTCATTTACTTATGTTTGCCTTACTCTGTTGCTTACTGATCCTCTTGGATATCCTCCAGTATATAACCCCTGTACAACTCCTGTAGAGTCCTCAGTCTGAATATCACCTTAGATCTGCCCAATCATCTTCCAGACTTCAGTCCATCTAAGTCTTGTCCTTTTCCATAAGGCCTAGGGATGGATTCCCTAGGCCAGAATTCTGGACCTTCGGATTTGTCCCCTATGTCTCTCTCCCAAGTCTAGGGATTGCTTCCCTGGGCTGGAGTCTTGCCTTTCTGGCACTTACCCTCTCTCTGGACTTTGGTCCACTTCCTGTCTCTCTGACTCTACCTAAGGGTAGTCTACCTCTGTTTGCTTCTACATTGGACAAAGTCCAATGTAGCCCCTATTCCTTCCGGACCTCTGGACATCCTGTCCTGTGCACCTTCAGACATTCCACCCTCCGTACCTCCTATCCTTCCATCCTGTTTCCTGTAGAAGTATTATTTTTCAGTGGGAACTCTCCTGAGCACTTCCTGCATTTCTCCGGAACTCTCCCACACTCCTCTGGAAGTCCTCCCACACTCTCCACCAGAGTAGCCAGCCTCTGGAAGTCCTCCGGACTTCATTGGACCATCATTGGACTTCCTCTGAAATGAAGGGTACATACTCAGGTAAGGGGCACAGCATATGAGCTGAGGCCAAGCCCCTCTGAGTCAGTCTCTCTCTCCCTTGAGCATGGTTCTTAACAGTACATCTCCTTGTACTTAAGAGTCATCCACAGAACGATGTAAAAACTGGACTCAAGGTCATCCTTGACTGAGTGTATGGCATATTGCCCCTTAGTGATAGCAAAATTAGTACAAGATTTAAAGTGCATGGAGTGAACATACCATGCATGTTGTTTGTCGGGGACTGTTAATGTTAACCAACTTTGTGAGGTCCCAGTCAATCAGGTAGCCCTTCCCTTTGTAAATGATGACATTTCCAACACTGAGGTCTTGATGGAGCACCCTTGCAAGTTCAAATGCATCCTTGTGAGCTACATTGATAGATCATGAATAAGTTGTGTGAGGATTAAAGAAACATGTACCAATCAGTGCATCATGCACAGATGAAATGAGTTGGTGAGAACTCTCAAACTTGGTCAAATTTTTGCCCACAATATTGAGGGCCAGATGGTGAAGAGTGTGTAGAGTGAGAGGTAAGTGGGGAAGTGCCCATTCAGCACTGCCAAACTTGGCAGTTTGAGTAGATTGCTGAGTGATAGAGGGAGGTACATCATGATATGCAATACACTTTGGGATATGGGAAACTTTTTTCAACATCAATAACTTGTACATTTTGCCTTCCAGTAGGACATTGGGTAATGATACCCACCAAGAGTCCTTGAACATCATGAGCTTCTTGTTGACAAGATCAAATGCCGGACATGTGCATGTCCAGCAGCCAATGGGTGAGTGAGGTTTTGTAACAGGTTGGGAAAAGACCAATGTGAGCAAGCCAGAGCCCTCGACATTAGGGACATCAACTTTGAACATATGAGTGGTAGGCCTCCTTGTCACCAGCAAGCATGATGGGAGTATCAACACCATGCATTTCAGGTGATGCCTGTGTGTAATGATAGAAGAAGTCAGCCAAGTCTGGCTTGTTATTGTAGTTGATGGCACTGCTGATGATAGCCCCCTCCCTATCCCATCTGATGATCCAAGTGTGATCATGCATGATTAGGACAGAGAATATGTGGGTATGGAACTGGGTGCTGAGCTGAGCTGCAGTATAACTCATTATTTGTCCCAGGGTGTTCATACCCTTCTCCATCTGGGACACAAGGCTACCAGCTCCAGAGTGATGGAATGCATCATGTGAGGGTGACCATTTGAATTCTATGATGATTTCTGTGGTAGAAACATTGCAGTTGGGAGATGAAGGTTCACATCCATCAGGATACACACAGACATCTGGCTTGATGTTGAATACCGTTGAATTTAATTTTGAACAGTTTTTCGTGTCTTTGTATTTGTGAGTGTTGACAAACAACAGTTGAGGAGTGAAAGGTGTGATGGTGTTAATCTGGGGTTAGGTGATCAATAATCTCAATAACATATGTGTGAGAGTATACTCACAAAGGGCGTGTAAGCATGTTCCTCATTTCTAACAGAGACCATGTGGTTGAATGTGCCAACAGTGAAGGCTGAAGTGAAGGACAAAGGATCATAATTGGGAATTTGAGAAATTGGTAAAAATTCCTGGAGAAAGTCCCCAACTGGCATTGGGCTGATGAAGTATCCTTTCATCTCTTTACCCATAGCATTAATAGTTTCGAGCCAGCATCATGTTAGAGTCATAAAGGGCAGCATGGTAGAACTGTCCTGTTTGATAGGAGTATCAATGATGTCATTGGGACCTAGATAGGGGCTGTCCACAATAGGACATGTAACTGGTTCTATGGTAGAGGTACCTTCAACAGGCACTGCAACATTCATGATGGGTAAAATGTACAGGGTATGTGTGTGACAATATGTATAAGAGATATGGATATGTATGTACAGAAAGGCTAATGGCAATAATGTATGATATATTCTGAAGAGGGAAGAAGGGAAAAAAATAACATCTACATTTGGAGCCTTTTATAGTGAATGACTCAGACTCAGTTCAGATTTTCCTGGATCCAGAACCCCACTGCAAGTGGGTGAATCTGCATTTTGAAATTCAGTCCTATACATCATGAGATATGACATGTGAAAAATGGGGAGGGATGTACTTGACACAAGGACATGGCAACAATGTGTTGTGGAGAAAAATTCCATTGTGTGAAGTGTGATACTACCCACTCAGGCTTGACAGTTTCAAGATGATTGACAAGCACTGTAGAATATAAACAAGCCAGAAAGTAAGGATAGTGTCTGAAAGGATCGAGGTGAGAATGCAGAGGGAGGTAATGCCATATGGCAAAGCCCACTACTTGCTCCATCTCGAAAATGTACTTGATGATCCCTGGTGTTGGGGGCATGTTCCTGATACCACCATGATAATAGAGGATCAGGCTGTTGCCTACATGGGTGGAGTCATGGGTATAGATGGATCCCTCATGGAATGTGCGAGCATGCAAAATTGCCTGCCAAACTTGGATGAGTTGATGAAGGTTGTCTGGAATGACTTGTTGTATAAGGGGGTGATCTTTGGACACAGAAATAGGATCAGTGTCAACTAAGGGAGACACAAGTCTGTTAAATACAGTGACTTGCAAAACCATTACAATGTTTGGTACTTTTTCAGTGTACACAATATAGTGCCTATGCACATGGGAATCATGCTTAGTGTTGGTGGGGGCATGTGAACTACAAACCCTTGGCTACAGACTGACACTTTGATCACGTGATTTGGCCAAGGGGATGTGAAGATATGCCTATTTTAAGACAGAGATACCATTGTAACAGTTTTGCAGCTGTTGATATAGATGGTAGGATCTCAGTCAAATCAGAGGATGGTTACTGTTATTTGCTTACATGAATAAAAATATACATAAAAATATTATGTCTGAGTTTGAAATTGCTCCCATGCTTCTTTATTTTTAATCATTACCACCATGGGATCTCTCTTTACTACTCAAAAGAATACCATTCTCTTTTAGCTTAATGCTGGTCATTCTATTCACTCTATTGCCTCCACAACTGGTGTCAGCACTACTACTATCTCCAGGCTTCATTAAAAAGAGTGTTTCTACTTGCAAAAGTTGACTGGTGGTCATTCAACCAAGCTTTCCTCAGTCAATATTTGTCATCCTATTTGTTTTATCTTCACTCAGCAGGCAGAAACTGCTATCCAAGTGCTCAAATCTTTTTCAAATATTGTCAATTAGCTCCCCAACCCAAGTATCACTTGCTGCTACCTGAAAAAGCTGGGATGAGGGCTGTAGTCAAGTCCAAACACTCTCTACTGTCTGCCAAATATTGCAAAGTACACTTGGACTTTGCCTATACTCACAAAAATTGGACTTTGGAGGACTGGAAGTTGGTCATATGGTCTGATGAAACCAACATTAATCACCTAGGGTCAGATGGTTGCACATGGGCTTGGAAAAAGTCAGGAGAAAGGCATAGTGACAGATTGGTATAAGGAACTATCAAGTTTAATGGAAGTTCTGTGATGATATGGGGCTGTATGACCTGGGAAGAAGTTGGCTATGCTGCTAAGATTGATGGTAGAATGGGTGGAGATCTTAACCTTCAAATTTTGAAGGATAAACTTCAGAATTTCCTGGAGTTTTATAATCTTAATGCTTCTGATGTCATCTTTCAGCAAGACAGTGACCCTAAGCATACCTGCAAAAAGGTCAAGAAGTGACTAGATGGGTAAGAATTAAGGACTATGGTGTGGTCTGCACAATCTCCTGACCTTAACCCATTGGAATATCTCTGGCACCTTGTCAAAAGGAGACTTGCAGAGTATGAGCATTCCTCTAAGGAAATAGTAGCAATGGTTGGGAATAAAGAAGCATGGGAGCAATTTCAAACTCAGACATAATATTTTTATGTATATTTTTATTTGTGTAAGCAAATAACAGTAACCATCCTCTGATTTGACTGAGATCCCACCATCTATATTAACAGCTGCAAAACTGTTACAATGGTATCTCTGTCTTAAAATAGGCATATCTTCACATCCCCTTGGCCAAATCACGTGATCAAAGTGTCAGTCTGTAGCCAAGGGTTTGTAGTTCACACGCCCCCACCAACACTAAGCATGATTCCCATGTGCATAGGCACTATATTGTGTACACTGAAAAAGTACCAAACATTGTAATGGTTTTGCAAGTCACTGTAGAGACTTCACCTCCCTAAACACAGGAGGACAAGAAGGTTGGTTTAGCCAATACTTAAGCTTTGCAGCCTTCATGTATGAGTGAAGGAGAGTGGATTCTTGCTGACCTGTGTGAGGCAGCATAAGTCTGTTATTGACACAGAAGTTAGAATCATACTGAAAATGTGATTGTTGGGCAACCATTGCAGCTGCACAATGAGACACTCATATGGGAAGCACCACCATGACCTTACCAGACCAAAGAGCTGCAAGTAGTCCCAAATATGCAATGCCATATGGCCATTTGTGCGATGGGGTGCATGTGGAAGCAATACCTGCAGATCCCTCATCCAGTCAATAATGCATCCACAGTATGCTTCTACTCAAGCTGTTGTCATAGATCGTTGACATATGATGTGGATGGCAGATATGAGGGCCATCATATGATCAAGGATCACATGATAACTGACTGCAATTTCCAATGTGCAGTGAGTAGATCCCTTGCCCCACAAGCTAACCAGAGCTATGGGTAAGTATAATGTTGTTAATGCATGCCATTCATTGGCCTTCAGGGTTCCAGCTTTTGTTTCCCCAAAGTTATGGGGGACTGATCTTATTGAGGATGGCATATCTGTCATCCTAATCACATCAGTAATGTGTTGCATGACCTCTGGGGTAGCAATGCGCAAGTTTGACAGCTCAGGTGCAAAAGGTTGAGTTCAATGCTACACAGAGGCAGCTTAAGAGTGTACAATAACACCAACAATATAAAATACTCACCCAACTGATGAGCAATCTAATCCAATAGGGTTTAAAGACTTTTTTGCCAGCATGAGGGATGTCTGGTGTGATGCCCAATCCTTCTGACACAAACCAAAGGGATGCAACTGTCTTGTTCAACAATTTTCTCTCTAATTGCATGAGGTGATCCTCAATAAGCTGTGAGTCATTCCCTTCAAGGTTGGGGACTGCTTCAGTAAGGAGACTCTGAATTGATTTGACAACTCTGATGTCTTTTTCTGGGAAGTCTTGAGGTTTGTTGAGGTCAATGTCAAGGAAGAGATAAGTAAAAGTAGGGATAACATTAGGTGCGATGTGTGGAATTAGATGTAAGGCCTAAAAATTCGCAAAAATGAGTGTGTGCAAGACCCTCCAGCAGGCAATGCATGGCATTGATGACAATTTGGCGAGAAGGATCCCAGTATGATAACCTCAAGAGTGTCAACCACCACACCCTGTGTGATGCAAACAACTTGTTGCATTCAGCAGAAGTTCCAGCATTCTTCCAGAGTTCAGCATGGCAGCACACTTCATCCTTGTCCCAAAGTCTCCAATCTTCAGACTGGATGTCTGTTTGACTGCAAGTCAATCTGTGCCAACAATGGCAGGCAGTGCAATAAAAATGGCTCATTGGACCTACTAGCTGAGTGGCCTTTCTTGCTGCCAGGAGGTCACATACTAGACATGCTAGAGCGCTGTGTGTAGCCCAGCTGTGAGCATTGAGAGCTGTGCAGCTATAATGTATTCCATGTTCCCAACTTTCAACCATATCATCAACCACAGGATTGAGAAAGAAATTCAACTCATCTCCTGAAGGTTCTGAAGGTCCAGGGATAATACCAGCTAAGTACATGTTCTCATGTTTGTACCGGATATCAAGGGGGAGGTTCAAACATGCACATGAGATGATGCTGGTGGATGTTGATGCATTTCATTGATGATTGCCTTCAACATTGAAAAAATCAATGTTGAGTGTGAAAGTGTATCAGCCTTCATTGCCTCTGTCAATAAATAGAGACTGACCGGATGGACCCTGGAAGGTGTGAAAGAAACTTGCATCCCAAACATCCTTGATGATATGTGGTGTACTCCCAATGGAGGCTAGTAAATCATCACAAGGCCTATCCATCAAGGCCTCAAAGTCGGGACAAGACAACAATCTGGCAAGGTAGTCATGGAAGTGGTGATAAAGGAATATTTTTATTGGCTCAAATTGCCCATCAGTGGAGCACTGCAGCAATGGT